CTCCCCAAGTGATCTTGCATGCGTTTTAATGGTTTTTGCTTGGAATTTCGGTTACTTTTGATCTTGCCTAGGCCGACATTGGTTTTGCTATGGGTATCCGAGGGACTGAAGTTGCTAAAGAGAGTTCGGATATAATTATTTTGGATGATAATTTTGCTACGTGTGTAAAGGTTTGTTTTTGTAATATAGATCCCAACATAATCTTGGCATATGCTTGAACTGAAAGTGTTTTAATTTTGTTGTTAATTGAAAATAGTTAATGCTGATCATTATATAACACTGGAATTGGTTAAATGGATGTAGGCTTTTAAATGGGGGCGATCTGTACATCCAAATATCATCAAGTTTATGCAGTTGCAGCTTACAGTCAATGTTGTAGCACTAACTACCAATTTCATGGCTGCAGTTTTCTATGGTCACGTCCCATTAAATGCTGTTCAGGTAATTCTCTCTCTCTCTCTCTCTCTCTCTCTCTCTCTCTCTCTCTCTCTCTCTCTCTCTCTGTTTGTGTTGCTCCCTTTCTCTCTACTTGTTACTCTAAGAATTGCAGTTGTGATTTAGGACTAGAGGATTAGACTGTTCAATTTATAAGTCTTTAGGTGAGGATGCACCTTATTAAGGATTCTTTTCTGCTTGTGCTTTGTACAGCTTCTCTGGGTGAACCTACTCATAGTAGCTCTTGTACCACTAACATTGGTTACTAAACCTCCAGCAGATGAACTGATGCCGGGACTCCTTGTCGAACCCGGGTAACATTTCTTTGATGATGGACATATCTGATTAATTTATAAATACCTAACCATGAAATTTTCATGATCCATGGTGATGACCTTCACTTTCTGCTGACGTAGTTATGTTCTGTTCTTATTTTGATCAATATGCTTCCAGTAGGCCCATATCTCTTGAATTTTGAGTTTGCTAGCTAGTTAAACCAAATTGTTGGCTGGCATAAATTTGATGTTCTAATGGGATAATTTTTTACAGACAACCTCCTAGAAGATATGCAAAGTGGAAGAGACAGGTTTTTCAGGTACATGGACGTTTTCTCTTGATTTCATGTTACCCAAAAGTATTATTAGATCAATCCATGTAGTTTTCTTACATATATTTTTCGCATTCCAGTTGCCTTCCTCATGACTTGTCATTCTAAATTTGGTTTGGAAATTTCAGGGCGTGTACCAAATTGTTGCCATTCTTATCATCAATTTTCAAGGACATAATTTACTGAAAAGTTATAACCGCGGTCATGCCATCAAAGTGAAGAACACAATGATATTTAACACATTTGTTGTTTGTCAAGTAAGTTAATTAGTCTTTACTCGTCAATCATAAGAAAGTAGTTTAACTAGGATCCCAGCAATATGAGATTTAATTAGCTTCCCCGCTTTGTCTAGCGTGTGAAATGACAACGTTGATATGGCTGTTTCAATTGAATAGTTAGTTTTGGTCTAAAGTTCGAGCATGATTTTTCATTAATTAGCGCACTTTGAAACATACCTAGCTATTCGTGTAGTCCTACTTCTCTTCCCAATCCTGGAATAAGTTCAAAGTTCGAATCGCGTTTCCCCTGTCTCTATCAAAAGAAGAAAAGAGCCACAGCCCTTCATGTGCCCTTCCAGATTGGATGAGATTATGTTACATTATGATTTCAATGAATCTGAATTTTTCAAATGACAGATTATCCATCAAATGGAAGCTCGAAGGAAGGATATGCTATCAAAGCCTAAGATGTGGATTACTTCAAACTATCTCTTTATGGGAATAGCAGGAACAATTCTCACAAGTCAGGTTAGAAATATTTAGTTTGTTTTCTTCTTTTTTTGTTTGTTTTTGTTTTTCCTTTCTGGTCACTTGTCGTCTTGACGAATTTTGCATTTGCTGACACTTTGGTTTCTGTGTTCTTCAGTTTATCATCATTGAGTTTCTAGGGAAAGCGTTCTCCACAGTGGCGCTTAACCAGAAAGAGTGGCAGTTTTCCCTCACTCTTGGGTTTGTCGAGTAAGTTCTATGATTTTGGCATGTAGTAGAACAAGTTGAACACTCGATAATCTTCTGTTGGTCGTTGATAAAAATCTCTATTTCTTGCAGAATGCTTTTTGCGATAATTTTATTCGTAAAGTACTTGACACACAGGAACTAGCAAAGAAGTTCAACTCATACAGCATTTGATGAACTAGCAAAGCAGATCAACACATACAGCATTCCAACACACGCAACCGCAAAAGGATCTGTTTGTTTAGGATGCTTTAATTGTTCAGTTTGCTTCCTAACTAGAGAACCTGTTTTACGGTCAGTCAGGTTGATTAGTTTAATTCATCCATTTCTTCTCGGTTACAAAAGAGGTTCATTTTGTTACTTGATTTAAAGTCAGCATAGGCAAACGCTATCATCTGCTCAACTTTCCTATAATATTCCATGTCAGTATCACGCCCCAGACCAAGGGTAGGGAAGAAATCTCATGCCAGTGCGTAAAAAAGGGAGCTTAACTATTATGCTCAATATAGGAGTCTAGTAGCGAAGCCAGGATTTCACATTAGAGGTGGGTCATTCACAAAATTTTAAAAATAATTAGAGGGTTCTCGTTTTATTTAGTGGCTCAAGCGTTAACCGGTTAATTAGTTTATACTACATTAACTACGGGTTTTGGCCCCACTTCATACTACCATTTCATATCAATTAATAATATATTCATTCATTACAATCATATAATTGTTATGAATTTCAAATTTAAAAAAAGTTGTAGTGTACCAATTAAGTGCCATATAGTTAGGTTAAAAAGAGAAAGTTGGGAGAAAAAATTGAGCTCTTAAGCATTTCCCGTATCAGTTAAAGTCCAGGCAACATTGTGGCAGAACATGCTAGAGATGATAGTAAAAACCTTTTCAATTTATTGACAGAGGAAAAAAAAAACAAAAGTGACATTCTCAATTTTCTTGACTAACAAAAAAACATTTTTCACTACACGCCAAAAAAGAGCTAGTAGCTGTTGATCAAAGACCTAATTTTTTTTGGTCGAAGACCAATTAAGAAAATGGAAAACGATTAATTTTCTTCACTTCCAAGTAAAATCAGACATATATAGTGATTTAAACTCAACGAAAAATTGAGAACCAAAACTATAAATCATAGCCAAGAGAAAGGCTACTTCGTCAGAGACTTGCATTCCAAATTTAGCGGGTTTCTAGTGAGTGCACGAGGAACAGGACATTCCTAAAGTCCAACTACGTGTTCCGGATGAAGAGATAGCCTCGGAAGACGCTCGGTCAACCAGGTGATCAAATTTTCCAAATTGGGTCAATCGGGCCCACGGGACCCACAATCTCCGTTTTACGATTCGAAAGTTCCTAAGGGTTCCACAAGGTTTAGGATACACATCCTCTAAGTTTGGTCCAAATCGGACGGTCAAATTGCTCACGATCTTACGATCAGACGGTTATCGTTAAATGCAAACTTTAAGATATTGAATCAGAACATCCGGAGCTCCGATTCACGATCCACGAATTCCTAGACGATCCTAAGAATGTCTAGATTAACATATATTGGAATGAAGTTGATCAAACAGTCCGAACATATCAAATCCGGATAACGCCTAATATGCGATATCTAATCGACGATCAAACGATAACCAAATTAAAATCCGAGAATACCATTATACTCGGGACAACACAAGAATCATTTTAGGACACAATGACAGGCCAAAACAGTGCCCACGCGCCACCTCATGCGCCGGCAGCGCGTGGGTGTCCAAAGAAATTTCCGGCAATCGGAAAAACTCCATACTGCCGGCTAATACTTCCAGTATAGGTTAAGCACATGGAGTGTAGCAACTTTTGTTCTTGTACCTACCCAAAAAGTCGACGAAAGTGGCCGGAATCGGAGGCCGAAACGGGCCAAAACTTTCATCGCTTGGAAACGTTTCAAAACTCAGAAATTTCTCCTAAATACCACAACCAGCAGCTAGAAATCATTGAAAGGATAGAAAAGCATACCAATTTCGAAGAAAATGGTGGTCCGAGGCGTCCGAACGAGCTCCCGAAAAATTACGTAAAATTCGGCTGTTTTTTGACGTTTTCCGGTGGTACCAGCGACGGATCGAGGCAGGACTGGAACTTGTAGAGGATGAAGAGCTGGTTCTTTTGGGACCGGTAACGCCAAAAATGGCGGCCAGACTTGGCGGTGGTGGGGTGAAAACCGGTCGGCAGTTTTGAGAGGGAGCGGGGGCTGTTCGCGACGGGGAGAGAGAGAGAGAGAGAGAGAGAGAGAAAGGGAGTTTTCAGATTTTTAATAAACCAACTTCAAAATAATTACGATTGTGCTATTGAGTTTATTTTGCTTGTAACTTCTTCCTTACAACCTCGATTCGAGCTCACTGTGTATCTATGGACTCATCTTAGTATGATCTACGTAAAAATACCACTCGCTGCCCCAAAATTCTTCAGAATCAAAAATTGACCAAATTACCCCTACTCCGAGGGTAAAATTGGAAATTCATATTATTTTTTTAGCAATTAATTAAATTCACAAATTCTTTTATTTTGGGTCGGGATGTTACAAAATTAATCTTGTCTAAGCATTTATCGTATACATATATGAAAGCAATTAAATGACATGTGCTTAATGAAACAGTTAAAACAACTTTTGCAACCCATTTTTCTGGTTTTAACTTGACAGCAAAAGGAATATAAGAGTTCTTGCTCACTATATTTAGCTAGTTTGAAATATAAGTTCAGAGCAAAGAGGGACTGGAGATTTCTCTATCTAGTCGGATAAATACATGAATTCAAATTTATCGTTTTAAAAGAAAATCACACCATGAAGATGGCAGAGCAACAAAAGATAAACGCAGGAGTGGTCAATTGGTTATCTGGAAATTAGGCAGGTTGGTTTGAAAAGATCTTGAGTTCTTCAAGTGTTTTTCGAGACGTTGCATCTAGTTTAGAGAGAGAGTACTCTTCTTATGTGGTGGAGGCTCTTTATTCATAGGCAAGGAGAGAGCTTCAATGATGAAGGCTAAAAAGAGGTTGCCTGGCTGCTATTTCCAAATTCACCCGCTGATTCACTATCTTGGATTGGTTCATAGGAGGGATGATGGGATGTTTCTGATAGGATCGCTGGGTTTTTGTGCTAATCCATTGTCCTAAGTCCGGAAGTTTGGTTGGCAATTCGATTCTTTCTAGTTCTAGTGGCTTTTGTACAGCTCGTTTTCTTCCTGGGCAAGAAGAGAGTCAAGTCGTCATTAATGATGATAATCTTCTTCAGACCCTCACGTAAGTCAATGTGTAACAGTTACAGATCATTTTTTAACTTTAGTGTGACTTAAAGTTTTGGGCCTATTGTCTTTGTGGGATTTTATCAATCTCTTTTTAATATTGATAGCCCTCTAAGCAAAAGTGATCCTTACTTTCTAAAAGCAGTAAAAAGGATGATGGGCATGGGCCTTTAAAATATTATTTTGAGAAGTAAACCATTTTTGGTCCATTTATCAAAATTGGGTACAAACAATTAGCAACTGCCTTTAGAAGGGCCTCTTCACTGTTTGCAGGCACATCTTCAAAGCCGGTTATCTTGGCCGCATGGACGGCTTCTTTGCTGGTGTTGCAAGTACCATCAACACCGGTGTAGGGGTAATTAGTCTCGGTACTAAGTCCATGATTTTGATTGATGAACTTAAAGGCATCATCCATCAAGCCACCCTCACAACCTTGGTCTACACCCTTGGTGTCACAATCAACTAGCTCTTGCTCAGACAAAGAGATTAATTTACCAGTTGTAAGACCATCTCCAACTATAAATGGGCTAAACCCAATATTTCCCATACGTTGATGCATCTTGGAGACTCCACGAAGTGGCTTGACAAGACAAAGCTCCCAACCTGAAAATTAAGGCCACACGAGTACATTTGGAGTGGTACTCGTTAATGTACTCCATGGTAACTAGCTAGAAAAGGAAGCAGCCGGGATTTGATGAGGTAAATGAGTTCAAGAGCCGTTATATGGTTAGACTGCTTCGTGGTTCATATAGAGCAAAGCAGAGAATGGCCTTGCTATCTCCGTTCCCCAAAAGTTGGTCTGCAGTCTTCGTGCCCCATAATATGTTGTGATACAAACCTCCAAGGTTAGCTTAATTATATGATTATGATTCTAATTTCATTTCAAGTCACGTTAAACTACTGGTAAAACATATCTTTATTAATGTGCATGCAGCATACTGGTTGGTTGGTATATGGGGCCTACTTCGTGCACATGGATGGACCCGTAAGTTATTTTTTTCTTTTCATTTTTTAAATTTCCTTTATTTGTTAATTTTCTCTGGTATCTTGTAAAATGACAAATTTGCCCTTATATTTGACGACTAATTGGGTAGAGTTAAAAAATCTTGAGAGTATATGACCACAACTTGACGGTACGTCTAAATTGGTTATTTTTATCTAGTTTAATTAAACCCTAAATAGGCCGAAGAAATAATTCGGGGAATTAACTTCAAACCAGCATAATAATTCAAGGGTAAAACGACACCTTATCCTTTTACTATGTACTGGTCATAAAATGAGTAGCTGAGTTAGAGACGTCGTACACACGTGATATTTGCAGCTCCATTTTTCTGCTGACTAGTAATAGTATGCATGAAAGGCGACAATCTTACATTATTAGAGTGCTCTGTGTACGTACAAGCTTCAAATAAGAGGCTTTTATGTACCAAACGTTCCAACCGAACCACTCTGTTAGCCTTTTATCCAGCTAGATTTTTTGACTTTTAGAGGAGAAGAGTCGAGACCTAATGGAAGCCAAATGAAGCTGGCCCTGAGTGAAGGAAGCAACTAGGGTGGGGAGAGCTGGTGTCTCCAATTCATTTTCTCAATTTCATGGAATTAAAAAACAAGAGAGTTTGGGTGCTCATTATGGCAAAATATTGAGTCACAAGTGAAGTGCTTTATTTCTTAGGGCTGATGAGTGTTATCGGTTAGCTCAAGAGAAATGTGAGAGGGTATGCATGGAGTCTTGGCTTGAGTTCTTGACCGTGGGAGGCTTTTATCTGGCCATGGAAATCAAAGAGGGAATAGGGTGATGAGGAGGCTTGAATGGTGTGTTGTGATGCTTTTACTTTGAGAAAGAGAGAACGTTTGCCGAAGAGAGGAAGAAGGAAAGAAGAGAAATTGGTTAGAGTGCAAAGAAAAAGCTCATGGAAAGTAAGGTTAAACTCCGAATTTTTGGTGAATTTGATAACACTTTATTTACTAGATGCATATGAATTAAATTACAGTTTGATACATTTGTAATTTTTTTTTATAAAGATCATTTGCACTTAGCATGGGCCTCTTCAGTATTAGAATACTTTGACATTCCTCAAATTGGTTTATCATTTTCATAAAACACATATTTTACAGTTTTTCTTTAATAAATCACTACAGTATATATGTCAATATGTGACTTACATATGAAAAGGAACTGCTACGGGACTGGAAGGAGCCCATCAGTATTCATTTACAGGTGTTGGAGCTACGTGAATACTCTTTTACTTGTCATCTCCTGGTTGATGTACCAAATTAGCCTATCATAATTAGAGTTTATGCCGATTAACTAGCTTAATTAAGACCCAAGGCAAGTGGTATATTATATAAAAATACGTATTTTGTGACAAATGAAATTCAATAATTAAATTAAGATTTTAAATAAGAAAACATGGGTTTATAATTACTAATGGGTCTTCAATTATTTGAAAATCATCAACTTTTCAGAGTTAGGAATAGTAATACCATCCTCGTCTCCGCTCCAATTCCTACCCTTTTCCCTTTAAGAATCTTTGGTCGGCAGGCAGAAAGAAGATAAAGCAAGCTCACTTTGCATCAATTTGCTGGCAGGTGCAAATGTCCATGGACCATGAGGCAGCTGGGCCGAGCTGGGGCCTGGGCGTTCAGAGAAGCCCAAGTTTATGTTCCTTCGTTTCGAAGAAAACACAATGCTAGATTTTTTGGGGTCAAATTGGTGGCCTTTGAAAAACTGAAGTGACGATTGCGGTAATATTTTGAAAATCACTGGCAAATATAAAGATCACATAGTTTCTATGATGAGCATGAATGAAAATAATAGTTTTATTTAACAATAAAATAGGTAAAATTCTTTTGAATCTTATCTACATTTTGTATGGGATGAATTGCTAAAATGTAACCCTAAACTTCGTTTTGTTTTAGTTTGGTTTGATTTTATTTTTTTGGGTCAAATTTTGTTATAATTGCAAGTTTTGATATTTCTTTATTGGATGTAAGGAAAAGGAAAATGCATATTATACGCTGTCATAATTCTTTTTTTTTCTTCTTTTCTTTTGGGTTGAGTGGCAGGCATTTCTTTGGGAATTTGCTTGGAAAGTTGTCTCATATCTTATAGCTCGTCAGTCTTCCAAAAGAGACTGGTAGTTAGACTGGTCAATTAAGATAGTTGAAATAATTTTACTATCACTTTCCTCAACAACACAAAAAGAAACAAAAGTTTTGCCATCACGTTCCTCAATTAAGAGACTGTTAGCTAAATTAATTTAAATTATTTTCCTCAATTAAGAGACGGGGCATAATCGATTTTTTTGCTAATCATTTTCCTCAACAACACAACCGCGTTTTTTTTCCCTAAACTGAAAAGAGACAAAAGTTTGTACTCATTTTATACACAAAAGACAAAAAAGGAAAAAGAAAACAACGTCTTGGAGGGAAAAAATGATTAGCAAAAAAAGGACCAAAAAAGAAACATCGTCTAAGGAAACAAAATCCATAGCTAACAAAGATCAGCTGAGAGATTGGGATGAGCTTGAAGGCACACATGGCGACTTGAAAAACTGAAAAGAAAACTGCTATTATAATTTCTCTTTCTGATAGATTACAGAACGATGGAGATGAACAGCTTCTCGCAAGAAAACAATGACTTGGAGGCCGGAACTAGGGATATTGCCGTTCAGAGCATCAGCCGTTGGAGGGTATTTTCCCCATTGATATCGTTATATCACTTTATATTAAAAACTATTTTGTTAGTAATTGATTGCTTCAAATTATGCTTTGTCTCACCAAATATGGCTGTATATGTATATGTCTCTCCAAATATGTCTATCTGTTTGTCACCTTGGTCGGGTAGTTTAGGGTTTGCTCGAAAAAGACTCGTTCATTTCATTTCTTTATTTGCTTTTTCTATTGAAAACCTTCACTTGATACATCAGCACAGCATGCAATATGCAATTTTCCTACCTATATTATTATATATGACAGTAATGCATTTAGGTTTTCTTTATTTTGGTTGGCTAATATATCCATTTATAATCGGAAAGTAATCTCCTTGAGTACTCTCCCATGGATGCTTAGTTTACTCATTGTTCCATGGATATGTGGAAATATTCTTTATTTAATGAGCTTTATCTAAACAAATTTTATGTTTCACTGTAGCGAGCAGCAGTTGTGCTATTTGCTTATCGTCGATTTTTGCAAATCGTATGCTTGAAAAAGGAAGGAGAAAAAGAGCAGGCTTCAAGCAAAGTCCATGTACATGCTGCTGTACAAGTAATTGTTGTGAAATTAATGTGTCTTAACATGTTCTTGTTGTCTTCTATTGACGTATTATATTTTCTTCTTCTTTTTGCTTATTAGGCCGAACTCGCTTTCGAAATAGAGACTGGAGAAGAAGTGATAGGTAGTGCTTCATTTCAAATATCCTTGCTTTTCATTTGTCATAACTTCTTTTTGCATGTAGCTCGATATGTTTCACTCACTATTTCTTTCTGTGTCACATATGTTCTTTTTGTGCGTATAGCTTGGTGCTTCAATCATTTCACGAATCAATTCTTTTTATTTATATATTTTGTCTAATTTATCTATATGCCATGCAGATTAATTATAACCGAAATCCAAAAGAATAATGCTAGCTTGGCTCCTTGAATCTAATTAGATGTCATTCAAGCCAATCATAATTTGGCACATGTACACGAGTGTGATTGCTTATTAAGAATGAAATGAACACGTATGCCTAATTATGATTGACTTCTAAGAAGAAATAGGTGCTGAAAGTAAGTGTATAGCTTCTTTATGTCCGGTATCTAATTTTTTCATATTAAACCACATAATGACAAGTGGCTTTGGTACACTATCAACCACTACGATCACCGAGTACTACTGGTGATTTTGGAACGAAGAATTCTATACTTAGCTATTAGTTTGTGCAACTGACTTTGTTTCTTTGGTTTGTTAGGGACTTCACTGAGACCAACCAGTACTACTGGTGATTTTGGAATTGGACGAGAGGAACTTGATGCCTTAACTAAGAATGATGATGTTGGTAGCCTGGAACAATATGGGGGGGCAAGTCCAACACATAACACCATCTTTTATCTTATGGTTGTATATAAACTCTCACTAATTATATACTTTTTTGACATCAGATCGAAAAGTTAGAAAGCGAATTGAAAACGAATTTAAAGGACGGGATTAACGGGGAAGATGCTGATGTGCTGAAACGGAAACGTGATTTCGGAGCAAACACACATACTCCGGAAAAATCAACGAGCTTCTTGGTTAGTGTCGTTACAATTGCGAAATTTGAAAGAAGGATGGATTTAATTAATACACCTTTAATTAAGTGCTCTTACAGTTTATATTTTACCACATCAACTTTGTTTGTCTTGTAGACGTGTCTTTGGGAAGCATGTCATCAAGATATTTCTCTGATCATTTTCATAGTAGTTGCAGTGGCTTCTTCAGTGATGGGTCTAGCGACAAAGGTGAGGCTCGATCGGCCGTACTTCCAAGTATTTTCATGACAGTAGGATGTTAGTATAAAGAAAATTAGCAATTAAACAGAGGATCCTAAACCCTAGAGAATCCCCGGATACTCTTTTTTATGTAAAAAGTAAAAAAGAAGGAAAATTACAAAACCAAAAAAAGAAGGAAAATTACAAAACCAAATACATGAATGACCTCTTGATAAATATGATATAGAGTATAATTGGAGAGTTGAGAGAGAATTGCAATTGGCTGTACGTATATCTTTCTTTTGTTTACTAGAACATAATTGGTTCGAGTAGAACTAGATCCCTTCTTGTCAACTTCCAATCAAAGTATCAAAACCTGAAAAAATAGGTAGAAATCTGATGGACCATTAAAAGAATATTAAAGTAATTTGCTAAATTTCAATATCATATTGATTTTAAGGAGGAGCTTCTCCTCAATTTTCAGCAACCTAACTTTTTCCCCATTAGAATGAATTGTCAACAATAGCCAAAACTTGGAGTGAATTCAAATTGATCAATTGGGTAATCTCAGGGTTTTTAATTATATTTTAGTTGTTTTGACAACAGTAATTTATTAATTATATTTTAGTTGTTTTGACAACAATAATTTATTTAAGAGGTTCTGTGTTGTGTTACTTGCAGGGTACAAGGCTTGGATATTGGGAAGAGGGAGGTAATGTTGCCGCTGTGGTTATGGTGAACATTATTGTGAAAGGTATTTAATCTGGTGTGATGTGATACAAAATAGGAGTGTGTTTCCATTTAACCAAATAGAAAAAAAAATAGGAAGCCGATTTTCCCACTTAAACAGAATAGGAAATTCTGCACATCTATTTAAGGAAATTCTGCACATCTATTCTAATAGAGCAAAAAGTGATGTGCAGCTCGTATGCACATATAAAGCAAACTCTTGAGGTTAAATTTTCAAATAACTTAAAATAGCTCTCATTTAAGAAAAAATTCGAAAACAAAAGCCAAGATTTTGAATAAATGAAAAGAAAAATTGTATATGTGGGAACATATATATAAAGTCTAATTATTTATGGATTTTGTTGTTTGCCTCTCTCCTCCTTTTTTTTTTTTTTTTTTTTTTTTTTTTTTTTTTGGGTCTTGTCTGCAACTTGCAAATACAGCCTATCTCTGATCCACAATGTAAAGGAGGAAGGGAGGAATATGTATTTGAAGGTATAAATACCGTATAGATATATCTGTTGGACCTTTAAATATAAGGAGTTATCCTATCCAATCCAATCTTAGTCACCAAATGTGCCCTAACTGTGTACACATTTGGATGTCGTATCTAATTATGCAGGTTGTTAGAGGTGGTAAACAATTTGAGGTTTCAATATGTGATATTGTTGTTGGCGATGTTATTCCCTTTAACATTGGTGACCAGGTATGTGGCAATGTTGCTGTCTCCATTCACAAGTCCATATTTTTCATATCTGCAAAATATATTAATTATGTTGCTTTGATTGTATATACAGGTCCCTGCTTATGGTATTTTAATCACTGCTCGATCACTCTCCATAGATACCTCACGTGTGAATGGAGCCAACAACATTGTAAGCCTTCATGCTTCTTCGGGAGCCTCTCGTTTAAAGCCTGGCTGGAAAATAGCGGATGGGAGTGGTACCATGCTGGTAAAGTTTATATATATATATATATATATATATATATACACACACACACACACACATACACACACATAAGTGTTAGTATATTCTTTTTGTTCTATATAAATAAGGGCCTTTCATAACAAATGGTCTCTATTCTTAGAAATTCTGTTATATATGTGTCGTGAAAGATAAATAGAGCCCACATGTCCAATCACATCGTGACATTTAAATTAAATACATAAGTATATATATATATATATATTTTTATAATGAAAATCCATTAAAAAAACATTTAAAATCCATTATTTTTTATGCAACTTCCCACCCACGCCCTCTCTCCCGTTGTTATCTCTCTCCCTTTCCCTCTGTTTTTTTTTTCTGGCCTATAGCCCAACAACCCCATCCTCACCCGCAACCAACGTCCAACCCCACCCTCTCTCCCTCTGTATATTTTGCAAAATAATCACGTGTATAAGGGCAGTTCCACATTTTCTTTCACACAAACATTTATTCGAACAACTTAAAAAAAAAATTTAAAAACATAGGTAAAGAGGGAGATCACAAGGGAAAAGTAGAGAAGGAGAGAAAATATAGAGGGAGAGGGTGGGGTTGGGTGTGGGTTTCGGGTGGAGATGGGGGTGGTTGGGTTGTGGGCAAGAAAATGAGAGAGAGAGAGAGAGAGAGAGAGAGAGAGAGAGAGAGAGAGAGAGAGAGAGCAGAAGGGGAAGAGGGTGGAGAGAGGGCGGAGGAGAGACAAAGTAGAGAGAGGGGATGGGAAGTTGTAGAAAAATAGTATTTTCATTAAAAAAAAATATTTATTAGGACCATTCGTGATAATTTTATAAACCTCAGGGACCATTTGTGATAGAAATCCATAAATTAATAAATAAAATCAGAAAAATGAATGAAACTTTCATTATATATTGTTCCTTCAGGTAACGAGTGTTGGGATATGTACTAAATCGGAACTTTCACAAGACATTGGTAACAAAACAACATTGGAGGTCAGCCCGTCAACTACTACATAGAGAATGACAATTTAATTTCCTATATATATGTGTGTGTATATATATTATATCTTAAGGATACATAACTGAATCTTAATAGGAGGTCTTGAACGTGGTTTCTACTTCCATTGGTAATGTTGGACTCGCAGTAGCTTTTATTGCCGTGATGGTCGTATCACTCAGGTAATTATTCAAAGAATCTTCAATCTTTTGCTGGATAATACATAGGTCCTCACTAGTGAGGACTACATTCTTACCATCACAAGGATCAATAATATTAAATCACTTTATTATCACAATAACATTTGTGCAGGTGGTTTACTGGCTATAATTAGATGGAAGTCCCAAGTTCATCGGGATCAAGACTAAACCTAGAGACGTCATACAGGAAGTCAATCAAATTATAATCATTGCTGTATGTCTATGCCTCCTCCTTGGTTATTTAGCTAATTGAATACTTTCGATTTTACTCACATTCGGATTTTACAGATTACTATTGCAGTGGTTGCTGTACCACAAGGGCTTCCCTTAGCTGTTACCTTAACGTAAATCTGCCCAACGTTAACATTTAGCTGTTCCCTTAGTTTTTGTCATATGCATTCATCTTTCTGGATTTCACATAATTTCTTTTTTGCCTTAATTTCCTTCTCTTTGACTGGCACAGCATTGTCAGCGCAACAAAAAGAATGGTGGCAGATAACGCCTTTGTATGTGACATTGCTTACAGGAACGAGGTTTTAGTAATTCTTTTCACTTGAACTGAAATTGTTTTAATTTTATTGTTAATTGAAAATAGTTAATGCTGATCATTATATAACTTTGGGATTGGTTTAATGGATGCAGGCTTCTAAATGGAGGCGATTTGTACATGCAAATATTATCACGTTTATGCAGTTGCAGCTTACAATCAATGTTGTAGCACTAACTACCAATTTCACGGTGGCAGTTTTCGATGGTCACTTCCCATTAAATGCTGTTCAGGTAATGCTAGAAGAATTGCAGTTGTGATTTAGGATTAGAGGATCAGACTGTTCAATTTTTAAGTCTTTAGGTGAGGATGCACCTAATTAAGGATTCTCTTCTTCTTGTGCTTTGTACAGCTTCTCTGGGTGAATCTACTCATTGTACCACAATCATTGGTTACTAAACCCCCAGTAGATGAACTGATGCCAGGACTCCTTATCGAACCCGGGTAACATTTCTTTGATGATGGACATATCTGATTAATTTATCAATACCTAACCATGAAATTTTCATGATCCATGTTGATGACCTTCACTTTCTGCTGACATAGTTATGTCCTGTTAGTTCTTATTTTGATCAAGATGCTTACTTCAAGTAGGCCCATATCTCTTGAATTTTGAGTTTGCTAGCTAGTTAAACCAAATTGTTGGCTGGCATAATTTGATGTTCTAATGGGACAATGTTTTACAGACAACCTCTTAAAAGATATATAAAGTGGAAGAGACTGGTTTTTCAGGTACATGGATGTTTTCTCTTGATTTCATGTTACCCAAAAGTATTATTAGATCAATCCATCTAGTTTTCTTACATATATTTTTCGCATTCCAGTTGTCTTCCTCATAATTTGTCATTCTAAATTTGGTTTGGAAATTTCAGGGCGTGTACCAAATTGTTGCCATTCTTATCATCAATTTTCAAGGACGGAGTTTACTGAAAAGTTATACCCGCGGTCATGCCATCAAAGTGAAGAACACAATGATATTTAACACATTTGTTGTTTGTCAAGTAAGTTAATTAGTCTTAACTCGTCAATCATAAGAAAGTAGTTTAACTAGGATCCCAGCAATATGAGATTTAATTAGCTTCCCTGTTTTGTCTAGCGTGTGAAATGACAACGTTGATATGCCTGTTTCAATTGAAAAGTTAGTTTTAGTCTAAATTTGCCGTTTCGTCTAGCTCTTAGTCTAGCTATTAGTGAAATGACAAAGTTTAATAGTTAGTTTTAGTCTAAAGTTCGATCATGATTTTTCATTAATTAGCGCACTTTGAAACATACCTAGCTTTTAGTGTAGTCCTAGCTATTAGTGTAGTCCTCCTACTTCTCTTCCATCCCGGAATAAGTACAAAGTTCGATTCGCGTTTCTCCTGTCTCTATAAAAAGAAGAAAAGAGCCATAGCCCTTCATGTGCCCTTCCAGATTGGATGAGATTATGTTACATTATGATTTCAATGATTCAGAATTTTTCAAATCACAGATTATAAATAAATTGGAAGCTCGAAAGAAGGGTATACTATCGAACCCAAAGAAGTGGATTACTTCAAACTATCTCTTTATGGGTATAGCGGGAACAATTCTCATAAGTCAGGTTAGAAATATTTAGTTTGTTTTCTTCTTTTCTTGTTTGTTTTTTGTTTTTCCTTTCTGGTCGCTTGTTTTCTTGACGAATTTTGCATTTGATGACACTTAGTTTTCTATGTTATTCAGTTTATCATCATTGAGTTTCTAGGGAAAGCGTTCTCCACAGTGGCGCTTAACCTGAAAGAGTGGCAGTTTTCCCTCACTTTTGGTTTTCCCGAGTAAGTTCTATGATTTTGGCATGTAGTAGAACGTAGTTGAACACTCGTATTTATAATCTTCTGTTGGTCGTTGACAAAATTCTCTCTCTCTTGCAGAATGCTTTTTGCGATAATTTTATTCATAAAGGACTTGCCTACACACAAGAACTAGCAAAGCAGTTCAACTCATACAGGATTTGGAGCTGTTAATGGGCATTACTTGGAGCTGTTATGAGGAAAGTAAAGCTTCTAAGGGACAAATTCCTTATAATTGAGACTTAATTACTAGATACCTTGTTTCTTTTTAGTATGTTTAATTTTAAATTTAATTCATTACAATATTGTAATAATATTTATAGACAACTTGAATGTTGTATCATTCATTTTATATTATTACACTAAATGTACAATTTCCAGTATTTTTGGGGAAGAAGCTTATTTAATTATTTTTATAAAAATATGGCTTATTTATGTACATGCCCCCTCTGCTTTCAAAGTTGTTTCAGATTACCATATGTTCTTTGAAACGTATCAAAATACCACCTAAACTTTTAATAATTGTCTCACATTACCTATTCCGTTAGTATTATGAGACGTTCCGTTACATGATGGGTATATGACTAAATATCTCTTGATCTAATGGATGTAGGCTTTCAAATGGGGGCAATCTGTACATGCAAATATTATCAAGTTTATGCAATTGCAGCTTACAGTCAATGTTGTAGCACTAACTACCAATTTCATGGCGGCAGTTTTCTATGGTTGTGTCCCATTAAATGCTGTTCAGGTAATTCTCTCTCCCTCTGTTTGTGTTGCTCCCTTTCTCTCCACTTGTTACTAGAAGAATTGCAGTTGTGATTACGGATTAGGTTGTTCAATTATTAAGTCTTTAGGTGAGGAAGCACCTAATTAAGGATTCTTTTCTGCTTGTGCTTTGTACAGCTTCTCTGGGTGAACCTACTCATAGTAGCTCTTGTACCACTGTCATTGGTTACTAAACCTCCAGCAGATGAACTGATGCCGAGACTCCTTGTCAAACCCGGGTAACATTTCTTTGATGACGGACGTATCTGATTAATTTATAAATACATAACCATGAAATTTTCATGATCCATGGTGATGACCTTCACTTTCTGCTGACATAGTTATGTTCTGTTAGTTCTTATTTTGATCAATATGCTTACTTCCAGTAGGATGGTGATGACCTTCACTTTCTGCTGACATAGTTATGTTCTGTTAGTTCTTATTTTGATCCATATGCTTACTTCCAGTAGGCCCATATCTCTTGAATTTTGAGTTTGCTAGCTAGTTAAACCAAATTGTTGGCTGGCATAAATTTGATGTTCTAATGGGACAATATGTTTTACAGACAACCTCCTAAAAGATATGTAAAGTGGAAGAGACTGCTTGTTCAGGTACATGGATGTTTTCTCTTGATTTCATGTCACCCAAAAGTATTATTAGATCAATCCATGTAGTTTGCTTACATATGTTTTTCGCATTCCAGTTGTCTTCCTCATAATTTGTCATTCTAAATTTGGTTTGGAAATTTCAGGTCCTGTACCAAATTGTTGCCATTCTTATCATCAATTTTCAAGGACGGAGTTTACTGAAAAGTTATAACCGCGGTCATGCCATCAAAGTGAAGAACACAATGATATTTAATACATTTGTTGTTTGTCAAGTAAGTTAATTAGTCTTAACTCATCAATCATAAGAAAGTAGTTTAACTAGGATCCCAGCAATATGAGATATTATTTAGCTTCCCTGTTTTGTCTAGCATGTGAAATGACAACGTTGATATGGCTGTTTCAATTGAAAAGTTAGTTTTAGTCTAAAGTTCGAGCATGATTTTTCATAAATTAGCGCACTTTGAAACATACCTAGCTATTAGTGTACGTAGTCCTTCTATTTCTCTTCCCAATCCTGGAACAAGTACAAAGTTTGAATCGCGTTTCTCCTGTCTCTATCAAAAGAAGAAAAGAGCCATAGCCCTTTATGTGCCTTTCCAGATTGGATGAGACTATGTTACATTATGATTTCAATGATTCAGAATTTTTCAAATCACAGATTATACATGAATTGGAAGCTCGAAAGAAGGGTATACTATCGAAGCCTAAGAAGTGGATTACTTCGAACTATCTCTTTATGGGAATAGTTGGAATAATTCTCATAAGTCAGGTTAGAAATATTTAGTTTGTTTTCTTCTTTTCTCTTTTTTGTTTTTTTTTGTTTTTTTTTGTTTTGTTTTGTTCTTGTTTTTCCTTTCTGGTCACTTGTCGTCTTGACGATTTTGCATTTGTTGACACTAAGTTTTCTGTGTTCTTCAGTTTATCGTCATTGAGTTTCTAGGGAAAGCATTCTCCGCAGTGGCGCTTAACCAGAAAGAGTGGCAGTTTTCCCTCACTCTTGGTTTTACCGAGTAAGTTCTATGATTTTGGCATGTAGTAGAACAAGTTGAACACTCGTATTTATAATCTTCTGTTGGTCGTTGACAACATTCTCTATCTCTTGCAGAATGCTTTTTGCAATAATTTTATTCGTAAAGTACTTGACACACAGGAACTAGCAAAGCAGTTCAACTCATAGTTTGAATGATTTTCAAGTGGTGGAAGCATTACGACTATACATTATGTGTGACACTATGTGATGATGATTACTCCACAGTTTGAGTCATTCTCACGTGATTCCCCATAGTTAGAGTTTGTTTGAATCTTCTTTATTGATTTTTCATTTGCTATGATATATAGGGATTTATTGAATACCCTCATTCATTTACGTATCAAGTACCACTTCATCTATGCTTCCTTAATTATGTGCGAGGAATTCTCCGTATTTAACTTGAGTTCCATCTTATGAGTTGATGAGGACATCAAATAGGCAATCCTCGGTAACTTTTTAATTCACTTCACTGTCAATGATTATAAATCACACGTTGATGGGTAGAGCAATGATTATAAAGAACGATGATTATCGAGAACAATGATCATCACATATACCTAAAGAAACAATTCATCATCATCATCATGAAAAACTATTAAGCATCTCATTTTCAGAGAAAAACAAAAATCCTAAAATAACTAAAAACCCTATAGCATTCAAATTGGAAGACTCAAGATCCTAAAGGTTTTTCTTTGCTTCTCACCTTCTCTACTCAATCACCAACTCTTTTGCTGTCGAAACTTCTTCTAGGCTATGCTGGATGACAAGTCTACAGTACGTAAAGCCGGGAATACCCTATTCCCTCGGAGGATGAATCTCGAAGCACACCATTATTCCTTTCTAAGTGGACTTGTAAGCAAAGAGTGAGGCCCACTTGTTTTACCTCAATTCACTTGGGTGTTTGATTCAGTTGCTTCTTTGTTTGTTTCTATCTACTTGTAAGCACTATATGACGAATGATCTTTCTTTGTTTGTTTTAATCTACTCCCCACCTCCGGTTTCTATCATGACTACATATGATAATTTATATCAACCTTTGATAGATTTGTGTTCAAAGTTGGAACCAATTAATGAGTTTGAATTGGTGTGGTTATCATTTTGATTTCTAGTGTAAGTTTGAATTTCATAACTTTTAATCATGTTTTTTTTGTCGTCTACAGGTTACTCAGACAATTATTACCATCCTAGATTGTTAACTTAAGTATAAAAAGACTAATTTAGAGTGTGGGCTTTTTCGAAATTCCGAGAGAGTAGTCATCATGTCTGGTCATAATCCACATCATGTCTTCAAGTAAGAAAGATTTCTCCGAACTTGTTGCCCTCCCCGAGTGTTGGAAGCAAGTAAGAAAGACTGATATGCCTCAAAAAATGAAACTTTATAAGTTTTCAAAGGATACCATAAAAGAGTATACTATATAAAATGAGTATACCAATATGGAAAATATTAATTCCTTAGTTTCATTTTGTAAGGACTAAAATTTAAGATTGCAAAAGTTAGGAGAAACATTTTGTTCCCCAAATTTTCAATTTACTTATGCTAGTCTTAATTGTCCTACTCCTTATTTAGTTAAATATTTATATCAATTTTAATTAAATTCAAGTAACATAGATAAGAACAAAAAGTGTAACATGAGTTTAGTTGAGAGGCTATTTTTGTAAGCTATTGACTGGAAAACCTTGTTTTCGTAAATTGTTTAGTTGAGAGGCTATATTTATATACCTACATACATGTATAGTAGGCTTTCATTTTTATGGTAATCCAACCCATGATCAGGCTCGTTCCACAAGCTTCCATAAAGATTTAATAACCCGAAAAATTGCCTACTATTTTTCTTATTTTGGTGAAAAATAATATTATGTTCAAGAATGATTTCGGATATTTTATCGAGTATCTTTTGATTTATAATATTGGATATAAGTGTGTTTAAAGGAAAGTTGGACGAAAATGTCCTTTTTGTGATTTATTGAAGTTTCATTAAGGATCTTTGAGAAATTGAAGTTGAAAATTAAGATGCTTGAATAGAAAAATAAATCGTGAGCTTATGAGAGCACAAGAGCAAACTATTGAAAATCGGAGTTAAAACGAAGAAGTTATGCGCATTAGAAGTTTGAGGTGTCAAACTGTAATTTGAAATTATTATAAATAACCAGAATCAGAAATTCAATTTACAATTTCGCTCTGACCCACTTACCCAATTTGAGACCTGATTACTAAGTGATATCTAAATGACATGACCCGACTTTTTTGGTTGAGGTGCACACCACCACCCCGTTGAAATATCTCAACAACACGATTATAACCCAGTTGGCCTTGTCGTGATCAGAGCTCTGATTAATTAGCGGCAAGCCTCCAAAGTTTTGCTGTGTGGTCGTGTGTTCAATCTCAATTATGGCCAAATTGGACAAAATCTCAAGTCGACCCATGTATGAAACTTTCTCTACTCATCGAGCTCTTCAATTTAGCATAAGTGGTGACCGGTGATTTTGACTTTTATGTTGCCGAAATTTTCTCACGAGACCCATGCGCGGTGGAGGCACATGGGGCTAGCTTGGGAGACGTGTTTTCGTCTCTGTGTGATGTCATCAATGCCTTGAGCATGACAGTATGTTCAGATTCGTGAGATTCGATATTTGATTAAAGATTTGAGTTTCGCCTATCATTTATCGTTCAATCAATCAGATCGTTGGATCGTGTTCAGCTTTTAGTATATGTTGTTGTTGGTATTACTAGGACTGTGTAGCAACTTGTGGATTGAGAATCGAATGTGCATAGGTCCGAATAAATGATTCTAGGGTTATGTTGATTGATTGTCGTCCATTTGTGCGATCAACAGAAATCCAACCGTTAGATTGCAGCCAAATTGTTAAGATGTGTTCCGGTGATTACAAATTGTTAATTTCCATATTGGACTTGGTCCTTGATTGGTGTTAGTCCTTGTTTTCTCTAGTCTACCGTAAGTGGGGCTGTAACATTTTCATATTTGAAAGATGTCTTCGTGGAAGATTCATATCCCAAGATGTCTTTGTAATATCTGCAAATTGATTGACACTTTGTTAGTAAGGTTTGTTTGCATTGGTATTGGAAGATTCTATTAATGCCACATTTTTTCTTAAATATGTTGACATGCATCTCTTCTCATTAATGTACGTGTCCATAACGAGTCATCCATTAATTGCTCATATCTCCCGTACAATGATGTGTACTTCTTCAGAGACTGCGAGAAGTGGTTTGAGAAGACAAAGCTCCCAACATAAGGATCAAGGCCAAAAAAATACATTTGCTGTACTGGTTAATAAACTACATGGTAGCTTACTAGTAAAGGAAGCAGAGCTAGGATTTGATGAAGCAAATTTATTGTAAATCAAGGATATACCGAAATGATAAACTTCTTCACCATTTTAAAGAGAAGAGAATGGCCTTTGCTAACAAGTTTTTATCAAAAATAGCCAAACTTTACCCACCCCCCATCCCATTTTCATAAATGTCAGTTTTTATAAAAACTTTCAAAAATAGCCAAAAACTCACTTAAATAGACTTAAATGTCCTCAAAACTAAAACCCACATAAATAAATAAAAGAAAGTCGGTTAGACAAAGGAAAAAAAAAAGGAGAGTGCAACACAAAATCTATTTTGCTGCTATTATGCTCCCTTGTAACTGCGGGAAGAGAAATTAAGAAAGCTAGAGATGTAGACTCTAGACTAACGACATGGGAAGGCTGTTTGTGATCAGTCTTGAAGGAAACATCTAGCTGCAAGCACTGCAAAACCTATCCTGCTCTTGTTGATGACATACTTTCTAAAATTCTAAGTCGTTTAACTGAAGACATGGAAGGGTTTATTTTTTTGATAAATTTGTAAATGTCACACTTGGAGAGAAAGAAGAAAAGCCAGAAGTACACTGTTCCTAACATATTTTGTGTTTCATGAAGTTTAATGGTGGGGTGGGAAATATGAGGCTACAAAGGAGAAAAGCCAGAAGTACACGGAAGGGAAATTTATCCTTGAGACATTCCATATTCTTGGTCTTGATGGAAGCAACTACTTTATAACTCTAGAAACTCATATTGGTGGAAGCGATGCTGATAATGCTTGATTGATCAAACATTCAGGAAATTGCACTTAGTTAAAATGTATATTCTTTGCTACCACCTTTTTTCTTATCACATTTGGATTGATTTTTCTTAGTCGATGATGTAATCTAGGGTCCTAGGTTATTTCTATTGTCATCTCCAATTGTTTAGAACCTTGCCATTTTGAAGACCAATAAGTTCTTAAAAAAAAACAAAACAAAACAAAAGTTGTATACTTCTGATTTGCTATGTTTGGTGTTATCTTCTTCAGTTGATGCTTGAAAAGGTTGCAGGTGGGAGATGTCTATTTGGCATAGTAGTCGAATCATATGCTTAGATATGAAATCAAGTTTTCTTGTAGTCTGTTTTTTTTTTTTTTTTTTTTTTTTTTTTTTTTTTTTTTTTGTTTTATTTATTATTTATATTTTATTTATTTATAGTTTTAGTATTTGTTTTTTATTTTTTGTCTATATTAAGTGAGTTTTTAGTTATTTTTGAAAGTACATTTATGAAAATTAGGAGGTAAATTTTAGCTATTTTTTATTTAAAAAAACTCTTTGCTCCGTGGCCCAAGCCAAAAGATTGTCTGCAATTTCCATTTCCCAAATACTATTATTTTTGTTTCCTTTATGGATTATTTCCATCTAACTTTTTTCCCTCATTTGCATCTATAATCTTTTTCTTCACTCTTATGTCACTTTTTCCTTATCTATCTTTAATTAAAATATAAACAAACAAAAATGAAAGCCGACCTAACCAATTAAGAATGTTATATTATTAGTTTAAATAATGCTTATCAAGATGTCTACTATTATCATCACATTTTAATTTTCAATGAAACAAACCCTCTTAAACATCTGAGGTCCAGTCCTATATGTATTTTGTCAAGCATCAGATGAGCACATCATTTCGTTGTCATTTGCTAAAGAAAGCCACATTTAAACATGTACGAAATGTGAAAATCTGATACGATTTTTGTCCTTGTGAGAGAAAAAACAGGTGTTGTTTGACTTCTTAATCTTGTTTTGTTCCCACCTTATCATCCCATAATCATCCAAGACTTGTCGTACAGTACCATATATATATATGTCCACAATTTTTAATGCGGGCTAACTATTTAAACGTACGTGACATAAGCCACGGATATATATCAGCAACCCCTTGTTGAACAAGTTCCTACCCTTATCATTAATATCTAGTGCTTACGCTGTACATTTCAGGGATCTTAAACATGTACGGCTCACAAGAAAAGCAAAGAATTTGAGATTTCTTTATAAGAGACCAGGTGACAAAAGTTGAAGGCGGCTTCTATTAAATTAGTCTGCACTTAAATTGGTTCGTCGCTTTTTTTTAAACACAATCCTAAATCACATCTTAATTTTTTGACTTAGATGGCCGCGCACACAATTTTCTCATCATCTCCGAATTTTAAGTCAAATTTTAGGGCAGTGGGGAAATATTCATACTTAAAATCTATGTCACATACAATGGATATGCAGAGAATAAACACATTATTCTCGGCATAAATTATGCTAACCAACTTTTAATGAGGAAAAATTATCAAATTGATGATTGTTTGATTAGCACTGAGATTATTGAATTAAGGTCTGCTATATAGATTAAGATAATTAATCACTGCCAATTAAAGAGCATGTGCTGCACAAATCATTCATTGGTCGGAATTTAATTAGAGGATAAGATAAAAGAGGACCTGGAGGCACAAATAGTTGTTGCTGTGTATACTTGCACGCCAAATGGGAGAAGAAAAAATTTGTGGGAATGACAAACAATAGTAGATTTCACAACCCCAATATTATAAGAGCTCGGCGCACCACATATGGGATTCAAAGTTTCTTTCTTTCTCTCTTTCTTTTTTCTTTCAAAAAGGGTTATGTGATTGTAAGAACTGTCGCATAATAAATAACTGTGACTTTTGATATCATAATAGAATGTGAACATTCAACGTAAAAACAATTGACAATGAGTACAGAAACTTAACTTAAGATCGTTTAAGCTCTTGTGTACGATATTAAAAGGCTTTTAACTGAGAGTTGTGGATGTTTTATTCCAACCCAAGAAGGGCAACGGGGCAGCTCATTCGTTGGCTCAACATGGGTCATATGTACGGCAAGATTGTAGATGGGATAGGGATGGACCTTTTTGGTTGTTTTCTATTTTGATTGAAGATAGGGATGATGGGTAGGCAGGGAGTTTTTTTATGAGTTGTACTTTTTTTTAATATCGAATTTTCATCTTTATGGGGTTTTTTATGCCAAGGTTTTAACGAGACACAATTTTTCAACTTGAATCTAGTTTTCATGGTTTTTTCAGTTTCTACATTTGTAAAGTTTGCAATTTGCTAGTTCAATGAAGTTATTTTTTCTTGATCCAAAGAAAAGGTTTTTTATGCTAGTTTCTATCTCCAATGTGGGATACTAATAATGTAAAACAAGAGGGCCGATGTTTCATATATGTTTTATTATGTAATTAGTATACGTATATCTCCTATCGAATTTACAAAGTTCAGAACTTTAGATGAGATCTTGAGAAGCTAAAACCTCATGTTAAGAACAACTTTAATTAGTACCGTATCCTGTGGAGTCACCATCCAATTATTTCTCTAATATTTCATGCTCCTAGGATAAAAATAATACATCGTTGCTTGGTGGAGTCACCATCCAATTAAAAATAATATTTCATCCAACTTTAGTAACGTCATCATATGTGGATGATAGGGTTGATATTTCAAAAACGTGTGACAAGTCACAACGTTGTTTGGTGTTAATAATTCATGTGTTATAATATGAGTAGATAATAAAGTTATAATATAATAATAATAAATAGATACACATGTTATAACATAAAAGAATTATTAACATCACGTTGCGATACGACCGTCAGACCAAAAATTTCATTCATACATGGATCTTAGAGAACTAGTATGGTATGTAGATCACAATGAAAATTTTCTGAGTTCTTGCCAATTGTATATACTTGCACTCTCTAACATGGTCCGATCAAACTACATGTGCCCTTTTAAGGAAAACAAAAAGAAAAGAAAAGAAAAGAAAACTCCTCTCTCGACCACTAAAGTATCTTTTCACATTATCATCACAAAATGTTTTAGTGCATGATTTGAGAGTTAAGAAAAAAACATATCTAATAATTTAATTGTTGAAATGAATGGCAGTACATGGTTTCGATAATATGCCCTCGAATATTTTGTCATAACACAACCACCATATTCCCTAGAGCAGTGGTTAGACCATCAGAATCACATGTTTTCTACTTTTTCTAGTTCAACTTGGAGTAGTTGCAGAGTAAAATGAACTGTCCAAAATTATGCTATGCAAACATGAAATTTCTAAATTTCTTTGTTCATGAATACAAACAAAGGAATTAATTATGTATACCAATTTAGAAAATTTAACTATTATTCACATTCCAAATTTATTTCTATTACGCAAACGCAAGGTTAAAGTCTTAGCAAATTAAAGTTTGTTGATTTGTGTGGTAATTTGAAAAGGTATATTTATTATTTCAAAATTTTATGTCCCATCAAAGTCTTCAATTCCGATTAGTTAAAGAATTGTAAGAATCTAAGGAAGAAAACAATGGATAAATTGTCATTACATGCACACCCCCTTGCGTAGCCATTTGACAATTTTATAAAAGACTAATTAAACTACAAGAAACAACGAGTAATAAAAACATAGAGAAATTGCTTGTTGGATTTGGTCCAGGGACCGACACCGAGAAAATAAAAAGTAAGCGATAAGAATAGGGCAAATCACAATAAGCCAAAGTGGGCTACATTTGCGGGTGGCCGGAAGGTAAGGGTTGACTTAATCCAAGTGGGAGACATGGCCACGCAACCCCTAAGCATACGGCCTTGTACTTTCCTCACTAACGTCATTCACACGTGGTAGGTACTCTCTCTCTCCTCTCTCTCTCCATTCCGTACGTCCTTTACACTCTCTCTTCTCTTCAAATATTCATACCTTTATTTTCTTTCCTTCCAAACAAGCACCTTACAAACACAGCGCAAAACACAAAATAAGCCCCCCTCTAGAAAGTTTCTATCTTTAATCTTCTGTTTGTTGCTCGAGAAGGAATTTGATCTAGAATCTTTCTCGGGTTTGCGAATATGATGTACGAACAGCAACAGCACCAGCAGCAAATGAGAATGGATACCAAGAAGAAAGCTGCTCATGAGAGGAAAAAGTCAATGGATGAAGAGAGGCTTGAGATTGTGGATTTGAGTGGGATGTCTCTTGATGCCCTGCCTAATCCTTCCCTTAATTTGGGAACTATTTGCAAGCTTGATCTTTCCAATAACAATCTTCAGGTACTAATTCTATCTTAATTGAATTTATTTAGTCTCGCAATCATCTCATCTCATAAGCAGCACCAGTACATGGTGAAGGTTCATATTTCTGTATGTTGGGGGATTAGAGAAGCCTCTGCATACTAACGTATATTATTTTATATATATGCATATATTTCTTCTAATATTCGCTTCTGGTGTAAATTTTACAGAACATACCAGAATCCTTGACAGCAAGGTTACTAAACGTGCTAGTGCTGGACGTGCATTCAAATCAGCTGAAATCTCTTCCAAACTCAATTGGATGTTTGTCCAAGCTTAAGGTCCTCAATGTTTCTGGAAACCTTCTTGCATTTCTCCCAAAAACCATTGAAAATTGCAGGTTCGTTGTCTCTTCTTTTCCTCTTCCTCTTTCCAATTCAATGACAATAACTATTTCATTAATTAATTCTTGATATAAATAAACAAAGGCAATCCTTAATTTATTTATTAATATTTTTATATAGTGATTTTCTGGAAATTTAATCATTTAAAAAAAATTGAAAAGTAAATAAGAGATTTCACTTAATTAAGGAATATGCTGAATGAATTCACTTAATAAAATTTGTCAATGTGTTCCAAGAAAATTCTTAATTAAATGACTGGTTATAAAATGTTTGGCTTAAAATCAAGTAGCAAGGGGCTTCTAGCTTTTCTCCTAGTGGACCACTACAACTTTTCTTTTTAAGCAAAAGAAGTAGCAAGGGGCTTCTAACTCACGTGGTTAGGAGCATTTACTCCTGCGTACCCGAGGTTCTAGGTTTGATTCCCCCTCCCATCGTCCCACCAATATTGATTGTATCAAAAAATCATAAAGAACTAAGAAACTTCTAGGTTGAGTCTGGGGATCCTCTTTATACGATGAAACGGATGCAATTAATTTCTTTACATATATGACAAAATCATACATTAATATCATATTCAACTGTTATGAAACCGTCTTCTAATGTCACCCTTTTCTTATATTATATTCAACACCATTAATATTGCATCACATGAATTCACAATTACACCAAAAACGGGTCCATATCGTGATCCGATTCGAACATTGAATAGAAATATTTGAAAAACCCTAGTTATTAATTCAAGCAAGATCCTTTTTCTAACAGAAGAAGACATGGCTTTCTAGTTGTTGTAATAATTTTGTTGTCCAATAATCTGATCATTTCTCAATAAAATATTACATTTTTATATCATATTATGTGGCATGTTCATATCATATTTCACATCAATTAAATCAATGAAGTGTTTTTTAATTAAGACAATTAGAAAAACAAATATTGGAATAAATCATAGAAGAAAAGAAAATATTAAATAAATTTAATTAATGTGGCTATCCACCTCAGCTGCCACATAAGATAGTATAAAAATGTGTTTAGAGTAGCATTATTCTTTTTGGAAGTCCATCTTGTGATAGCTGCTTTTGACTTGTGGGAACCAAATGAACGGTGAAGATAAGTTGCAACAAATAAGTCAAAAGTAGAATTTAATTTCAAATTGAAAACTCATGAAGTAACAGTTACACGCATGCAAAGACAAGTAGGGCAACCATAGACCGTACAACCAGTAAACTAAGCAACACAAAATGGTTACGGCACTTTAAAATAAGGTCAACCAATACATAATGGTTCCCCACTAGTGGGTCTTATACCAAAGAAAAAAATAATAAAGAATTCTTTTTAGTAAAAATGTGTGTAGTTTACGATATGATCATATGAGTGTATTAAATTATACATTAGTTTGAACTTAATCGTGGTTTTACAATTACTCAGGTCATTGGAAGATCTGAATGCCAACTTCAACAAGCTGAGCCAGCTCCCAGACACCATTGGTTTTGAGCTCCACAACCTCAAGAAGCTATCAGTGAACTCCAACAAGCTTGTCTTCCTACCACGCTCCCTCACCCACCTGTCTTCTTTGCGCGTACTAGACGCTCGTCTCAACTGCCTCAGGTCCCTCCCTGAAGATCTTGAGAACCTTATCAACCTTGAAATTCTCAATGTGAGCCAAAACTTCCAGTACCTTGAAACCCTACCATACTCCATTGGCCTCCTCATGTCTCTTGTCGAATTGGACGTCAGCTACAACAAGATCACGGCTCTACCAGACTCCATCGGATGCCTCAAGAAGCTTCAGAAGCTTACTGTACAAGGCAACCCTATGTCTTCGCCTCCTCCTGAGGTGTTTGAGCAAGGATTGCATTCAGTGAAGGAGTACCTTAGTGAGAAAATGAATGGGGGACACAAGAGCCCACCCAAGAAGAAGTCTTGGATGGGCAAGTTGGTCAAGTACGGCACGTTCAACGGGGCTCGAAGCGTGTCCCGGGAGGAGAAAGAAGGGTTCATCATGCCCGAGTATCGCTCCATCGACGGCCTTGCTTCCCCGAGGTACATGGGGATGTTCTCACCACGTCGCCTCTTCTCTCCCCGTAATTACTTCACTCGGTGAAGGGTAAAATCGTCTTTCGGAAAAAAAAATAATGAAAAAATTAAGAATCCTACTTACGTTCATGAATCATGAGTTTGAATACTCATGAGGATGGGGTTAATTTCGAGTGCGTGTGTGTGTGTTTTTGTTTTGGGTGATGGTATTGGTAATTAATGGTGTTATAAACCATGTAGGTAAGTGGGGTTGATAGTACGTAGGATCGAGGGTTGTCTTGTGGATAAGTTCTTTGAGCAGATCATGTAGCCTGCATTATAAATAGTATTATAGGTCTCCTCTATATCAGATAGATACATGGGGTCTATGGGGTCATTTAAAATATTAGTATTTCATGCATGTCTGGTCTGTAAATAAATTTCATGGGCTTCATGTACAGTTTTGGATCTTTTTATAAATAAATCTTTTGTAGCTACCGAAATTAATTATATCCTTTTTTTCTTATCCTTTGCTTCATAATCATATGTTTAGGCAGAGAACCAAGACTTTGTTCTACCCAAAGTAACGAGCCAAATGTGAGCGTGTGTGTATATATATATATATATATAAAGAAAAACTAGTAACCCCTTTTGGCTAAGAGAAAAAAAAAATACTAGTAATTAAACAAAATCAAAAGTCGTGTTTCTTAAATTAACATTACTAGGAATAAGAAAATTGGGTGCATATCTCGAGGCAATAAGTCTAGACTGAGTGAGTGAGTGGCAATTCACATGAAAAAAGGGCTTTAACCTCAAATCCACTACTTCCTCATCTTCGTCCTTATGAAAACAATATACTCACATCTTAACTAGTTTTATTGGTTTTGTTGCTTTTTGGTTCATTATATGCATGCGATCACCCAATTTGAGAGTTCAAATCTGTGAGTTTTTAGGCCGAAAATCAAGTGGACTTCGGCTTGTTGAAAGTGGTTGTTCATATTTCGCTCAACACGAGCGCCGACCAAAACACAATTGGTCAATGTTTAAACTCAAGAAGTAAACATCCATATATCTCGTCCAAAACCTCCTAAACGAGGATTTGAATGTCCTTTTATCAAATGCAAATTGATTGTATTGTCCTTAAGAAGGCTTTTATGCTCAAGGCTAAAATGATCATTTTGAATTCCATTATAAAGGATTTTTATTTTATTTTATTTTTACATAAGCTTGGAAGATTTGAACACGGGACCTTGAGTGCATGAGTAACTACTTTTTACCACTTGAACTACAAGCACTTTGCCACTAAAAGGGAGTTTACTGACCGAATTTGAGGAGTCTAAATAATAACACCCTATATAGGTCTACATTGATTAAGGGTTTGTTTGGGATGTGAAACTAGTTTTGTCGTCAACCAACTAGCCGTTGATCTAGCAATATTTGTCTTCATTTGATTGGAGGAGGCTTCAATAGATTTGACTACTTGGATAGCTAGACAATTTGTGATGAGCTTACTTAGCTTTGTTGTGGTATATCGGGCCATTGTAAGCTCATTTCAAGAGGCTTTGTTTAAGAGCAGTATAGTGTTGTGGTTTTTTTAATTGGGAGGGATGTCAACTGTAGCATTTGTAATCATTTGGTTTTTTTTAGTGTTGTAATTAAACATTCGTCTACTTGCAAAATGGCTACTGGTTTCGTGCACCTTCAGTCGATTTGAACAAACCTAGCAAGCTTTCCTCTCAACGAAGTCTAAATTTTGCAGAACAAGGACATTTAAATGACTCAGGCATCGATTTGAACCAAACCCAAACAGACTCAAGACCTACAACCATACTTATACCAGAAAACTAATCTTACAAAAATACATCCAATAATAACATAATTACTTCTAAACTCCAATCATACAGCAACGCAGAAGACCAATAATCTTGAGGACATTCTATCTACAAGGCAAAATCCATAAACTAAGAAAGTAAACGGAAGATTCAGCAGCCTCTGTGAGTTTTATCATAAAACCTTATATTTTTTAAGGATGTCAAGGCCATAGATTTGTGATGCACAGATCGGACTGAAAGCCAAACAATGCCAAGGCACGTATGGAATCCATTTCCGAAGAACAAACCAACGATTCTGTTTTCAAAATCTCCGCATGCCAATTTCTTGTTGATTTTCCATCTGCTGTATGGAAGTAGGGAGGGTAGACTGGAGAAGAGGTCATAAGGGTTACAATGCTTGTGCGCGTGTGTTCTTTTGTTACAAATGGAGTGCCAAAAAAGGGTTGAAAATGGGAAAATGGGAAAAGCTTCTTAAGATCCTAGTGATCAGCTTGATCTTCTAGTGACAGAAGGGAGAGATGTGCATCTCTCTCATCTGAAACTGAGAATTCCTGTGTATGCAGACGTGTTGCCCCAAAAACAAATGAGTTTTTCTATGCATTCCATTTTGTTTTTCATCCAAGCAAGTAATCATCATGCAGGGCCTGTACTTTTCCTTGTTTCCAATATTTTTTACTAGTTTTCCATAAAATAGAAACAATTCCTGAATGTGACCTGTGATGGATAGTAAGGTAACAGCCTAGACCACAGAGGAAATAAGTTTTGAGGACAATGAGAATCAATTGTAATAGTTACAGAGCATTTCCTGACTATTAAATAAGCAGCAGCAGCTTGGGCAAACACTAGAACACCGCCACTAGAAAACATGGATATGGATACAAGGTACACATATGATATGGATTAGACTCTACCAACCTAAAAGAAAACAAAAGTTATAGTACTGTTCCGAAACAACAGTAAACAAAAACATCTTCAATCAAAAGATAATCCCTGTTGTAGTTAGAAACTAAAAGTTGACAAGTCATCTACTCAAAGGAAGTGTTCATATATGCATTGTCATTCATGTACAATTAGCAAAGGATGTTATAAGCCAACCCATCCTGCGTTTTCATTTATGATTATAGTCCTTCCCTATTAAAAAACCAGAAATTCAAAGTTTAGCACCCCCTCACATTTGCAAAAGCCTATAGACTATGTTCCCTTAACAATCCTATGACATATGCTTATTTCAAACTCCTACTATGTATCAAAAAACATTGACATGGATATGATGCTATACTATTAATATAGAAATTGAGGGGCACTTTACGAGTGTTACAATCTCATATCGACATTTAGTATTATTCATGTAAAATGCGTATCAGTATCTCAAATGAAGTCCTTCACAGAAGTACCGGTGGTACAAACCATCGTGTCATAGTATCCCCGGATTCATTGGTAAGAAAAATTTCCAGTAACGATGTAAAGATTTAGAGTTTTAACCCAGCAGACATTATGCTTGCAATTACAAGCAAAATTTATCACACAGAATTCCACATTCTCCACCATAGTGCAACACATCGAATTCAAAGAATATCATAGAGTATAATCTAGTCTTGGTCCCTAGTGTTAAATGATTTCTTCCATGATAATACAATTACAAAACTTTATGCTGCTGAGCCAATAATATTGTTGTGAGACCTTCCAAACCCACTTAAAGCATGCTTCTTTTAGGCAATAAACAAGAAATTCGATTGAACAAAAGCAGAGAGTAAAAATCAAAAACAGATAAATCACGAAATGATACAGAGAGATATCAGATTCAAATTATACGATAAATATATAACCCCATGTCTAAATTAAACCATAATTGAGGTCCACAGTTTGCAAAATCAACTGAAACTGAAATCGAAATTGAAAATTAAGGTGCTAATTAGCTAGCTAATGAAGATAAGCCGGGATCTTGATGCGAATAAAGAGCATACTCATAACATAGGCCAAAACGACCGAAGATATCCCTGCAGTGGCATACGAGACTTTCACACTCTTGGCTCGGTTTCGATCCAGGGCCAAGTCCATCAGCACAATGCCGATCCCGCCCAGCACGAACATGAACCCGGACGACAGACCCTCGATTATGTACTGCCCGTTGACCCGGCCCTGGAGGAAGACGACGGGTCGGACCGAACCCGTGAGGCGGTCCTGGGTAGATCCGATGCCCGGAGGCTCGACAATGACATCGTAGACGATTCCGGAGACGACCATGAAGTAGGTGAGGAGAACGAGGGCGTAGACGGTCATGGGGGAAGGGAGGGTGAGGGATGGGAGCTTGAGTCGGAGTCGGGGCGGGCGGAGGAAGCTGTAAGGGAGGATCCGAACGAAGAGGAAAAGCGGGTCGATGGAGGCGGAGGATGGGTCGTAGGGGGTGGTGGTTGTGGCGGTGGTTGGGGGCTGGGTTTCTGATTTTGGGGGCATTTTGGATGGATCGGATTTCGGTTTTGGTGGGGAGTTGCCGTGTGGAGTGCAGGGGAGTGAAGGGTGATGACTATCCCGACTATCTGAGGGTGAGTTGGGAGTTAGATGGGTTTTGAGTTTTAAGGAGGGGTAGTTTTGATATTCAATAAATAGAGAGCAATAACCTCCTCTCCTTTTTTTCTTTTTTTTCTTTTTTTTTTAAAGAAATTATATTCATTCACGGTGCGTTTAGATGAGGGAAATGAACTTGGGATTTTGACACAAGTCAGAATTTCTAAATTGACATGAACCAATTCCCGTATTTGGATAAATAAAAAAAATATAAATTTAGAAATTTCGTGTGAGAAAAAACATGGAATTTGGATATCATAAATCACAACTTTAAATTATATATAAAAGTCATCATTTCTAAAATCCCAAGAGAGATTGAGTTTTAAAAAAAGATAGCTTTACAAATAAAGGTTAAATTCCATGTTTTAAATCCGTCACCCAGACAAGAAACTTTACAAATTCTATAATATTAATTTCAATTATTTATGAAATCTCTTGTACTTTGAAATTTCCTCAAACGCACTGTCATAGAATCAAAGTAGCGTATATAGAACAACACAAAACAATGGTCTTGTTAAAATCTTCTTGAAGGACAAACCTCAAGGTAGGAAAGAGTACCACACATGTCATAGACTAACAAGACAAGAGAGTATGAAACAATCACGAAGGACCAATGCTAGAGCAAGATAAAATAAAACAGCAAACTAACACATAGACCTTCGACGAAAAGACCTTTGACGAGAACACTACAACACAATCCAACTGTCAAAAGAGTCCTACTATGATATTATAGTCCTTTGTACAGCCACAAGACAGTGAGAACATCCAACAGAGAACACGATACGTTGAGAAGAAAGAAAATAACCATTATGCATACCATCTCCAGCCACCTCTAGTAGTAATTGGCGATGAAAAAATAGAAATCTGTAAGGAGCAACACAAAGAAGAGACTGACCCAAACAGGGCATGTAATTAGAGAGACGAATAAAAAATATTTGAGGCATCACAACTATCCATGTAAACAATTTGCATGGACGTCTCAAACGATGTTGAGTTAACACAACAATTGAGGAGAAATATGATGATACAAGAAAGAAAAGTAGCTAGCTGTCCACACACTAGACATTAGCCTCATAAGTAAGGGTGGCATTTTAGACTGAAAAATCGAAAAACAGCAAAAACTAACCGACAATTTACAGCAATGGAACCGCAATCATGGGAAACCGAACCACATTTGTGGTATGAAGAACCGAACCGCATTTGCGGTTGCGGTATTTGATTTTCAAAACTTGCGGTTACCCAAACCGCAACTATATTTTTATTTATTTAAAATACTGCATTTTGTAGATGACATTGGTGCTCAAACGACACAACGGGGTCCTTCAAATCCACTCACCATCACCAACACTTGAGTTTGTAACTTTAATTTGTAACATTGGTGCATTGCATTTTCCTTTTAGTTTGTAACTTTAATTAACTTTGAATTTGATTTTTCCTTTGGGTTATAACTTTAATTCATTTTACATTGCATTTTCCTTTTAGTTTGTAACTTTAAAGGATTTGAAATTGGAATGCTTGAGAAGTTTAACTTTAATTTGAATGCTTGGAATTGTAACTTTAATTTTCTTTAGGTTGTAAATGCTTGAGAAGTTGAGGAGGTTGTGAATTTATATATGCTTGAGAAATTGAGGTTGTGAATTTATATTTTTGGGTTAAAGTATGCTTGAACTCAAAAGGCTTCAAAAGAAGCATAAAAATTAGGCCTAAAATGTGGAAAATTAGATTTTTATGACACAAAAAGAACTTGAGGTTTTAAACCGCTAATTCACGGTAACCAATGCGGTAAACCTCAAAAATCAGTTTGCAGTTTCAAAAATCACCATACTGCAAATAGTCGGTCGGTTTGCAGTTTGGGCAAAAATTCGCGGTTACCGAACCGCAACCACCCCTACTCATAAGTGTGGGCTACTGACCTTGGTCATCAAGTTGGAGATTCTTATATTTGGAACTAGCTTTTGCTAAACATGCTTAAGCATGTTCTATTTTTCTGAAATAAATAAATAAATAAATTTAGTAGCGGGTGTTGGTTGCGTGATTTAGGGTTTAGGATTAGGATCAAATCATATGACCAAAATTGCCGTTAAGGCCCAACAAGGGCACTACCAACTAAATCGAACTAGACCAATTCCAATGAGTTAGGTTGTTCTTGGGCCGTCATTTAACAATATAACAAATCCAAGTGAGGGCCTTATCTATAGTCCTTTATGTGAGGTCCTATCTATTAACCGTCAGATTAAACTAACTAATTTGATTCAACAACTAATCAATTTGATCCAACGATTAAGAGATATGGCCTCACCTAAGGGCCATATACAAGGGCAGCCCTGGGGTGGTGCAAGTGGCGCCATCACACAGGGCCCTCGAAAAAAAAATCTTTATATTATATATATATATATATATATATTAATATTATACGAATTGTATATATAATATAGCGTCTAGATACTTGCACAACAGTATATTTAGGGGAGTTGGCTGTAGCGCATATCTATTTGACAAGAGTGCCAGAATTCGATACAACTTGAGGTCGATCTATTGGCCTTTTTTATATTATTTTTGCATTCAAACTTTACATAATTATAAAATTATAAAAATTTAAAAATTTAAAAAAAAATACAGAAAGCCTTTTGAAAACAAGAAACATCGAAGCTTAACCACACCACAGGAGGAGTATATATATCCCCCAAACTATTGTTCTTAAAAATAAAATAAAAAAGGTTTTCTCCTTCAAGAAAAGTACTTTCTTCATTTAAAACAAAACGAAAAAAACTTCATGGCTTCTTTTTTTCTCTTAAACTCTGATTTTCTGGTAAGTAATCATTATTATTCATCAATTTCTCTTTGGTTCTTTTTTAAATCCTTTGACAATTTCAGGAATTTGAACACCAAAAAGAGAAAACCCCAATTCCTAAATTCATAAAGACCACTCAAAATCAAATAGTCAAATTCAAATCTCAATTCAAATTCAGGTAATGTTAAACACTTAACTCTGAAATAATTGTCAGTTACACGTTGGGAAAGCCGTATTGAAAGTGTAAGGGCAATAAGATTCCAAGCTCCAGATTTAAGAGAAGCTTTACTTCAGCTAGCATAAAGTGACGGTGACTCCAAAATAACGGACTAGCTTTGATTTAAATTGAAAGTGAACTTCTTGAAAAACTTGATTGTGAACCTTTGATTGATGATTTCTCTTCTAAAAATTCAAGAAGATCAATTTTCAAACATTAGTATTGTATTGGTTTTTTTTTCTTTTGGGGGAAAAACTCTTGTAATAGTTTTAATTCTTCAAATAAGACAGCAAATATAATGTGAATGGCCCTGGCCATATATAAGGCCCTCATTATATAATTGTATGGGCTTTTTCGTTCCGGCAGCTACTACGAGCCTGGGCTGCCGTAAATAGCAAAATGGATGAAATTGCCCTTTGAGCTTGAGTTCGAAGATCAAGCACCAAAAATGCTTCAAAAGGACAAAGATGCCTTAGGAAACACCTTGGTTACCTTCACCAACAAAAATAACAACAGCTTACAGATAAATTTTCTAGCTTGGCATGAGAAGGTTGTGGCATGGGAGCAAAATTGTCATGAGTTTAGCACTGAAGAGAAAACTAAGTGTTCCTAGAGGGGAAAAAGGGTATTAAGGTATGAGATAAAGAGTTTGCAAAGAGGTTTGGCTGAGAATAAGGAAAAATAGAGGAATGGGTGACTTGAGTATTATTCCCGATAGCTTGACAGTGACTCTGTCAAATGCTATAGCAGCCTGCCAAAATGGGAAAAAATAGGGAGGAGGATGAACAGAGCACGAATTTGCTGGGTGTTGCAAGTGAGAGAGGAAACTTGCTCTCTGAAATGTGGGTTCTTTTTGGTAGGGTAGAAGAGGCCCCTTTTATAACCACTGGAAGCCATCTTTTTCCAAGAAACCCTAATGGTTTCTATCTAATTTGGCCAAATTTTTTCCTTCATTTCTCCTCCCCTTCTTTGATTTATCTTATTCTAGCAAAATCTTCTTTGTCCAATCTCACAAAATCATGGATTTTTGGGAGCTCAATACTCTTCCCCGCAACTGCCTCTATTTCCAGCCATCTCCTTCTTTTCTTTTCTTCCTTCTTCTATGGTCAGGTCTGATGAGGGAAAGATAATGGGTATGCATGCTGGTTCAAAAGGCGATTCCTCTCCTAGCAGGCTGTGTGCCAATATCCCTTGGTTCCTTGGGTGTCTTTTGCTTGAAACTTGCTCCTTTCCTATGTGTTGGAACCTCCCAGTAGCTTTGTATAATGGATCTTCAGACTTCCCCTTCGTGGCTTTTGTTTTTCCAGCCAAGTGCTGGGGCTTTTATAGCTCATTATGGTAATTGTATGGGCAAGGGTGATTCATTAAGTAAGTGGGCTTTCTTTATCAAGCGTTTGGGCTTTTTGATTGAGTCAATAGGCTATTTTGGTTGGGCTATTTTTGTTTGGAGTGATGGGCTATTCTTTTCTCTCTTGTGCTCACCCACATGTTTGGGCCTATTAAATGGGCTTGAGTCCTGAGGCTCTCAAGCAACCCGGGACTTCCATTTCTCGGCCCATCAATGGGCCTTATGACAATTTATTATCATCCATACCACAACCCACTCAAGCAAGCCTCGGGCATCTTGCGTGGCTTGGGCCCACTTAAGCTTGTAACGTGACGTGTTGCTTATTTGCTTGGCGTGGGGTGTGTGCAAGTGCATATGACGAACTTTCGTGTGCCCAAATCGGGTTTCTTCTCGATAAAGTATCGCATTGGGTCGGGAATATATTTGGGTCTAGCTGTGGATTTTTTGGGCCTCAACATTAGCCCCCTTGATTATTGGGGTCATGAATGTGTATTGAAATTATCTAAATAATCAATTTCTAGCCCAGAATAAATTGCAATGGCATGGCATGGCATGGCATGGGTTTAGGAGCAACTCAAGGATGACCAGTTAAGGGTATTTGAAATTACAGCCAGGTCTTTTCCGGGAAGGTTGGAGGGGTCGCAATGGTCCCGCTTAAAACTCAATTCTTCTTAAACACCAAGGGTGTTGCCTTAAAGAACTTTCCTAGACACTGTAATTTTGGAGGTCACTTACTAGAGTTACCAAGAGTTGGCCTATGTTGTGGCATGACAAAGAAGAAAATGCTTGGTGGATTAGCTCAAAATAACTTAGCTTGCATGACTTATTCGATAGAGTGACTAGAGAGGCTTAATTTTGCATGGTTGTGATTTGCAAGAGTTGCATTGACTTGCACGCTTGGTTTTGACATGTATATTTGGTATTGGCATGTATTATTGGTATTTGGCTTGATGCTTAGCATTGGCATGTATGCTTAATTTTGGCTTGATGCTTGGCATTGGTATGTACGCTTGATTTTGGCTTGTATGCTTGGATGCTTGGCATTGGCGTGTACCCTTGATTTTGGCTTGTATGCTTGGATGTTTTGCATTGGCTTGTATTGGAAGGATATTTGAAATAGAGCAGGTGTTGGCAGGGTGTTTGAAATAGGTCATGTGCTGGCAGGATGTTTGAAACATGGCATGTGCTGGAAGCATATTTGAAATAGGGCATATGCTGGAAACTATTTTGTTTGGCATGGACAAGGTGCTGGAAAAAAATGTGACTTGGCTTGGCATGATTAGCTTGGACTTGCTATGAGGATGTGGATAATCTAACGGTTGAGTTGAATTAAGATATAGCTTGGCATGGCATAAGGGTTCACTCTTCCGGCAACATGAATATAGAGCTTGTGTTATTTTCCAGGAGCATCTCATATAGGATTTTGGAATTGGTATGGTTGTGGACTGAATTTGCATTGTTTTATAGCATGACCCTCCTTCAACTCTTTCTTCTCTCTTCAAGATTTAAAACCGTGTGTACTGTGCATCATTACATAAGTCATATTTCGGAAGCTCGGATCATAAAACTTCCTTGATGAAAGTTGTTCATCTGCTCGAGTGCTATAGCCTGTAAAATTTGTAGAATTTTTTTAATTTTTCTGATACCTAAAAGTTGGTCTGCAACTTCTGTGTTCATCCACGGCTGGTGAGTTTCCGCAGATTCTGCTTCTGCATGTGTCTTTAACTTATGATGCTTGGATGATTGCGCTTGCTTCACAAAATTTGCTCGAAATTATGTTGTTTATAACATATCCAAAATTGAGGATCATCCATCCATTCTAGTACTCTCTGCCTCCATTTTTCTGAAGCATGTTCATGAGTTGATGTTGATGCCTTTGTTGCATGCTTGTTTTCTATGCTTGAATGCTTGAGTTCCTCTGTATTTCCCAGTATTTGTGATCTATAAATCAAATTCTGAGGTTGAGCTTTTGATTTAGGATTCTAGCTTGGTGATAAACAAGAGTCATGCAAGCTTACTTGGGTATGCATGCCAAGTGTTTGTCAAAATATCTCAAAGTAGCTTGCTGGCTGTTTTTTGAACTTTTGAAATGTTTCTTTTCGAATCTGAGTTGGAGCTTTTGAGACATAAAAATGGACTTCTCAATGGTTATGTTGGAATTGGTCTTGCGTCACTTGAAGAAAAAATGAATTTTCTGTGGAATTTCAAAGTAAGGGTTAAGCTGCTGGAGCTATGCAGTTCTTGCTGCTGTTAATCTGTTTGACATGCTTCCCTAACTCAAAATGCAATGAAATTTTGGGAAAATGAAGCTTGATATGTCTAGTTCTAATCTGGAAAGTCTGGGATTTGTTGGTTGTAAGCTTGATTTATAGTGATTTTCTAAAGGTAGGATGTTCTAACTAGGATGGTTGGAAAGCTTGTGTATAAGTTTTGCTTGGCATGCTGTTTTTTGTTGAGAATTTGGCATGTCTTTTATGTTGGCATTGAGTGCTGATCTGAGTATTGCTAGAGCATGTTCTTGAGCAATATTCTTGTGAGAGCATGATATTGAAAGGTATTATCGCAAGAGCATAAGTTCTTCAATTTGCTTGAAATGCCTGAGTTTCGTGGAATGCTTGAATGGAATGAAATTTCTTGGCATGTGGATTTGTATTATGCCCTGTGAATTTTTCAAATGCTTGATAGATGAGTTTTCTTGAGAAAATTATGCTTCCAGCGCCTCCCTTTGTGTGAGTACCTTTCCAGCGCCTGATTTTGGCTAACGTATTCTCTTGTTCAGAATCTTCAAAGCATGTGAAAGCATGAGAAGTTTACTTTTCTAGGATTTTGATAACATCAAAGTGAGTTTTGGTTGCTTGCAGCTTGTCTTTGGAAAAAATTATGCTTCAATAGCGATTATGCTTCCGGCATCCCCCTTCTGTTTACGAGTTCTCTTCCGGCACTTGATCTAGCCAATGTACTCCCTTGTTTCTTTTTCAGGCTTGATCGAGAGGTTCCAAAGCATGAGGAATGCCATCTTCTTATTGATTTGCTAGAACTTGATAGAATAAAGGTGAGTTTTCTTTCACATATGTAATGAGTTTGTTGAATTGTTGCAAGAATAAATTGAGCTTTGGGGAGTTAAGTAGCATACACACTAGCATGATGTTTGAAATAGGGCAGGGGCTAAGAAGATTTGAAATCAGGCAAGTGCCAGAAATTCTTTGCTTGTGGAGCTGGAAGAATGTAAGAAATATTTGCTTCTGCTCTTTTTTTTTTTTTTTTTTTTTCATTTTTTTTTTTTACCTCTCCAGCGTCTGTATCTTTTTTTTCAGACTTGATTTAGAGGTTCCAAAGCATGAGAAGAATAAGGTAGTCGTTGAGGTCACTTCAAGTGTTCTTTTAGAGGTGCAATGAGGTTGTTTAATTGTTGTAAGGATGGATTGAAATCGGGTAGAGGCTAAGAAGGTTTGAAAATAAATAAATAAATAAGGCAAGTAGTGGAAATAGTGATGAATGAATGTATATAGCTTGGACTTGGTTGAAGATGTGAATAATGTTGAATCACAGCTCTCGGAACCAAGGCAAAGCTTGGTTTAGCATGAGAAACTTTAAGTGCTTTGCTTGTCTTTTTTTTTTTTTTTTTTTTTTTTTTTTTTTTTTTTGGCAAGGAAGCCCACAAGTCATTTGGAACTAAATTTTGACTCCTTTTTTTTTTATTTTTATTTTATATAATTATTATTTTATACAGATTTGCTTAGCACGAAGCCCTGAAGTATTTTGGAGTTTGCATGTGTAGTTCGCTTCAATGGCATGAAGATGGATTTGCCTAAGCCCCCAGCCCTCGTACAAGATCTGGTTTTGCTTGAGAATGGAGGTCTAAGACACAAGCAAAAGGCACATGTCAGTAACTCATGTTATGCTTGTTGTGTAAAGTGGATAGTCAATAAAGGAAAAACAAAGAAAAAGGAAATGTTCTTATCTTTTTATTCTCTCTGGTTTATTGCTTTTGGGCTTCTTCTCCGAAGACATTGGTGAAGATAACGGCCTGATCCCCAGTGAAGTCGCCAATTCATGTAAGGGCTTGTTTTCTTCCGGCAGCTACAAACGGGCTGGGATGCAGTAAAGGGCAAATGGAATAAATTATCCCATGTGCCTGAGTTCAAAGATCAAGCCCCAAAAATGCTTCGAAAGGACAAAGATGCCTTAGGAAACACCTTGGTTACCTTCACCAACAAAAATAACAACAGCTTACAAATAAATTTTCTAGCTTGGCATGAGAAGTTTATGGCATGGGAGCAAAATTGTCATGAGTTTAGCACTGAAGAGAAAACTAAGTGTTCCTGGGAGGGGGGAAGGGGTATTAAGGTATGAGATGAAGAGTTTGCAGAGAGATTTGATTGAGAATAAGGAAAAAGAGAAGATGGGTGACTTGAGTATTATTTCCGGCAGCTTGACAGTGACTCTGTCAAATGCTAGAGCAACCTGCCAGAAGGAGGAAAAACGGGGAAGAGGATGAACAGAGCACGAATTTGTTGGGTGTTGCAGGTGAGAGAGGAAGCTTGCAATATGAAATGTGGGTTCTTTTTGGTTGGGTAGAAGAGGCCCCTTTTATAGTCGCTAGAAGCCATCTTTTTCCAAGAAACCCTAATGGTTTCTATCTAATTTGACTTATCTTATTCCTTCATTTCTCCTCCCCTTCTTTGACTTATCTTATTCTAGCAAAATCTTCTTTGTCCAATCTCACAAAATCAGATATTTTTGGGAGCTCAATGCTCTTTCCCGCAGCTGCCTCTATTTCCAGCCATCTCCTTCTTTTCTTTTCTTCCTTCTTCCATGGCCAGGTCTGATGAGGGAAAGAGAATGGGTATGCATGTGGTTCAAAAGGTGATTCCTCTCCTAGCAGGCTGCGTGCCAATATCCCTTGGTCCCTTGGGTGTCTTTTGCTTGAAACTTGCTCATTTCCCATGTGCTGGAACCTCCCAGCAGATTTGTATAATGGACCTTCAGAGTTCTCCTTCGTGGCTTTTGTTTTTCCAGCCAAGTACTGGGGCTTTTGTAGCTCATTATGGTAATTGTATGGGCAAAGGTGATTCATTAAGTAAGTAGGCTTTCTTTATCAAACGTTTGGGTTTTTTTATTGAGTCAATAGGCTATTTTGGTTGGGCTATTTTTGTTTGGAGTGATGGGCTATTCTTTTTTCTCTTGTGCTCACCCACATGTTTGTGCCTATGAAATGGGCTTGAGTCCTAAAGCTCCCAAGCAACCCGGGACTTCCATTTCTCGGCCTATCAATGGGCCTCATGACAATTTATTACCATCCATTCCACAACTCAATCAAGCAAGCCTCAGGCATCTTGCGTGGCTTGTGCCCACTTAAGCTTGTAACGTGACGTGTTGCTTATTTGCTTAGTGTGGCATGTGTGCAAGTGCATATGACGAACTTTTGCGTTTCCAGATCGAGTTTCTTCTCGATAAGGTATCGCATTGGGTCGGAAATATATTTGAGCCAAGCTGTGGATTTTTTGAGCCTCAACAATAATTCTTAAAACATTGCTCAAACTAACAATTTTGTTTTTTGTTTGACTCAAACTACATTATCAAAGAGCTAACGGGGTCTAACCTTATAAAAAAGGATTTTAACTTACAGAGCAGTGGTCTCAAGTCCAAATCCTCTTATAATTTAGACTATAGTTTGTATTTAATAAAATAAAAATTTCTTAATTTTGCTGTAAATTACGTTCTTTAAATCTAGGTCACATTGGTTGTTGGGTAAACTTTCTTTTCAAACAAAAAAAAAAAAAAACCAAACCCCTGCCCTCATAGACAAAAAAAAATTCTTTAAACCCAAGTCACATTCGTTGATAGACAAGTTTTCTTTTCTGACTAAAAAAGGAAAAGAGAGAGAAAAAAAACATAATAAAAATTGGTCGACTGTCGGTACTCTGGGCGTGATTTGTTCAACCTACCTTTTTTTTCTTTCCCAGTCTCTCAGACAGACAACTTCAAATTTCCGCCATCACCGCTCTCCTCGACCCACGTGTCCCTCCCTCTCTGTCTCTTTGTAACTCAAACTTAGTACCACAAGCTGCACCTCACTCTGACCCCAATCTCTACCCCCCTCTCTCCCTCTAAAAAGAGTTTAGAAAGAGAAGGACCCAGAAACCCAAAAACAGAGCCGTTACCATTGTTTCTGAGAGAGAGGGAGTGACAGAGATCGAAAGGGTGATGCTTTGCACCCGTAAAAATGTTAAATTTCTTAGTAAGGAAAGACGTTAGGAAGATTCTCAAGCGCAAGGATAGTGATGCTGGTGAAAGAGGTAACTTTTGCTACTACTAATTTCAATTTCCAACAAAAGCTGCTACCTTTGAAATTTATGTTTAATTTTTAATGTTGTTCATATTTGGGACTTTTAATTCTCATATTTTGGCCATTGGATACCTGTGTTTTTCAGTTAATAAGCTTAATTAGCTATAAAGGGTCTCTCTTTGTCTGTTGATCTGGGTGACATATATGCGTTTCGTGTGATGAATAGTGTTACACTTGGCATTATCTCTTTATTCTCCCACTCCACATCCACAATTTTTTTTTTTTTTTTTTTTTTTTTTTTTTTTTTTTTTTTTTTTTTTTTTTTTTTTTTTAAATTTGTGGCCGCTGTTGTTTGGCTTCTCGGTTTGAATGAATTTGGTGTCTCAACAAGGTGCACAAATTGACAACTTGCTTGCATGCATTCCTGGAGAGAGTGGGCTGTTCCTTTGCCTTTCTTGCTTTTGTCTGGTTTCTAGATAGGTTCTGTTATCTTTATTTATTTACATTCTACTGATTCGCATTGAGCCATTAATTGACTATCTTCTTCACCACTTTGTTGTTCTTAGGAAGAAATAATAAGATAGTCGCAGACCCTAAAATCTATTTTTCATTGATGTAACTTATACGTACATGCTTGCAGCTTGTACTAAATACCGTGCGGAACGATTTTTTAATTTTCTTATGCCAAGCGATTTTGTTTAGTTTTGAAGAGAATATATAAATAAAGATTTTGCATAGTTTTAAAGAGAATAAATATATTTTCTTTTTTATTCTTGAGTCGAATATTTATTTTTACTTTTTTTCTCTTCCTGGATGCACAAATTTATGTAAATTTATTATATCCTTTTTTTTTTTGTTCTTAATGAATAATATATTTCTTACTAAGTTGGAAATATTTATGCATATGGGTATTTTATGCTGACTATCATATACAATGCATATGCACACCAAAAACATTATTTATATGATGAATAACATTTATGGATTGACATTTGTTATATTTCATAGGTAGCTATTCCAGTTTGTTAAGTTTTGCCATGAAAGAGAATGATATCTTATTATAATTGAACTTTGGTTATTTAGGAAAGGTGAATTAATTATACATTAAGCAAACCATGTACAGTATACTAATAGTCATGGATCTGCAGTATGTTGCTCATTGATGATTTATTTTTTTCTCCATCTCTGTGTACATGAACTCAGGAAGAGCTCTAGAAGACTTGCGGGCAGCTCTATTTAATGAATTTCGCTCATCTGAAGGTGCAAAGCGTCAACAACAACAACTATGTGGCCCTGCTACTGCTCTTACATTCAATTTTGTAATTGCTGTTGGTATAATTTTCGTGAACAAATTGGTTCGTATGCTGAACTCTCTATATATTTATTTATTCTATCCATATTTTGCCAGACTGGATTTTAAAATAGCAGTTTTCCAGCTGATAACTTACCCAGCTTGTATTTCCTCAGGTGCTCAAAGTTGTTGGGTTCCAGTTTCCTATATTTCTCACTTTTATCCACTATGTCGTTAGCTGGTTTTTGATGGCCGTTCTAAATGCTCTGTCTATCCTCCCTGCGTGTCCCCCAAAATCGACCCGCTTATCTACGTTATTTACTCTTGGTTTTGTTATGGCCTTTTCTACTGGCCTTGCTAATGTTAGTTTGAAGTACAATAGGTGAGATATTTCGTCAGTATTCCTACCTACAGAAAAGATCATCAGATTCTATTTTTCATAATTAATTTTAATTTTCAACATTGAGTTTGATGTCTATTTCTTCAGTGTGGGGTTTTATCAGATGTCTAAGATTGCGGTTACTCCTTCAATTGTTCTCGCAGAATTTTTATTGTACAATAAGAGAGTTTCTTTCTCCAAGGTAGCTCCTTCCTTTTGGAAGTATAAATGTCAATTCAATATGCAACTAAAATGCAGTTTTATGTTCTTGCTATTCCAGGCTGAGTTTTTGTTTTCGTAGGATAGAAAATTGGTGTCAGGTTTTACATGTTTGTGAAAGTATTTGCTTTCCCTTTCCTCAATATTTTCATCATTTCACAAAACTCTGAAATGAGGAGGAAGTAGACCACATCCAATGTGTCCCTACCTATTGTGAAAGATATGCTATTTGGAAACTGTATTAAATTGTAAAACCTGGCACTCCCCACTGATAGAAATTTTTTTTTTCAGACATCCAGGAAATCTTACATACATATTTCTTTCGGTCTTGATACTTTGGTTTGTAGGGTGCTTGTGTCCAGCTTCATGTAATTGGTTAATTTATTTTTCTATTATGCTGTGTTTCTTGATTTTTAATCGTTGTTCTTATACAAAATTTACTTGTCATTACCCTCACTTTAACCATCTATAACAGCTTCTCCTTTCTGTTCTAACTCCTTGGTATGAAATTTTCAGGTTCTAGCACTTACAGTAGTATCCTTTGGTGTTGCCGTGGCTACAGTAAACTGATCTGCAATTCCATCTCTTTGGTGCTTGTGTAGCATTAGCATGGATAATACCAAGTGCAGTCAACAAGATTCTTTGGTCTAGTCTGCAACAGCAGGAAAATTGGACAGCCTTGGCGTAAGTGGTGCTCCTTTTGAAACTCTTCAGTTTGTATTTGAATCTCCTTGATATTGACCTCTAGTTGGAAGAATTTATATTTTCAGCTAACTAAAATGTGAACTGTTGAACAGGTTAATGTGGAAGACAACGCCAATCACCTTATTTTTCCTTGTTGCACTAATACCCTGGTTAGATCCACCTGGTGCCCTCTCATTCAATTGGAACTTTAATAACACCTTGGCAATTCTCATGTCAGCTATTCTTGGCTTCTTGCTTCAGTGGTCAGGTGCTCTAGCACTTGGGTATGTGATATCTGTTTGTTCCTTTTGATTATCCTATGTTACTGTTTTGTTCCATTGTTTCCTATACAAGAGTTTTGACGTCCGATGTCGTTGTCTTATGGTTTACATAGGTTCGTAGCATAAACAAATTAGTCAACATGGTACACTGTCAGAAATGAAGTAAAATATATATATAAAATTTCTCTAATAAGATCCTTAAATAAGGTTCTTTTTGCTGCTGTTATATTAGATATGGATGGCTGAGATTCATTGAGATTTATCTTACCTGATTTGCATATCAACTTTCCATGTATTATTATATGGCTCGGAAACAGGTTCATCTTTGATGACCTCATCAATCTGTCTACCTTTCTGTATCTGTATTTCTCATTGTCTCTTGCTTTTGCTTTTATTTAGCTTTTTGTTGAAGAGGGAGAAACTTCAGATTTTTACTTGAGAATTCTGATACTGGAAATAAGATTTGGTCACCTTTCAAATTGATAAAAGGATATATAAATTATCATTTTGAGATGAATCTTCCCTATAATAATATCCTGTCAATTTATTCACTCTACCATTTTCGTAACTACCCAACATAGTTTGAATTTTGATTATAGAATACTGCTTCCAATGCTACAACGCAGCAGTGGTTCAAATTTTAAGTCCATGATGCAAAGCACATTGGAGTATAATCTATGGGTGTGTATGATTCTCATTTATAACAGTATAGTGATGTAGGATTACAAAGAGTCCTAGCTAGAGCAGTAAGCTGAGACACTTATCAGATTCTCTTGCATTACTTTACATTGAACTTGAAAACCTAGCAACAATCAACAACATTATTAAAGAGTGCAACAGCTGATATGGGCAACAATGGGAGGTTAAACTTATCCATCGTAGGCATACAAATAATTACAACTGGGCAGGAGAGTCAAGCAACACCTACCAATAAGGTTCAGGGTTAAACACATACCAGTATGCTGCCACAATAACTAGGATTACCTGTATGTACAAGCCTGAGCACATGCTTGCACAATTCACACTACTTTGGTATCGCACCAAGCTTGACCCGTAACACACTTTGGCATGTGACCATTATGTTAAATGACATGAAGTTTCAATTCTAATGATAACCATTTAAACAGTCTTTTGTCTCGTGTCACTGGATGATGGCTGAATGGTTGTAATGTATCTTGGGGACTACTATATGTTTGTTCATCACAACTTTTATATTACTTTGTTAAAAGTATGGCATGCAAAATTTGATTTTGGTTGGTTCTTGTGGTTCTGATATCCTTGATTTTTTTTTTCCTTCATCTTTCTGTGAATTGACAGGGCCACATCTGCTGTTACACATGTTGTTCTTGGTCAATTCAAAACATGCGTCATTCTTCTAGGAAACTACTACCTCTTTAGTTCGAATCCAGGCAAGACGAGTATTTCTGGGGCTTTCACAGCAATTGCTGGAATGTCTATTTACACTTACCTTAATTTGAAGCAGCAATCGAGCAAAGCTCCACGACAAGCCTCTTCTTTGCCAAAATCAAAACTGAGTAAAGAAAATGGCAGCATCCATGAAGGAAACTATGGTTCTGAATCTGTCTAACTTATCAAGCTGGATACATGAGAAGATCTAACCCTCTCCCCTAACTCGGGCATTGTTTCGTTTGTTCATTTTTAGCTTAGAATTTTTTAGGTACTCAATCCACTTTTACCATGAATTGGAGTTTGGTAGTAGTCTGTATGACAATACCTGCTCCAAGGTCACCTTTTGTGGATTCTGTGGGGTTCTTCAGCATTGCCTTGGCTGCAAATTGAACACTGTATATATATTAATGAATGGAAGGTGTCTTTACTGGTTACAGCTTATTCATGTGTTTAATTTTATTCTTGTTTGCTCGCCATAGCTCCCTAGTTTTTGTGAGTTTGTTTAAGTTATTCAACCAGAATAATATCTATCTTAAATAAACTTGCCCATGATATTGCTAGTGTTAGTGAGATCACTTTGCTTACAAGGCAAAAGATAGCTGAAGCTGTTCTTTGCTTTCTTTCAAGCTATTGGATTCTATTCTTTGCTTTGGCCCTCAATGCATCAACGTGATTAAAGATATAATTATAAAAAACTTTATGGCTTTTTATGTGAAGTCCACGTCAACAAGAAAACTGGAATCCACCTTTGTCACATCAACAATTAACACCTCAATTAACGTTCGTTTGTATGCGTTTGTAAATCATTGATGGTTCTTGTATGAATTTAAAAATAGGACAATAACTTAACTTAAGGGTTATCTGTAAATGAAAATGACCCTTCTTATAATCCCTACTTAATTTTCTGGTTACATATTTCCAATTATTCTATAATTTTATTGTTGCTGTAAAGGACTCTATTTTCTAATAGAAGATGATATGTGATGGCTTGGCTCACGCGATTCACCGTGGTTGGAAGAAGATTTTGATTGAAGGAGATTCTAAGCTCATTTCTTGACCGATGCCTTAGCCAACTTAGGCCATGGCCTATCCCCTTCCTTCTTGTGGGAAGTTGGGCCTAGAAGTTTCGCTGCTGTATCTTTTTTTTTTTTTTTTTTTTTTTGAAAAAAAATGAAATAACAGTCAATCGTAATAATTGAGGTAATCTGTACAGAACAATTATCACATTGGAATCCTCTTTAGCATTCTTCTTGATTTGTTAGAGCTTAATCTTCAACAATGTGGTCCCCACCCTGAAATTGATGGTCTGTGCTCGGTATTTTTGTAGTGACTAGTGAAAGGCTACCAAAATCATCAAAACTGAAATTAAAATTTAAAAACCCAACAAAAAGATTAAACAAAAATAAAAAACCCTAAACAAGAAAATGTTGAAGTAACCTTAGCCAACAACCCTACCCAAATGTCACGTATTCATATTACCAAACTTTTCATGGGTTGTGCGACTGTCTTTGACTTGGTCTTTTATTCAAAATAAGACAGTCCAAAAACGGCCAAAACCCTAATTGTATAATGAACTCTATACCTATCATTCAGAAAACCCAGACATTTGATTTGATGAAGCCTTGAGCCTCGGAAATTGGAACTCATTAGAAAAACAATTATTGCTACTAGATTGATATGCACGCTCACAACAACACACACAGCCACATCCACATCACATGGCCACAGCTTTTGCTGAACTTAATGCATGGTGTCTTCTCTAAGGTTTACAGGAGCTGTTAGCTCTGTTTTCTTTATTAATGGCATGTCTCGAGAGATGACAGGAGTTTATAAACACCTTCATGTGCACTTAGCATTTACTACTTTAATTTTGGGTTTAATTTACTATAAAAGACACACTCTTTTGCTTGACCACGTGAGAAGGCATTAGAATATATAGTACAAACAATGTCAATTATAATATGGATAATAACAAACAAATAATATATAGTTTTCCTATTCTATTGTCTTCAAAATTTGGCCAACTTTTAGGTCATTTTCCATAGAATCTAATCCTAAATCCTATGGTTATTGTTTATGCATAACAGCTAGCAAGATCACCTTGATGTGATACCAAGAAACCCAACACGTGTATTGTTTTGATCTAATCTAATGGCTATATACAAATAAAATAATATATATAAAAGTTATTCTCTTATTCGGATGTCTACACGTTATTACCATGCGGATGTCAATATCCAAAAAGAATAAAGCAGGAAGGGGTAATAGAAAATATATGGGATCTACACGATAATAACATTTGGATATCCACATAGAAGAATTTCTTTAAAGAAGATCTTTTAAAGGATATTGCTTTGTAGATTAGAACTTTTTTTGTGAAAATGTAGTCAAATTGAAAATAGGTTTGTCATCTAAACTGTATATAGCCAAATACAGTTCATTAATTGAAGTTAAATCATTTTAATGAGACGATTCTTAGAAGGGAAACCTAAACAATAGACACATCCCGATCATTGGAGTGCATGCATACTGAAAATAGGATGTTGTGTGTATTTGTTGGAGAAAAAAATAAAATTGCAACTAAAACTTAGATCCCCTATTGTGATACTCAAGAAAGAGAGTTCAAAAGTCAAATTCACAAAGATGACTATATTGGTATGACTATCCATAACATGTTAATTACGTAGATTATAACATTACGTGACAGTGTGACAAATCTGCCCAAGTACTTTCTTTAGGACAATACAAAAGATCTATTTCAACCATTTCTTATGTGATACATCTCATTGCCGATAAGGGAAATGCTATATAAAGAAAAAAAGAATCAGGACAAAAGGAACTAAACCCCTCCATAGCTAAAATCAGACTACATGAAGTAGAGGGTGACAAATTCCCTTTTCATTAGACCTGAAGGATTGATGGCATAGATCTGAACTAGATGGGATGAATCTATAAAAGCATGAAGGTTGCGCATAAAAAATAAAATGAAGGTTTTGGAACATAGTCAATGTATATGATGCACATTATGATTGCATGTCAAGTAAGATAATATTAATGCACAATTCAGGACACATGGATGCAGATTATGCTGACAAGCAATACAAAATGCTTTTTGTCTACCGTAATATTATAAACAAACATTAACTTTGTCTTCGAATGCAATTCTAAATGAACTTCAAGAACAATGTAATGTGAAACTAAATTTTAATTTTCACTCTGCTTGGGGTCACATGGTTCAGCCACTAATATACTCTGCTAGCTAGACCTTCTCTTTCCTACCACAGATTACTAATTTCATTTCAAATATTTACATGGAAAGTAAGTATAGTCAGATAAAGCATAGCATTAACACGAAATCTTACCCAACAACAACGCAACCTTCAGCTGATGTCAAAATGTTGGAATTTTTAGACTGTTGTTGATTGCTGATACGCGAAAATTGGAAAATTTTAAATAGTTTCTGCGAGATATTGTTGAATTTCGACGAGAAGTTGACCAAATTCGACCTTTTTTTTTTGGACTAATCAAATTCAACGTTCGAGTGTTCGGAAATATCACCTCGATAATTTTGCAAGAAAAAATCGATAAACTATGATAAAATACCAGAGATGGCATTATTCTGTGACAATGATGTGAGCATGTTTTGAAAAGAAGAATGTAAAAAGACATGGAGGGAGAGACTCGAACACAAAACCTCGAGGCTATTCTTAACCACTTGAGCTACTAGTACCTTGCAAGACTTTTAGTGGTTATATTAGGAGAGTAAAGGATGAAGACGTCCTAAACTGTAAAGATCCAATTTGTAGATTTTATATACAATGATCTATACATCTTTTTATATTTCTCATTTCTCAAAATGACATACAATTTAAACCCGTTTACGACCAAGACTGAATATAATCCATAACAAAAACTTCATTTTCTTCTTTGCTAGAACTTCATGGGCAAAACTCGTGAAAGTTTTTATTTATTTATTTGCTTTATATATATATATATATATATATAGAGCTTCTATTGAGGGATTTCTTAAATAATCTTATTTGAGAGACACCCTTTGTAGGGCCCACTCCGGATTGCATTTCACTCATCCAAACCTTCTATTTTGTAGATACTCATTCAAAGATCATTTCTACAAAAAAATCACTTGAATCTGATATCATTTGACCATTCAATTGAGTTATTGAAATTTTAGTACTTTCTTGAAGCATCGTGTTCATTGATTTTGTATGACACAATTGGATGTCGAAACGGTTTCTGATTTGTCTAATTTTTTGTAAAGATGATTTATGAATGAAGACCTAAAAATTGATGGTTTGGATTATTGGAAAAAAAATTGTAGGGTACCCTAAAGGGCATCCCTTATTTGAGGGATCCCTCAATATAAGGGAATTGTATATATATATAAAAGTTTGATGGCCACATCTGTTCCCAAGTAATATTGTAGGACCTACCAGTAAGTCAACGCTATTTCTGAGAAACTTCAAACGGTCTCTTGAATTTTGTGATCCAAACCCCAACAAATAAAAAAGTCATTGACATTGGTGTAACAAATATTATAAAAGAAACTCATGAAAATTTGCACCTAAAGAAGAAAAAAGAAAGTTAAAAATAAAAAATCCTTCTCTAGATTTATAAGCTCTAATCTATTGCTTAATTTCTAGCTAATCAGTAAGATAACAAAATAATATAATACTAACATGAAGGAGCAAAATTAAATATTTTGTTGAACACTGAATCCAATGGCATGCATTGATCATCCACCTAAGCATGACTTGGAAATACAGAAACTAGAGCCCGAGAAGAAAATAATAGAGAATTGTTATTGGCAAGGCAACCAGCATTCCAAAAATGACCCTGCAATAATAATTGGACGAACATAATACAAGTCAGAGACCCTTTTTCATCACCATTTTATTCGTGGATTAAAACAAAAAACAAAAAAATTAAGCAAGTAAATAAACTTACGCAGTGCTAAGTATGTCTGCATGGACATTGTATTCCTTGGCAAATACAAAAGGGACAATGCCTTGAGGAAGAGCAGCCTGAAAAAAAAATGTTTAATTATTTAATTACATAAGCAATTTTTTAAAATACAATCGCTTAAATTACTCTAAATTAATATAATCTACGGAGAAAGAGGGGTTCAAACTTGAATGTAATAGGACGGACTCACTGTCCTGACCAACTGGCCTAATATGTATATTGAATTCTTAATTGACTTAAGTTTTAAAAAAAGTGGGTATAAATAGCTGGGAGATTGAGATTGTGAACCTGAACTATTGCAACATGTAAAAGAACTCCCCGAAGACCAACAGCAATAGAGGTTGCAGCAATCACTGCTGGGCCTGTTAAAAACCTAACAGCCATTGCAAATGTTGCAACAGATTTTCCACAAGCTATGATCTTTGGTTGTAAAGCCATGAATAATCCTGGAAAGAAAAAAGAAAAAAAAAACAGTGGTTAAAAAGGCAAATTTCATTTGAAGTGTACTTTTTATATGGCAAATTTAGGTCAATATATAATGGAGTCAATTGAAGATAAATACCGAGACTGAACATAGCCATTCCCAAGCCAGCATCAGATAAGATTGATATAGATCCACTTACAATTGTTGGCATTTTGAGGTGCCACCTGCCAATGATTGAAAGATTAATTTGAGTGGATGAGTGGGCATATATGTTTCATTGTTGATCACATCTCTTGCAAAATAAGATCCAAAAACTCCACATGAAATTTATTTTTGTGAGAGATATAACATTAATTAGTAATATTTTGAGTGATTTCTACACAATGCATGATGGGTGCACTGTAGAGAGAGAGAGAGGAGAGAGAGAGAGAGAGAGAGAGAGAGAGAGATTTACTTGTATGATATGAGAGACCAGGCCACGCCAAGAAGGCTGGAGTAGGTGTTGGGGTTTCTAATGAGCTTTCTCCAGACCATAATGAGTATAAGTCTAGTCATGACACTGGCAGGAGGCATTTGGTGCTTCTTGGCTACACCTCCTTCCATGTCCACCTTCTTCTGGCAACTACTGTACGGCGAAGCACTCGGTGGAAACTTGGATCCTTCTTCTGTCTCAAGCTCCCTATCTCCACTCATTTTCCTCCCAGGACTCATATTCTCAATTAACTCATGTATACCTGCAGATTTAATATAAGTAATTAGGATATAAACAAAATAACAATAATCAAGATTCAACCCTTGATTTAACATTTTGTGAACAAATTAAATGAGACTAGACAAAAGAAATAAAAAAACCAGATCTACGTCAAAGGAAATTAATGAAGCTCCCTATTGTTTTTGTCCAGTAGATAAGGTGTCAATTGTCCAGTAGCTGATGTAAGTACTTGGCAAGCAATTCACAGAAAAGACAAATATGGTTGGGAGTGGGATCATAAAATTATTTGGTGCTCACCTTTTGAAGCAGCAGTTTCATGTTGATGAAGAGCTGCAGCCTTGGAAGGATCAATTACCCCAAAGTCAGTGGAAGCAGCTCGATTTACTGCATGTCTAAGATTCCCTTCAGAAGCTGGCGATGCACTCGAACTCCAAACAAACATGTGAAGCTCTTTATTAGGCGCTGCCCCACCACTACCACCACCACCTCCTCCACCGCCACCTCCACTATCTTTCTTCTTCGGCCCACCACTGGTAGACCCGGAAAACATCGGGTTCGGAGGAGGGTACGAAGAGACCATACCACCATTGAAGATCTCACCGCTCATACTCCTCGCCCCCCTTTTCTTATTACTAGTAGTCATCTTCAACGCCTCCTCATCAAAATTTGAAGTCCTCGGCGTCACTCCTTTCGAAGACTGCACCGAATAAACATCTCCAAATCCGCCTTGGAAACTGTTTGTGTAGCCGTGCTTGGGGCTAGGCGCCTTGCTGGCATTAAACATGGCGTAAAAATCCGTTTGGTTGAAGCTGGACGCCCGCGGAGTCGGCTCACGGGAGGACTGCACCGAGTAAATCTCGACTCCCGTGAGATTAGAAGCCCGTGGGGTCATCGAAGTCAGCGAGTTCAACCCGTGCGACTTGTTGAAAGACGAGACCATAGACGAAGCATTGGACCGCTTCACCACCACGTGAAGCTTCCCATCGTCGCCGATCTCCGCGTCGGTTTGCAGCGGCTCTCGGCCGTTGAGTGAAACGACGTCAGAGTCAACTCTGAACGACGTGATCGAAGCTGCAGTCTCCGGGAACTGCTCGGAGATCAGGAGCTTGGCGCCGCGGTACTCGAACATGAAGAGCATGAGAGTGTACCAGATCACGCTCTGCAAAACAACAATCTGAACCATCAAAGTGCCGGAGAAGTCGCCGTACATGGCTTTGAGCAGCGGGATGCCCATGACGAGGGTGTTGGGGAGGGTGGAGAGGGAGAAGAGTGTGATCATCCACTCTAGGTTGCCGCGTTTGGAGAAGGCTTGCCAAAGGAAGAGGGCGACCAGGATGACGACTTTTTGGAGGGAGTCAGCGAGGATAAACTGGTAGTTCATGGCGTAAGGGTCGTTGGAGGAGATGAAGTGGAAGGAGAGCAATGGGACGGCGAAAACGGCCACGAAGCGGTTTATGCCGGAGCATTGGTCCGGGGTGAAGATTTTCCACCACCGGACGGACCCGTAGGCTAAGATCATGGCCACGTATAAAGGGACTATGGCTGCAAAAACATCGTATATGTCCTTGCCAGTGATCATGGTTGCTGGTTTTCTGGCTTTGTTTTCTCCAAAATGAGGAGATGGGTTTTGTTGTTTAGAGTGAGAATTGGGTGGAGGAAGGCTTAATTTGTGGTTTTTTCATGGAGAGAGAGAGAGAGAGAGAGAGAGAGAGAGAGAGAGAGAGAGAGAGATGGAGAGGAAGAATGAGATGGTTGTTTGTGTGCTCTTATAGAGAAAGGTTTTGTTTGTTTGTTTTTTCATAAAAATTAAAAAATAATAATAAAAAACATGCAAGAACTTGGATTAATTATGGTAACAGAGAAATGGTGGGGGTTGATGCGCGAACAATGTCGACAAGAGGTCAAGAGGAAAATTGTTTTTTAATCAGAGATTGTCGAGCGTTTGTGTGTGTGTGTGTGTGTGTGTGAGAGAGAGAGAGAGAGAGAGAGAGAGAGAGTATCTTCTTGTTGTGAAATGAAAACGGTGGCTGTGGCAGATTATTCTGACCACAAAATAAAAACGGAATAGTTTTTACATGCAAGTTTGTGTACATATATAATATATATATGTGCTAGCTAGCTGCTAATATATATATATATATATATATCTTTCTTTTTTCTTTTTCTTTCTTTTTTGTTTAATACATAAAAAGGCATCTATATAACTTGTGGAAAATAAAGTAATGCAAATTGGAAACATTGTCGATAAAAACGAGTGAGAGATTATAGAGGCATTGTGTGCGTGTTGGCAGTGTTGCAGAAGAGAGAAAGCTTAGCAAGCGCCACTGCAGACGTTGGTGCACATGTTTTGAGCAAGTTTCAGTGATCCGCGGTAGCAGTAAAGATCTGTCAGCTGGAGTTTGCTCATCTGCATTTACCATATGTTTTGTTAGGGAGTTACCACCACAATCATGACATTCAATCATAGTTATGCCTATTCAAGGAGTATTTCCGTTACATTGTTATTGTATCTTAATTATAGCTTTATTGTATTGTAATTACAGCATTTAGGTTTGATATAATTACTACACTACCGTTGTAAACCATTTACCTACCTCCTATGCCTGTATATAAGGCATGTACCCGTGAATTGTATATATGAAAAGAATCTATTTTCTACATGGTATCAAGAGCCTAGGTAATTTATATATCTAATTTTTTTTTCGTCTCTCCCTTTTTCTCTACTCTTTCTCTATTCTCATGGCCTCTACAATCACTTCCTCATCTTCTCTCACTGGTCCCACTCTCCCCTTTAAAATCTCCTCCTTTGCCTCTTATAAACTTTCAGAATCCAACTTTTTACTTTGGGAAAGTCAAATTTTTACAAGTAGATCAACTTTTCTACATGTTTGAAGTTTCTGTGTCTAATAACCTTAGATATAGCTTAAATTAAAGAAAATGAAACTAGTAGGTAAAGAAAAAGAGCAAGACTGCACAAAGTAATGGTTTTTTTTTTTTATTTATTATTATATAGAAAAGGCAACGTTTGGAGCTATGCATTGAAGCTAGTTAGACTTAGACCTTCTCTTTGCTACCATTGATTACTAATTTTTAACTCAAACATTCACATGGAAAGTAATTGAAGTCAGATAAAGCATAGCATTAACACGAAATCTTACCCTACCAATTTTATATATAAACTCACTTCTAATATGACTAATCTGATAACTGGCAGGGTTTTTGAATCTTAAAACCCGGTTTTACCCTTTTTGCATTGGATTCAAAGAAAAACTCATTAACCGCAAGCTGTCAATTTGAATTTCACTTTTTATTTCGAATTTACACATTTGTTCTCATGTTTTGTCGACTTCAAATTCATAGTTGAGTTTGGCTCATTCGAAACTCATTTTTACGACGCTGAATATGGGAGCAGCTAAAATATAATAATTATGAGAGAATATTTATTTGTGAGACTTTTCTGTGTATTTCTCTCCTTGTAGGTGGTCATATTTATAATACAACGGAGCCTTAGTGACAAACTAAAATAATAAATTCATATTTTTATTTACAGTAGGAAATCATGAATTAAAGTAAATGAATCACAATTATAATGAGAATCCTTGGTGTTGAAGAAAAGAAAGTTAATGGTCCACAAGTCACGCCAACACTCCCCCTTATGTTGGTGCATAGATGTCACCAATGCCCAACTGAGCAAGTGAATTGTGGAACGCTTTATTGGAAATCGCCTTTGTCAAAATATTAACTAATTGATCCTCGTACTTCACGAAAGGGAACTGAATCACTTTAGCCTCAAGCTTTGTTTGATGAAGTGTCAATCCACCTCAACATGTTTAGTGCGATAATGTTGAACCGGATTTTGTACAATAGCTATGGAAGCTTTGTTGTCACAAAAGAGATTCATTGTAGAAGTAGGTTCATAACCAAGTTCAGTAAGCAACTTCCTTAATCAAAGAAGCTCAAAAATTCCTTTACTCATGCCTCTGAACTCGGCTTCTGCACTAGATAAAGCTACTACCTTCTGTTTCTTGCTCTTCCATGTCACCAAATTACCTCCCATGAATGTGAAGTAAACCGATGTAGATCTTTTATCTGTTACACTACCCAATCTGCATATGAATAACCATCAATATTCAGATGACCATGTTTTAAGAACATAAGTCATTTTCCGGGTGTAGACTTCAAAAATCTAAGTATCCAAAGAACTGCATTCATTTCACTTGGAGAATGCATAAATTGACTGACGACGCTCACCGCATAAGCAATGTATGGTCGAGTATGTGACAAGTAGATCAATTTCCCACTAACCGTTGGTATATTTCTTTGTTAGTTGGAACTTGATCCGGGTATTCTCCAATATGAAGATTATGAACAATATGAGTGTCTATAGGTTTGCAATATAGCATTCTTGTATCTGTCAACAAGTCTAAGACATATTTCATTTGAGAGAGAAATATATCTTGTTGTGATCGGGCCACCTCAATCCCCAACAAATACTTAAGTCCACCTAGATTCTTCTTATCAAATTCAGGAGCCAAATAGGCGTGTAGTTGAGATATTTTTTGTTTATCATTCCCATTAATAATCATATCACCAACATAAATTATTAAAGTTGTTACCTTCCCTTTATGATGTTTCAAGAACAGAGTATGGTATGAGTTACTCTGTTTGAAACCATTGTTCTTCATCGCCATGATGAACTGTGCAAACCATGTGCGTGGTGACTGTTTCAATCCATACAATGCCTTTCATAATTTGCATACTGTTCCAATATGAATAGTATTATATCCAGGAGGAATGTCCATATACACTTCATCTATGAGTTCTCCACGCACAAAAGCATTGTTTACATCAAACTGGTATAGTGGCCAATCCAAATTACTGCGAGAGACAATAATACTTTGTTAGTGTTTAATTTTGTAACTGGAGCAAAGGTTTCTTCATAGTCTATATCGTAGGTCTTTGTGTACCTTTTGCCACAAGTCTTACCTTGTATCGCTCGATAGATCCATCGGCATTGTGTTTTATAATAAACACCTATCTGCATCCGACCATCCTTTTTCCTTATGGTAAAGTTTCCAGTGCTCAAGTCTTATTTTTCTCAAGAGCTTTCTCTTACTCTACAGCTCAAACCCACTTAGGATCTTTCACTACTTTAGCAACCTTGATTGGGATATGGATAGCAGACAACTGGTGCACAAAAGCCTTGAGTGGTTCAGTTAGCTTCTCAGTGCATACATGATTCGCAATTGGATACTTTGATGTCTTGTGAATAATGGTTTGGTGGCTTCCCACGATTCTGCCTGAAATTTAATTGACATCTAATACATTTATCCTTTAAATTCACAAGTGTAGTATGAGTAGTTACCTCAAAGATATATATGTCCCAATCAATGGTGCCACAACCAAATTTGCTTTTGTTTGCTATCAGAAGGATGCATCACACTGTTAGCCATGCCAGGACTGAAGTCATCCACATAATAGAGCCCCTATCTCTTAGTACCATAACTAAGAATCTCCTTAGTATGAATATCCTAAATCAAACAAAAACTCAAGTAAATTAGAACATAACAGTTCAATTGTTCAGTAATCTAACTAACTTACATCAATTTATTGGATAAAGATAGAACAAGTAAAGTATTAGACAGTGAGAGAAATGATGAGAGAGCAACAGTGCCAGTTCCTGTCATAGGATAAGTAACACCATTGACATTAGCAATACAAGTTCGTCTGGGTTGGTTAGTATTCATAAAATCTTCAGGATCAAACGTCATATGTCAGTTCCATCAAAATCAATTATCTAGCCTATGGAATCACTCTTATCTAAAGTATGAAATCCATAACCGGTACCATTATTGGCAGTATCGAGTCATGTTCAATCGTTGAGACTAGCCCACCATTTGGGGCAGCCATGCAATTTAAAACAAGTCTCACGGGTGTGTCTCAAATCACCACATGATGTGTAATCTTGTCCATGTGTCAGAGTCAAGGTCAAGAAGTCGAAATCTGTGCAGCGGAAGATGCATATGATAGAGGTTGAGTAGGAGTTTCGATCGGAATCTGAGCTAGAGTCAGGGTCTGAGTCTTTTTCAAAATCATTTCTTTGAAGAATAAGGTCGGAATCGAGGCCCTGGTTGGATCCTGAGTCTAGATTAGGGTCGAGTCAGGATCAGATTATGAGTCAGGATCGGGTTTAGGGTCTGGTTCTGCATATGAGCACTCAATTCGGCTAACGTCGGGTGAGAAGGAGAGGTGGGGTCAATGGTGCTACCTCCATAAGGAATTAAAAAATCATCCTCCCTCATGGCGGCTAATAGGGTTTGAAATTAGAGTCAGCAATCCCAAGATCACTCATCTGATACCATGCTAAAATATGAGAACTATGAGAGAATATTTGTTTGTGGGAATTTTCCGTGTATTCCTCTCCTTGTAGGAGATCATATTTATAATACAACGCAGCCTTAGTGGCCAAGGAAAATAATAAATTCATATTTCTATTTACAGTAGAAAATCATGAATTAAAGTAAATCAATTATTATGATAATGGGAATCTTTGGTGTGTAAGGAAAGAAAGTTAATGGTCCACAAGTCACGCCAACATGAACTTCTCTTTTTCTCTTCGTGAATTATCGTTTGAGTCTTCGATTTATGGATAACTACTTCTATTTTCTCGTTTGATTATTTGTTTAAATTAATTGTGCTCTATGTACAGTGCGGATCAAGTAATTGGATAAGTTGATTTCTTCGAATTTGGATTGCGATTTTGCTTTTGAAGCTTGATTTGAGATTGAAATCATGTTCTGAATATGTGCTTGTTTTTTATTTTGCACAAGCAAATTTGAGTATTTGATTGGCTTTGTATTGGGCTTCAAAGCTCTGCTTCTATTTATTTGGAAATTCTTCCGCTAAAATGGAGATTGTGCTTCTTTTGAGAGCTTCAATTGTTGATTGTGATGATATATATGTTGTGCTATGAAATTTTTTTGTACTGCATAGATTTGTGTTTTTTAGGCTTTCTCCAACCCATGAGGGGCTAAACCCAAATTTCCCCCCTCCAAAAAGTGATTATTTGAGTTTTGCCCGGACTCAAATTGTTTTTTCTCCCAATCCTACGGACTCAAATTTTAGGTCCGCAACTTTATTAAATTGTTTAAGAATGGTTTAAGTCTAATTTTTTTTTTTTATGGATAACTTTTCTTCATTCAATCTTTTTAAATAACTTCATAATTAAATTTTTTGAACAATTTGACCTAATAAAATTAAAATTCCACAAATATAATTTTATTTCAAAAGAAAACACACAACATAATTCTAAAAGAAAACACACAATACTTCAAATTCACCATACATGAATGCCAACAGGAATAAACTAATAACCATCATCATGGGGGCTTGGATAATAGTCCCCTGAGTTATCTTTAGGATTAATGGTAGGCTGTTGACCCCCTGCATGTTCTTGCATAATTTCATCTTGTTTATCCCCCCAATACTTCTTCTTTCTTGGAGTAAATTTGGACACGTCCATGGACATTATTTTTGTTCTTGGGCTTCCTTATCTTGTTGCTTCTGATACACATAAGCATCCGCTTGTTCTTGGACAAACTTGTCCAATATGTTGAGATTTCATCTCCTACCATCCTCGAAAGCAATTCCTTGCTCCACCAATGTTTCCAAGTACTTATCCCTTTTTTGTTGAGAAGGGTCAGCCATCTTCCCTTTTTTTTTTTGCAGCCTTTTGTTTATCTCGCCCCTCAGGCCTTAGACTAGGCATGGTGATTTCGTCTGCATCGTTATCCAAATTCATCATACTTGCACTAGCTCCAGAAGAACGTTGTGTGGGAGGCTCATTTATATCGTTCCACTTTGGGCAATCTTTTAAGATTTCCCAAGCATGGTACAACTTGAAAGGCCTATTTGGAGGCTTATTATCATTAAGAAATATTGTTTTCGCATACACATCCTACGCATGAAAAAATAAATTTCAAGATTGGAGTTGAATAAAATTACAAATTTAAATTTAAAGCTTTAATAAGAATGGTTACTTACCACATCATGTAAATTTGAGCCACTTCGTGGGTTTGTATTAACCTTAGTCAAGCATGCCTTCCAAAGAGAACAATATTGGTTGATAGTCTTGAACCGAGAAGCAATGGCTTGATATGTTCGTCGCTCGGGTCCACTAATGCCCGGATCATTTTCTAGAAACTTTTGATATACATGCTTCCAAAATGTGTCGCTTGCTTGATTGGTGCCAATAGCCCCATCTTCACTGACAGAAACCCACCCTTTGCACAATGCCTCATATTCTTGGGGCCTCTAATTCACACATCTTTGAGATTTTGTGGACATCTTCAACAAGAATGAAAGGAGATTGATGAGATTGACAAAGGAAAAATAAATTGAGAAATAGATAAAATGTTTTTGGTAGATTATTTCAGAAATGGATGGGTATTTATAGAGTTTGGAGTGAGTTTGGGGGTTGGATCTGATCTAGAATAATTTAAATATTATTTTGACTGTTGGATTTAAATTTCAGCCGTTGAATCTTTTTTTTTACCGTTTAAAATAGCTTAGATTTAATCCCCATCATTGATTTAAGTTACATGAAAAAAAAAAAAAAAAAAACAAACAAACAAAAAGAATCAAATGTTGCCGTTGGATTCCAACGGCAACTTCCTAGGTGATTGACAAGTGACGCGCAGGAAGAAAAAATGGCAGCATCAAAAAACGAGGTGGGGCCCACAGAGGAATATTTGCACATGAGGGGGCTGCTGATTTGAAAGTGGGCTCCACGAAATATTTGGGTTTGGGCAATAAATAGTCTGGTATTTGGGTCCAAATTTGGGTTTTCCCAAATTTTGGCCCTTTCATTTTCATGGGTTGGGAGAGGTTTGGGGCCAAATTTTAAGTTTAGGTCTTTGGGTTGGAGATGGCCTTATTGGCTCTAAAAGTTGAACCTCGCTTTGAACTCTGTTTGGATTTTTCTTGAATTGAGGTATGCTATTTTAGTTTAATTTGAGTTTATAGTAAATTTGGCTTACACCCTTCAAATTCAATTTGCCATACCTAAAACCCTTCACTTTTTGTTCCTATAAATAATACCCAATTTGTATAAGTAAAAACCCATGACTAGGATCCAACTCAATAAGTTACCTAATTAAGCATAAAATCTGATTTATTGTACTTTTCAAATTCCAAAAATACCCCCAACTAAGCCATTATTGCATTTTGTATATTAATATAGGAATCGATATGGAAACAGTTTTTAATTGGATTGTATATAATGACAGATGTTGAATTTGGAAAGATCTCCAAATGGTTGTAATGGATGTAGGAATTAATTTTGGAACATTTTAAAAAAAAATTTAACAATAAATTCAAATTTGGGTAATCGGTTTGTTTAATAAAATGTTTATGTTATTTTCTTTTATGAATTATACATGACTAATAATCCACTTTATAATTGTTTATGAATAAAACTGTACATACTAATTATGTTGAAAAAATAATGTACCTATTTGTTTTATGAAAAATATAATTTACCTAGTATGAAAAGTGTACATAATTATCTATTCCAATATACCTACATTATATGACATCCAATATACCTACATTAATTTTAATGTACTTACAATTAGGATTTAGGTATTATATGTCATCCGATGTACCTACCATTTGAATAATATACCTACTACGAATAAAGTACCTATTATTTATCTAAATAATGTACCTATTTTTTTCTATAAATAATATAGCCTTTTTTTTCTGAATAAAGTACCTATTATTTGTTTTATTAAAAGTAATTTTTTTTAAATGAACCTATTTTCTCTCTCCAAATAACTTACCTATTTTTTTCCTCTAATAATGTACCTATCTTTCCTCTCCAAATAATGTACCTATACACATTTACAGGTATATTGTAAAATAATTTACCTATGGGTAAATAATGTACCTATATTTTATATAAATTATTGTGTACCTATTTTTAATTATGAAAAATATACACAATTACAAAGTAACTGACTTTTTTTTTGGGGTAAATAATATACCTATATTTTATATGTATATATTTATATTATATTTTTCATATGTACATTATTGGATATGTAATTTATATATATTTTTGCAATTTTAGGGGGCGAGATGTGAGAGGGAATGACAACTAAAAGAAATGGGGTGATTGATATGCTATTAATAGGGAGTATATTAATTACAATTATGGTAGTTAATGAAATGCTTGAAATAAATTATAAATAAAATATGAAGTTTAGTGGCAACGATGTAAAAACATAGAAATACTACGACCTCTTATATCATACTGGTCATTTAAATTTGAAATTGGGTTTTACACATAGATTTATAGAGTGATGGGTATATGTCTAAAAAATAGAAAATGTAGGGATCTATATTGGACAAACCCTTGAGTTTAATTGATGTATATGTTATGGAGTTCTTTCTTCTGTCTTGATTTATTCAACTGTAATTCTATCTTCAAATATATGAAAATAGAATTAGTGTTTGCTACTACTCTTCTGATCAAATTCGACTCACATATGTTCAATCACACAAAACAAAACATCTAACACGTGCATCTTCGGATGTCTATATAATTCATAACAAAAAAAGTTTCCGTATTAAAAAAAAATATATATATATATATATATATATATATAAAATCAACAGTATTTCTCAGAAACTTCAAACGATGTCTCGTCTATTTGCTCATCCAATCCAAACCCCAACAAATATTAAACCATATGAAGTATATATTGCATGGATTTTATGTCGATGTTAAGCAAAGAGGTACATTGACATTGGTGTAACCAATATTATAAAAGAAAAATTTGCACCCGAAGAAAAAAAAAATTAAAGTAAATAATAATTTAACCCTCGTCAGTAAAATATGTAAAACAAGATTTCTAAGCTCTAAATCTATTACTTAATTTCTATCTAGCGAGTAAGATGTATCAAGGTGCTCACTTAAGCCTGACTTCTAGGATATACACTAGTATATATTTTAATAAAAACCAATAACGTGATGAAGTTTCTGTATATTTCTTCAATATCAACGTTTGTACAGGATGTATACATATATGGGTGATACAAGGAACTATTCTAGGAAGCTATTCTAGGCTATTAAGTAATTGAGGCTATGATTGAGGTTGACCCACAATATGTGAAGTCCAATACAAATAAGGAAAATGTAATCCCTACAATCAAGTCATTTTATTCTCAACACTCCCCTTCAAGTTGGAGAGTGAATGTTGTGAAGTCCCAACTTGCTGCTCAACGAACTAAAAAGTTCCCTTCCCAAAGCTTTGGTAAATATATCTGCTAATTGTAGGTGAGAAGGGACGTAAAAGGTGGATATCATACCAGACAACAATTTTTCTCGCACTATGTGGCAATCTATTTCAATATGCTTCGTGCGTTCGTGGAAAACGGGATTTGCAGCTATATGGAGAGTAGCTTGATTGTCACAATGTAACGGAATTGGCTTATCTTGTTTTACCCCCAAATCTTGCAATATATAACGCAACCAAGTTAATTCCAAACAAGTGGCTGCCATGGCTCGATATTCGGCTTCTGCAGACGAACGAGCAACATTTGATTGCTTCTTTGATTTCCAAGAAATAAGAGAGTCTCCAAGGAAGACACAGTAGCCTGAAATTGATTTTCTTGTGGTAGGACAACTTGCCCAATCTGAGTCACAATAAGCCTTCAATGTGAGATTATTATTAGTTGGAAAAAATAATCCCTGACCTAGAGTGCCTTTAATGAACTTCAGAACACGAAGAGCTGCTTCTAAGTGAGGTTTTCTTGGCTGGTGCATGAATTGACTCAAGGTCTGTACTGAGTATAGAATATCTGGTCTCGTCACAGTAAGGTAGATTAATCTGCCCACTAATCTCCTATACCTTGTGGGATCATCTAATAAATCACCATTTGTGGGAGTGAGTTTCAAGTGTTGCTCCATTGGGAATTTATCAGGGCGTGCCCCTAAAAGACCTGCATCCTGTATAACATCGAGTGCATATTTCCGTTGTGAAATAAAAATGCCCTTTTGTGATCTTCACACTTCTATGCCCAGAAAATATTTTAAGTCACCAAGATCTTTGATACAGAAATGCTTGAGTAGAAATTCTTTCAGAAGTTGCATCTCTTGTGGATCATTGCCTGTAAGAATTATGTCATCCACATAAATCAGAACTGTAGTGAAGGAATTACCATGAACCTTTGTGAAAAGAGAATAGTCTGCTTGTGATTGGTGAAACCCAGCCTTTTGTATTGCACTTGAAAATTTAAAAAACCATTGTCGAGAGGCTTGTTTCAAACCGTACAAAGATTTATTGAGCCGACACACTAAGTTCTCCCCCTGTCGGCAAAGTCCAGGAGGAGGAACCATGTACACCTCTTCCTCCAAATCGCCATGAAGAAAGGCGTTTTGAACATCAAGTTGATGAATAAACCAATTGCGAGAGGCTGCTATGGATAAGAGGCAGCGGACAGTGGTAGGTTTAGCAATGGGTGAGAAGGTTTCAAAATAGTCAACGCCAGCCACTTGAGTGTACCCTTTCGCAACAAGGCGAGCTTTGTATCTTTCGATGGTCCCATCAGAGTGATGCTTAATTTTGTAAACCCATTTACATCCAATGGGTTTCTGACCGGCAAGCAAGGGAACAAGACTCCAAGTTTTGTTGTGTTGCAAGGCATCTAATTCAACTTTCATTGCATGCTGCCAAAGAGGATCATGAGCAGCCTGGGCATATGAGGTGGGCTCTCTATGACCTGAAACAGCAGCTAAAAAAGCACGGTGTGGTGTAGACAATTTCGAATATGAAAGAAAATTGGATAATGGATATTTTGTACCTTTAACAGGAGTTGGCGTAGAGTCAGATAATTGCACTTGGGTAAACATAGTGTTGGACATGTGGTAGTCTTTATGCCACGATGGGGGTTGGCGGAGTCGAGTAGACTGTCTGGGATTAGTAGGGATAGAAAGAGGTGATGAGGTGGGGTCCGAAGTATTGTCATCTGGAGAGGCAGTGATGGTCGATTCATTGAGAGAGGGAGGAAAAGTAGTGGAAGGTTGGGTGGGGACCTCTTGGGTGGCATCATGGGACAAAGGAGGTAGAGATATTGGTGTTGGTGACTCTTGAGATGAAGGATGTGGTATATCAGCGGAAGGTGAGGAAATAATGGGGACAATAGGAGGGTTTGGAGTGCCTGTATATGTGTGAGGAGTAGGCAAAAAGAGGGGCAAAACACTTTGTGAGTTTTGTTGATGGTCATCTCGGGGTGCAGATGAATAAGGAAAAATATGTTCATGGAATTTGACATCCCTGCTAACAATAAATTGTTTTGTAGCCAAATCATAAAGCCTATAGCCCTTTTGACCTGTTGGATAGCCAACAAAAATACAACGACGGGCACGTGAATCAAATTTTTGTAATGGTTGAACAACAGTGGCATAGCAAAGACACCCAAATACCTTAAGGTGAGCAAGTGTGGGGGGTCGATTGTACAGTCTCTCATAGGGTGATTTGTTGGATAATAATGGAGTGGGTAGCCTATTCATAAGATAAACAGCAGTGAGAACACATTCCCCCCAAAAAAATTAATGGCAAATTGGCTTGGAAGAGCAAAGCACGAGCCACACTGAGAATGTGACGATGCTTGCGTTCAACTACTCCATTTTGTTGTGGAGTGTAAACACATGAACGTTGAAATTCAACCCCATTATGAAGAAAAAAATCTCGCAATGAGAGAAATTCGATTCCATTGTCGGCCCTTATCGCTTTGATGGTGGTATGAAATTGAGTACGAACAAAGGTGAAAAATGATTTTAGGAGGGATTGTGTTTCGGATTTATGAGTCATCAAAAATAGCCAAGTGCACCTAGTGTAATCATCAACAATGGTGAGAAAGTAACGTGCGCCAGAATGAGATTTAATTTTGTGGGGACCCCAAATATCACAATGTAACAAGGCAAAAGGCACATTAGAATATATGGAACTTAACGGAAAAGGTAATCTTGTCTGTTTCGCCATGGAACAAATATCACAATTATTCTCAAAAGAAATAGTACCATAAGGAAGCACATTGGAAAGTAATTTGAGTCGAGCAGGTGAGGGATGACCAAGACGTTGGTGCCATAGGCTGGATGTGTAGGAAACATGGCAAGAAAGCGAGGTTGTGTTTAGCGGCGTGTTTAGCGGCGACATATAGTAAAGGCCTCCTCGCTGTTTACCCAAGCCAATCGTCCTTCCCGTAGCCAAGTCCTGTAACACACAAAAGTCAGGAAAAAGAATGACACAACAATTGGAGGATTTGGTTATTTTGCTGGCATACATCAAATTAAGGCGGAATGAAGGAACACAAAGAACATTATCCAAAGTGATATTTTTGTCAAAGAGTATTGAGCCAACTGAAGAAATAGGAGAAGAGGAACCAGTGGGTAAATGAACTGAAGGCATGGAAGAACTATGTGTTTGAGTGAAAAGAGAAGAGTCGGATGTGATGTGATCCGTTGCACCACTATCCAAAATCCATGTATGAGAAGATACAGAATTAATTGATGGAAACTCACAAAAAAACCGACCTGCCGCACTTGCAAATCCATTGCAATTATCTGATTGTTGTAATTTTACCATGGATATAGCTGCTATAAGTTGTTGACATTGATCTGGTGTGAGCGCAGAAAGCAAATTGAAGAGGTGTGCCTGTTGATTGGAGAAAAAAGTGGAGTTGATGTTTGATTCTTCTTCCTTTCCCATGATGAAAGTGTGATCGAAGGCAAGAGAAATAAAGTCTCTTGAAAGCTTCAACAACACATGAAAAAAAAAAATGAAAATCAAGAGCCACCACAAAGGAGCTCTGATACCATAATAAAAATCAATAACGTGATGAAGTTTCTGTATATTTCTTCAATATCAACGTTTGTACAGGATGTATACATATATGGGTGATACAAGGAACTATTCTAGTAAGCTATTCTAGGCTATTAAGTAATTGAGGCTATGATTGAGGTTGACCCACAATCAAGTCATTTTATTCTCAACATATTTTTCTTATGCATTTAGTTTTTCAGAAACTCCCAAGAAGAATATAGTAGATAATTGTTACGGCCACGGCTAACAGCATTCCAAAAATGACCCTGCAATAATTCCAACACCATAATATATTCAAGTCAGGTCCTTTTTTTCATCATCAATTTTGTTCAGACGAAAGCATGGCTCCTTAAAACTCAGGAAGAGCTCCTTAAACAAGTAAATAAACTTACGCGGTGCTAAGTATGTCTGCGTGGACATTGTATTCCTTGGCAAATACAAAAGGAACAATGCCTTGAGGAAGAGCAGCCTGAAAACAAAAGTATTTAAGCATTTAATTACATATGCAGTTTTAAATTCTTAAGTTTTAAGAAAAGTGGGTATTGCTGGGAGATTGAGATTGTGAACCTGAACTATTGCAACATGTAAAAGAACTCCCCGAAGACCAACAACAATAGAGGTTCCAGCAATAACTGCTGGGCCCGCTAAAAACCTAACAGCCATTGCAAATGTTGCAACAGATTTTCCACAAGCTATGATCTTTGGTTGTAAAGCCATGAATAATCCTGGAAAGAAAAAAAAACAGTGGTTAAAAAAGTATACTTTTATATGGTTCATTTAGGTCAATATATACTGGAGTAAATTGAAGATAAATACCGAGACTAAACATAGCCATTCCCAAGCCAGCATCAGATAATATCGATACAGATCCACTTACAATTTTTGGCATTTTTATGTGCCACCTGCGAATGATTGAAATATTAATTTGGGTGGATCAGTTTCAGGAATGTCTTAGTCTCTTCTGCTATGAAAAGAGAGGGAATATATGTAACATTATTGATCACATTTCTCGTAAAAAATGAAATTGGACTGCTCACAAAATATTTTTGTAAACGATATGCTTAGCATTATTGGTAATATTTTGAGTGGTTTCTTCACAATGCATGATGGGTGCGAGAGAGAGAGATTTACTTGTATGATATGAGAGACCAGGCCAAGCCAAGAAGGCTGGCGTAGGTGTTGGGGTTTCTAATAAGCTTCCTCCAGATCATGATAAGTATATGTCTAATCATGACACTAGCAGGAAGCATTTGGTGCTTCTTGGCTACACCTCCGTCTTCCATGTCCACTTTCTTTTGGAAACTACTGTACGGAGACGCACTTGCTGGAAACTTGGATCCTTCTTCTATCTCAAGCTCCCTGTCTTCATTCATTTTCCTCCCAGGACTCCTATTTAAAATTAAATCATGCATACCTGCACATTTAATTTAAGGAATTAGGATATAAACCAAATACCAATCAAGATTGAGCCCTTCATTTCGAACCAAAAAAATATCACGATTTTTGAAATGGGATCACCAAAAAATTTCACTAAACTCAAATATGAATGTTATGCATCTCATTCTAACAAGTAAAATAGTGACATTATTTTGTGAACAAATTAAATGAGAATACAGAAGAAAATAAATTTTCAAATCTATGTGAAAGGAATTCCCTATTGTTTTTGTTATAGAAAAATGAAATTTGTGTCCAGTAGATAAGGCGTCAATTGACTGAAATGGCTCACGTAAGTACTTGCCTAACAATTAACACAAATATGGTCGGGGATGGGATCATAAAATTGTGGCTTAATTGCTTTATGTTGCCCCCTAAAATTATTGTTAAAATCTCATTTTCCCGCCTGGAAGTTAAAGTGACTTACTTCGCCCATTTTATTTAGGTTTTTGATGTTCCACGTTGCCTCTTGTTATTAACTACATCCAAAAGCCTAGTCGCACCCTGGTCTTCTTTCTCCTTATAGGCAACCAACCACAAGGAAGCGGGGAGGGGGAGGTGGCCCTTCCATCTCCACATCTCCCCTTCTTTTTCTCCCATCTTTTCCCTTCCCCTTATCCCATCTTCTCCTCCCCTTCATCTCCCCAGATAGTCTAAATCTGTTTGGATCTAGGTCTGTTTGTCTGTTTGTCTGTTTGTTTTGTTTGGTTATTTTTGCAGTGTTCTAGGTGACTAGTGTTGTCTGTCTTGGCGACGGCGACAATAATGACACTGGATTATGTCTCTCCTCAAGAGAATTGTGATACCTGGTGGCTGATGTTTTGTCTCTGTTTCAACAGTAGCGGCAGCAGCAACGCTGGTTGTAGTTGTTGGGATGTGGTGCTCTACTCTGCACCGACTGAAGAACTATGCTTGGTTATAGGAGGTTTTCTTTGTCAGGTTCTGAGTTGAAGTGGAGTGCTTCTTAGGGATCCTTTTATTGTTGTTTGTGTTCCTTCTTTGTGTTTTCTCCTGGTTTCTGCTATGGTATGCCTTTCAATTTGTGTGGGTGTCAAAGGACTATGATTTTGCTCATAGAAGGCTTCTTTTGATAGTTGGGATGTTCTATGGTCCTCTCATATGGGTTTACTATTTAGGGTTTCTACAGTCCTCTCATGTGGGTCTATTGTGTTGGTCTGTAGTTGCATTTCTCGTCGGAGGTCTTTGTGTTAGTTTTCGTTTTTGATTTGTTCTTTTATTGTAATGGTCCAAAGTGACTTGATTTGGACTCTCTTATTAGTTCATGACATGTGTGATACTCTTTCCTCACCTGAGGTTTGTCCCATGACATTGTCTTAGGAAGGTTTTAAGGAGGCCACTATATCATGTTTCTCTTTGTATGTCTTTGGTTCTATGAATGAATTCTCTTTCTAAAATAAAAAAATAAAAAAATAAAAAAATAAACTACATCCAAAAGCCTATTAATTTTTATGACGTGGTAGAGGTGTTTTAGTAATTTCATACACGTTGATCATTTACCTACTATTCCGGTACCATTTTATAATTTTTGCAGAGAGAGGAGAGAGGTTTGTTTGCCACCAAAAAAAAAAAAGAAGTTATTTTATTATTATTATTAATTGATATATTTTTTACTATTAAATACTTTTAAAAAATGTTATAATTTTTTTATTCAAAAACATTTTTAACATTTTAATCTATTTTGTCACATCACATATTCAGAATAACGAGTAAATGACCAACATGTATGAAATTAATAAAATACTCTTGTTACGTCATCAAAAATAATGTATTATTGGATGAAGTGGACGGTACGGACAACTTGGAACACCAAGCCTTGGTCAATGGAATAAAGTGTGTCACTTAACTTTTAGGGAAAGTCAGGTTTGACCATAATTAAAGGGCTAATAAAGCAATTAAGACAAAAATTATTTGCTACTCACCTTTTGAAGCAGCAGTTTCATGTTGTTGAAGAGCTGCAGCCTTGGAAGGATCAATTACCCCAAAGTCAGTGGAAGTAGCTCGATTTACTGCATGTCTAAGATTCCCTTCGGAATCTGGAGATGCACTGGAATTCCAAACAAACATATGGAGGTCCTTATTACGCACTTTCGCACCACTATCTTTCTTCTTCGGCACGCCACTGGTAGACCTCGAAAACATTGGGTTCGGAGGCGGATACGAAGAGACCATACCACCATATAAGACCTCACAACTCATACTCCTCTCCCTCCTCTTCTTATTAGTAGTGCTCATCTTCAACGCCTCCTCATCATCCCCAAATCCGAGTTGGAAACTGTTTGTATAGCCGTGTTTGCCGCTCGGCGCCTTGCTGGCACTAAACATGGCGTAAAAATCCGTCTGGTTGAAGCTGGATGCCCGTGAGGTCGTCTCAAGGGAAGACTGCACGGAGTAAAACTCGTCTCCAGTCAGATTGGAAGCCCGCGAGGTCACCGAATTCAACGAGTTTAACCTGTGTGACCTGTTGAAAGACGACGCATTGGATCGTTTCACCACCACGTGAAGCTTCCCGTCGTCGTCGATCTCCGCGTCTGTTTGCAGAGGCTCTCGACCGCTGAGCGAAACAACATCAGAGTCAACTCTGAAAGATGTGATTGAAGCTGCAGTCTCCGGGAACTGCTCGGAGATCAAGAGCTTGGCGTCGCGGTACTCGAACATGAAGAGCATGAGAGTGTACCAGATCATGCTCTGCAAAACAACAATCTGAACCATCAAGTTGCCGGAGAAGTCGCCGTACATGGCTTTGAGCAGCGGGATGCCCATGACGAGGGTGTTGGGGAGGGTGGAGAGGGAGAAGAGCGTGATCATCCACTCGAGGTTGCCACGTTTGGAGAAGGCTCGCCAGAGAAACAGGGCGACCAGGATGACGACTTTTTGGAGGGAGTCAGCGAGGATAAACTTGTAGTTCATGGCGTAAGGGTCGTTGGAGGAGATGAAGTGGAAGGAGAGCAATGGGACGGCGAAAACCGCCACGAAGCGGTTTATGCCTGAGCATTGGTCCGGGGTGAAGATTTTCCACCATCGGACGGAACCGTAGGCTAAGATCATAGCCACGTATAAAGGGACTATGGCTACAAAAACATCGTATATGTCCTTGCCAGTGATCATCGTATATGTCTGGCTTTGTTTTCTTAAAAATGAGGAGATGGGTTTGTTGTTTAGAGTGAGAATTTGGTGGGGAAGGCTTATTTGTGGTTTTTTTCATGAGAGAGAGAGAGAGAATGAGATGGTTGTTTGTGTGCTCTTATAGAGAAATGTTTTGTTTGTTTTTGTTGATAAAAATTAAAAAATAATAGTAAAAAACATGCAAGAACTTGGATTAATTATGGTAACAGAGAAATGATGGGGCTGATGCTCGAACAATGCCGACAAGAGACCAAGAGGAAAATTGTTTTTTAATCAGAGACTGTCGAGCGTTTGTGCGTGTGTGTGAGAGAGAGGTTTTGTTTGTATCTTCTTGTTGTGAAATGAAAAGGGTGGCTGTGGCAGATTATTCTGACCACAAAATAACAACGGAATAGTTTTTACACGCAAGTTTGTGTACGCATATGTGCTAGGTAGCTGCTAATATTTTTTCCTTTTTTTTTGTTTAATACATAAAAGGCATCTATAAAACTTGTGGAAAATAAAGTAATCTCCAATTACCGGCACCACTTAATTAATTATTTTTCTATGAGCCCCCTTAATTAATTATTGAAAATGAGAGGGGAAAAAAAGCAACACTCGTACCTTTTAGGTGTGACTCATGAGTCTTCAAATTTATTTAGTCTTGTAAGACTTTCTTATGTAGAGTCATCAATCGGCAATTGGAATTAAATATTTTAAAACGGAACTGACTGTTGATTTTGACCCAAAAAAAAAAAATTTATGCTTTTTTGTTAGAGCATCTCTAAGGGAGATATCAAATACCAAATATCAAATTTAAATTTGATGGCGGATTTAGCAATTTGACATCTTACAAAGCGTCACACTCTACCCGATATGTCAAATTAAATTATTATTTTATTACATTTTAGTGTTGATTTATTTTTAATTAAAAAGAAAAGAAAATTAATAATAAAATATTCATTTGACATCTTGTTTTTTGGATGTCAAAAATAACATCTCAACTTCCAGCCTTCATTCCACATCAGCTTTGACACATCGGTTGGAGTGGTGTGAGATATTATTTCTAGCCGTTAAATGTCTATGTGGCACGTTTGACACATCGATTGGAGATGCTCTTACAAACAAATTCAATTACTCAAGCACCGGCAATATTTATTAAATATACATGTTTAGATAAATTTGACCTTGTGGTAAAATAAAAAGATAGAGATGCAAATTGTAAAAAATAATTCAGTTTCTTATATGGCAAAAATTTGTGATTAACACAAACGTTTTATTTATATTTTTTTTCTTTCTTATAAGTAAGTTTGAGGACTACCTCTTCCCAACCGTATATACTAGAATAGAGTCAGCACTATGTTAGAACCCCAGCAGTATGTCAACGGTACAATTTCCCGTTGGATGTTAATTATAAAGTTTGTATGGATATGTGTGCAAGTAAATATTTGAAGATTCTAGGTTAAATAATTAATTTGTGAATGATTTGATTAAATTAGGGATTTGATTCTAATCAAATTTCTAATTAATTCAATCTCTTCAAATTAGAGAAAAATAATTCATTTTCATGTGAAGGATTATTCTTCCAAAACCCTAACCACCAAGGCCCCTATAAATAAGTGGCCACGCACAAGACATGCGGTACATCTAAACACATTTTCACTCCATGTTCTTTTGCAGGGAGAAAGAGAAAGGAAGAGGAAGAAGGGATCATGAGATGAATATTCTCTAGGAAGGAAAATCACTCCCACAATATGTTTAGAAATAAGATCCCTAGGGATCTCAGATGTATTTTGTTTCCGTTTTTTTTTTTTTTTTTTTTTTTTTTTTTTTTTTTTTTTTTTTTTTAGTAATCAATATGTCAGGGAGGGAGGTATGGTTTTATTTCTCAAAAGCTCCCAACTGTTTTCCATGACTTGTGCGTCAACGCGAGCCACAACCCTTGCGAGCAGAAGATGTCGAGAGGATTGTGAATGACCGACTTCAGAGTCTCCAACTTAAGGTGCATGGAAGTTGATCAAGTGACCTAGCCCTTCACTGACAAGATAGAGTAGGCCACTCCTCCGAAATGATTCACAACACAGTCCATCACACCGTTCAAAGGGGACTCTGACCTTGAGAGCAATTTGAAGTACTTCAAGAGTGCTATGATACTGTACAAGGCTGACGACACCCAGATGTGCAAGGTATTCGCGATGACCTTTCGAGGAGCAGCTCAAGATTGGTTCCACACTCTACCGTTCACATCAATCGACAGCTCCAATGAGTTTGCCTTCATTTTTACAAAGGAATACACCTCCAATTGAATGATCAAAAATAAGGCTGACCACCTGTTTAATCTGCAAAAGAAGCCTGACGAGTTTCTTCGATAGTATATCAGGATATCCAAGGCTGAAAAAGCGAGCATCATAGGATGCGATGATCAAATCCCATCCTCAGCTTTCAAGAAGGGCTTTCTGGTCGAGCACGAGCTATAAAGTGAGCTGACTATTGTTGAGGCCCAAAAAATCCACACTTCAGCCCAAATAAATTCTCGGCCTAATGCGATACCTTATCGAGAAGAAACCCGATTTGGGCACGCGAAAGTTCATCATATGCGCTTGCACACATGTCACACCAAGCGACACGCCACGCCAAGCAATGAATTATTATTCTGCACCTAACCACGCCATAAGCTTAAGTAGGCCTCAAGCCACTCAAATACCCGGGGCTTGCTTGAGTGAGTTGTGATATGGATGGTAATAAATCAACATGAGGCCCATTGATAGGCCGAGAAAGAGAAGTCTCAGGTTGCTTGAGAGCCTCGGGACTCAAGCCCATTTCTTAGGCCCAAACATATGGGTGAGCACAAAAGAGGAAATATTTTGTGCACTATTCACCCTTCTTCTCCATTTTCCTCTTCTGGCAAACCACTTTCACAACTGTCAGAAGCTTTGTCAAGCTGCCGGAAGAACATTGTTCTTTCTTTCTCTCTTTTCAGCAAAATCAACTTGCAAACCTCTTCTTCCTCACCTTAAACACTCTTATTTCTCCCAAGGAAGCCATATTTTCCTCTTTGGTGCTAAACTCATGCTCATTTTGCTTCCATATCACAAGCCTCTCATGCCAAACTAGAAAATTTATCTGTGTAAGCATCAAAAAATCATCTGTAAGTTGCTGTTGTTTTGGTTGGTGAAGATAACCAATATGCTTCTTAAGGCTCTACTGCCCTTTCAAAGCATATTTGGGGCTTGATTTTCGAACTCAGACAAAGAGGACAACATCATCAATCTGCCATTTACGGCAGCTCAGCCCATTTATAGCTGTCGGAAGAAAAAGGCTCCTACAACTATCATTGCAAGCCAAACCTTGACAGAAGTCTTAGAGACGGCAGAGCGCTACGCACTTATAAATGAAGATTGTTTCACTGCGAAGAAAGCAAGTAAGTAAGACGATCAACCGACTAGGCAAGCAAGCCAAAATAACGACAAGTTCTACAACAAGAATAGGGGCAAGCGCATATCGCAGCCCCAAGGAGGAGCCTCGGCAGCAGAGGGCTTTTTTGAGTTCACTATCCTTATTCACCATATTCTAGCCTAAGTGAAAGAAAAGCCCTGGGTGAAGAGACCCCCACCTCAGAGGAAGGACCAAACTATGAGGGATACTAGTAAATATTGCACATTCCACGAAGGGCATGTACATTACACAAACAACTACTTCACTTGGAAAAGTAACCTTGAAGAGCTAGTCAAAGATGGCTATTGCATGGAATTCATTGCAAAGAAGATTATCTAGTAAATCGAGGATCATGAGGCAGCTCCTAAGAAACCCCCACAAAAAGTTATACGGATCAATACGATCCTAGCCTACTTGCAGCAGTCCAAGCTGAGCACCAGGGAGAGAAAGTGGAAGATCAAGCAGACGACTTTTGTCTCTCAAGTCGTAATTGAAGGCCTAGCCATGGAGGACGATCTTATCATCGGCTTTCAGAAGAATGATCTGATCGGGCTGGATCTGCAGCATAATGACGCCCTTGTCATTTGCACCTAGATTGAACAAATTGTGGTTGAGCAAGTTCACATAGATGAGGGCAGCATAGCCAACATCCTACAACTGTCAGTTGTCCAGTAGAATGGATTGGAGACCAAGATCTATAAGTTTGCCAGATCATTCACCAGCTTCAATGATCCTGACTAGCCAAACAGAAAAGCGCGGGTCAGATTACGCCTAAGCCTGGATGAGAAGGTGGAGCTGACCACCATCCTCCAAAACAACAAGGACATGTTCACACTATCGCCATCTGACATGCCTAACATCGACCCTCGAATCTTCTACCACCAGCTCCAGCAAGCCAGTGGGGCAGAAAGGACACAACTTCACTCCCGAGTAAGTTGCGATCATTGAAGCCAAGATTGACTTTTCACTCCGTGTTACTTCACTCCCAAGTAAGTCGCGATAATTGTTACGGGCACGGCTAACAGCATTCCAAAAATGACCATGCAATAATTGCAACACCATAATATATTCAAGTCAAAGTCTTTTTTTTATCACCAATTTTATTCAAAGGAAAGCGTGGCTCCTTAAAACTCAAGAGGAGCTCGTTAAACAAGTACATAAACTTACGCAGTGCTAAGTATATCTGCGTGGACATTGTATTCCTTGGCAAATACAAATGGAACAATGCCTTGAGGAAGAGCAGCCTGAAAACAAAAGTATTTAAGTATTTAATTACAAATGCAGTTTTAAATTCTTAAGTTAAGTTTTAAGAAAAGTGGGTATTGCTGGGAGATTGAGATTGTGAACCTGAAGTATTGAAACATGTAAAAGAATTCCCCGAAGACCAATAGCAATGGAGGTTCCAGCAATCATTGTTGGGCCTGTTAAAAACCTAACAGCCATTGCAAATGTTGCAACAGATTTCCACAAGCTATGATCTTTGGTTGTAAAGCCATGAATAATCCTTGGAAAGAAAGAAAAAAATAGTGGTTAAAAAGGAAAACTTCATTTGAAGGATACTTTTATATGGTGCATTTAGGTTAATATAAAATGTAGTCAATTGAAGATCAATACTGAGACTGAACATAGCCATTCCCAAGCTAGCATAAGATAATATCGATATGGATCTACTTACAATTGTTGGCATTTTGATGTCCCACCTGCGAATGATTGAAATATTAATTTGAGGGGATCAGTTTCAGTAATTTCTTATTCTCTTCTACTACGAAAACGAAAAGAGAGGGCATATATGTAACATTGTTGATCACATTTCTCATTAAAAACGAAATTGAATGCATATAAAATCTATTTTTGTGAGCGATAAGCTTAGCATTATTGGTAATATTTTGAGTTGTTTCTACACAATGCATGATGGGTGCACTAGAGAGAGAGAGAGAGAGAGAGAGAGAGAGATTTACTTGTATGATATGAGAGACCAGGCCAAGCCAAGAACCCTGGCGTAGGTGTTGGGGTTTCTAATAAGCTTCTTACAGATCATGATAAGTATAAGTCTAATCATGACACTGGCACGAGGCATTTGGAGATTCTTGGCTACATCTCCGTCTTCCATGTCCACCTTCTTCCAAAAACTACCGTACAGAGACGCACTTGCTGGAAACTTGGATCCTTCTTCTAACTCAAGCTCTCTATATGCACTCGTTTTCCTCCCGGGACTCATATTTGCAATTAAATCATGCATACCTGCACATTTAATTTAAGGAATTAGGATATAAACCAAATACCAATCAAGATTGAGCCCTTCATTTAGAACCCAAAAAAAAAATTCACGATTTTTGTATAACAATCTAAGAAATGGGTGTTAAATTTCAGAGAGACGGATCAGCGGCCCAGTACTAGCTACACCAATATTGTCCCTAACTTATCCACCTATAAAACCCAATAGGTATGTGGTTCTATCACAAAAGGCCCCGGGGATATTAGTAGTGGAACCATTCATTATATTTTATATTTTATATTTTATTTAGTCAAGTTTCTAATGTGGGACTTATATTATTCAATAATGGGATCACCAAATTTATTCACTAAACTCAAATATGAATCTTTATGCATCTCATTTATTTCCAACAAGTAAAATAGTGACATTATTTTATGAACAAATTAAATGAGAATACAAAAGAAATGAAAAAAATCAAAAATATGTGAAAGGATTTCCCTATTGTTTTTGTTATAGAAAAATGAAATTTGTGTCCAATAGATAAGGCGTCAATTGACTGAAATGGATCACATAAGTACTTGCCTAGCAATTTATACAAAAGACAAAATATGGTTGGGGATGGGATCATTAAATTATGGCTTAACTGCTTTATGTTGCCCTCTAAAATTATGGTCAAATCTCATTTTTCCCACATGGAAGTTAAAGTGACTCACTTTGCCTCTTTCATTAAGGTTTTTGATGTTCCACAACTATATCCAAAAGTCCGTTAATTTTTATGATGTGGTAGAAGTGTTTTAGTAATTTCATACACATTGGTCATTTACCTACTATTATGAGTATGTGATATAATAAAATAACATAATATTGAAATAAAATAAAAACAAACTCTACCTAGACCCAAAGGCAGCCTTGGCATGGTGCAAGTGACGCCAACGGAATTTTTATACTTTATATTATATATATATTAATATTATAAAATTTGTATATATACTTGCATCATATTGACACAAAAGTGTATTGGTGGAGCTCATTTCTAGTGCATATACCTTGGTACAAGGCCCAGGTTCGAGTTTCTATTCTTTTTTAATTATAACAAAATTTAAAATAATTATTTTTTTTTAAAAAGCACATAAAAAAACAGGAAAGATCCAACTAAACTAACATCTATACATCCCACACCCATATACTCAAAAAAAAAAAAAAAAAAAAAAATAATAAAAAAAAAAAATATCCACTTAAAACAAAACCCAAAAAAAAACAAAAATTATGCTTCTTCTTTCTCTTGAACTCTTTTTTTTTTTTTTACCGAACATACTAATATTTAACTTTATTGAATGAAAACATAAAAAAAAACATTGAATTTGATTTGTGATTAGTATCACATGCTAATTGATTATGAATTTTAGTTATAAAAAAATTGTTTTATGACATTAAGTCATGACAAATTTTTTTTTATTTTAGTATTTTCATATTAGATTATATGAGGTCTCCAGTTTAAGTTTCGCACAGGATCCTCAAAATCTTAGGACCGACCCTGCCTAAACCTTACTCTCCCTAACTGAACCTACCCACACCGCCCAAGCTATAGCATAATGTCATATTCCGGTACCATTTTATAATTTCTAGTCGAGAAATTAGAGAGATAGGAGAAAGATTTGTTTGCCTAAAAAAAAGTTATTTTATTATTATTTTTAATTGATTTTTTTTCCTATTAAATACTTTTAAAAGATGTTATAATTTTTTATTCAAAAATATTTTTTAATATTTAATCTACTTTGTCACATCACATATTTAGAATAGCAAGTAAATGACCAACATATATGAAATTAATAAAAAACTCATCACGTCGTAAAAAAATAATGTATTGTTGAATGAAGTTGTCCCTGCCGATAGGGACAACGTGGAACACCAAGCCTTGGTCAATGGCTTTAAGTCGGTGACTTAACTTTTAGGGAAAGTCATATTTGACCATAATTAAAAGGATAACAAAACAATTAAGCCAAAAATTATTTGCTACTCACCTTTTGAAGCAGCAGTTTCATGTTGTTGAAGAACTGCAGCCTTAGAAGGATCAATTACCCCAAAGTCAGTGGAAGCAACTCGATTTACTGCATGTCTAAGATTTCCATCGGAATTTGGCGATAAACTGGAATTCCAAACAAACATATGGAGGTCCTTATTACGCAATGCCTCACCACCACCACCACTATCCTTTTTCTTTGGCACACCACTAGTAGACCCCTTAAACATTGGGTTCACAGGCGGATATGAAGAGACCATACCACCATTGAAGACCTCACAACTCATACTCATTTCCCTCCTCTTCTTATTAGTAGTGCTCATCTTCAATGCCTCTTCATCATCCCCGAATCCGCCTTGGAAACTGTTTGTATAGCCGTGTTTGCGGCTCGGCTCCCTGCTGGCACTAAACATGGCTTAAAAATCCGTCTGGTTGAAGCTGGATGCCCATGGGTTCATCTCAAGGGAAAACTGCACGAAGTAAATCTCGACTCCAATTAGATTGGATGCCCGCGAGGTGATCGAATTCAACGAGTGTAACCTGTGTGACCTATTGAAAGAAGACGCATTGGATCATTTCACCACCACATGAAGCTTCCCATCGCCGCTGATGAAAGAATGTAGAAAACTGTATATTGTATTGATACCTTGAGATCGTAATGTACAAGATTTATACAGAATGAAAGTTCTATTCTAAGTAAGCATGGAATCTATTCTAAGTATGTAAATCACAATAGGTGTAATGACCGCAATCTTAGCTAATTACTAAGATTGAGGTAATCACAATAGTTGACCAATTTCTTCCCTTTAACACTCCCCCTCAAGTTGGAGTGTGAATATCAATTACACCCAACTTGCCAAGATGGGATTGGAACAAGGGGGCAGGTAACGGCTTAGTGAAAATATCTGCAACTTGATGTTTGGTTTGCACATGAACTGTCTTGATCTCCCCGTTTTGAATTCTCTCACGAACGGTATGACAATCCAATTCAATGTGCTTGGTCCGTTCATGATACACTGGGTTGGCTGCAATGTAGAGGGCTGCTTTGTTGTCACAGAGTAAGGTGGCTGGCTGGTTGTGTTCCACTTGTAAGTCTCGTAAGAGATATCGCAACCAAGTGAGTTCACAAGTGGTGGCTGCCATAGAGCGGTACTCAGCTTCTGCAGATGACCTTGAGACAGTGACTTGCTTCTTGCTTTTCCATGATATGAGTGACTTCCCAAGGAAAATACAGTATCCAGTAACTGAGCGCCTTGTAAAAGGACATCGTGCCCAATCCGCGTCACAGTAAGCTGTCAAGTGGAGGGGCCCGTGTGAAGGGAATAATAACCCTTGGCCAGGAGCTCCTTTGAGGTAGTGAAGGAGTCGACGTGCTGTCTCAAAATGATGCATTCGGGGTTCATGCATAAACTGACTTAGAGTATTCACCGCATATGTGATTTCGGGTCTTGTTATTGTAAGATATATTAACCTGCCAACAAGTCTGCGATAGCGAGTAGGATCCTTGAGAGGGTCACTCCCTGTAGGCATGAGTGCAACATTGGCTTCCTTAGGAATTTTTGTAGGCTTTGCACCAAGTAAACCTGCATCTTCCAAAATATCCAGTGTATACTTCCGTTGACAAAAAGAAATCCCAGATTTGGACCGTGCAATTTCAACTCCAAGAAAATACTTTAAAGGTCCAAGATCTTTGATTTTGAAACAAGTGCCAAGGAAGTGTTTAAGGTCTCGTATGGCATCATCATCATTTCCAGTAATTATCATATCATCAACGTACAACAATATAACGGTGAAGGATTTACCATGTTTGTGTGTAAACATAGAATAATCTGCTCTGGATTGAGAAAAACCAATATTTTGTATAGCAGAGGAAAACTTACGAAACCAGCTTCGAGATGCCTGTTTAAGACCATATAAGGATTTGTGGAGACGACACACAGTGTGCTCCCCCTGTCGTTGATAACCGGGCGGTGGAAGCATGTAGACCTCTTCATGGAGGTCGCCATGAAGGAAAGCGTTGTGTACGTCCATCTGATGAAGCGGCCAATTGTGAACAGAGGCAACAGTGAGGAGACAATGGACAATGATAAGTTTAGCAACAGGGGCAAAGGTCTCAGTATAATCGATGCCTTCACGCTGGGTGAACCCTTTGGCGACCAAACGAGCTTTGTATCTCTCCAGGGTACCATCGGAAGTGTACTTGAGTTTGAAAACCCATTTGCACCCAATCGGACGTTGGCCAGCCGGTAACGGAACTAACGACCAAGTGTGGTTCTCTTCCAGAGCTGCAATTTCGGAGTTCATAGCCTCAACCCAGTGGGGGTTGTGACAGGCCTCCTCATAAGTGTTAGGTTCAACCAATTGGGAGATATTGTTGACAAAAAAACGATGAGGTTCCGAAAAATTAGAATGAGTGACATACCGAGTGATGGGGTAGCGAGTACCTGACGTGATGGGGGAAGGAACTCCTGGAGCAAGCAGGGCGGCATGGTGGGCTTGGTAGTCCTTGAAGTGGGGAGGGGGTTTGATAGATCGGGTGGATTTGCGCAGAGGTGGGGCGGGAGAAATGGGATTGGCGTCGGTGGGAGAAGGAGGAAGAAGTTGTGGAGGGGACGAAACGGCCGGAGAGGGTGACGCCGTGGCATCGAAGGATGGTGAAGATGCGGTGGTAGGCATCGGTGATGAAGGAGAAGAACCAGAGAGAACAGGGGGCACGGGTTGGGTAAGAGATGGGGAGGGTGAGTAAGTGAGGAGTGGGTCGTGGGCCGAGGGCTGAGGGGTATGGGCCGGATGGGGAAAAAGGTGAGGAGAAGAAGAATAGGTTGGGCTTTCCTGGGTCTGGGATAAGGGGTCATGGGCTGGGGTGGGTAGGACAACAGTGTCAGTTTGTTGTTCAGGTGGTGAGGTAGAGAAAGGGAATATATTTTCGTGAAAAACCACATCCCGAGAGGAAAAAAAATTTTGTGTGTTGAGGTCATAAAGGCGATAACCCTTTTGATGACAAGACCCGCCCCGAATTTTTCACAAAACTCGAGATGAATCTTGCGGAGACCCCGACATCACACCCATGCCGGGTTTACTCCTTAAAATGGTAACCTCCTTCTTCAAAAGAGTAAGGGCATGAGACTTTCTGCCGAAAATTCGACAGAGCCTCCCCTGTAAATTGAACATTTCCCAAAATTTCCACCTGCATAAAACATAGTTTTATAACCCAACCGGCAACACGCACAAGATAATTTCATGCAATTCATCTAAATTGCCTCCGGCCTTCAAATATTCCGAAAAAGAGCTGCCAACAAAGTCTTTAGATAAGAAATTTCCTTAAACATGGCAAGAATAGGCTCAAACACACTTATAATTGCCGAAAGCAAAACTCACCACTAACTTTCCCCAATCCAGCAGGCGAGGTTTTAACATGCATCAATTATCATCTATAAATTATCACACACTTTAATCAATAGTACACCTACACAACCCTCCCTTATCCAACCGGGAGTATGAACAAAAATCTAAACATACCTCGATTTCAAACGAGTCTCAGGACCAACAAGGTCCGCATCACACTCAACAAAACACATCATTAGAGTTTAACCCGCGGCTGCGCCAGTTACTTCAGGCTGCCTACGTACCCTTATTGAGGGATCAAGCCACACGTAGTTCTTTCATATCAACGGTCACATCTCCGATAATATACAATTATTTAAAGCAGAACCAACAAATGCATTTCAAATTTATCACCGATCAATTTCCCACTAAACACAAAGAACACATTCTCAAACTCTTCCTTTATATCAAATCAACCTGCAACCATACCTTATGCCAGGCGATGTTGCCAACCATTACTCCCCAATCCAGGACTCAGACCATTCATAACAATGTAAGGTAATCACAAAGCACAACCTTACGAATAAACATATATAAACATATAAACATATAGAAATCCAGAAACAAATCCACGTATAAACATATATAAATAAGCACACCCACCTCTCACCATCATCATGTACCAGGGGAAAACAATCCAATTCAGGGATTGTTTGACTAGTCAACATGGCAGAGCCATTCCTCAATTCACCATGTGGCTAGGGAGCGAGCCATCCAACCGGGGGATTAACTCTCAGCCAGCACGTACAGCCGACACAGTCAAAGCTTGTACGCCTGAAATACCAGTCCTACGCGCGCAGACTACCCCAAATCCAGGGTCCACAGCAACATCCCCTCAAGGATGTCCTGAGTTCTAATAACTCCAAAAGTATCCAATGTTCGTAACCAAATGCAGATCAGGGGAGGTACATATGATGATGTACATCATGTACTAGGGAAAACAATCCAACTGGGGATTGTTTGACTAGTCAACATGGCAGAGCCATTCCTCAATTCACCATGTGACTAGGGAACGAGCCGTCCAACTGGGGGACTAACTCTCAGCCCAGCACGTACGGACGAAGAATCAAGACCCGTACGCCTGTAAACAGTCCTACGCGCGCAGACTACCACCCCTCAGGGTCCACGGCAACATCTCATCAAGGATGCCCCGTATTTCAACATATCCAAACCATAGTATAATATTCCCGGCATCCCACAATTCCAGGATCCGTAACCAAGAAAGCCCACACGCCCGAAACACGGCACGTGTGTGAATAGTAACCAGGGAAGGTACGTATGATGGTGGAGTTCGTAACCCTTATCACAACATTATAAAATGATATTTTCTTCCTTAATTCAATTGTTCCAAACCTCTATACCTTTCGGATCATCACAATTCTAAATCAGATAAAAACACATTGAAACATTAACACTTCCTTTCCAAAGCATCGTATCAAGAAGACATCCGAAGGGCCTGTACAAACTCCGACGGGCCTGGGCAAAAATAAATCTCAAACATAAAACGAATAACCGAGGAGGTATAATCTAGGAAGTCTCACGGTCAACCCAGGGTCAAACTACCCAGTCTTGGTCATACGGGCCCTCGAGTCCACGACCTTCAAATTCCGATCCGACAGTCCCTATAGGTCCTACAGGGTCTAGGACACACGTCCTGCAAGTTTGATCCGGATCGGACGGTCAGATCGCTCACGATCGGACGATCGGACGGTTACTAAAACCCTAACCCCAGGGTTGGCATTTCCGGAGTATCCGGGACTCCGTTTTACGATCCGTCGAATCCTACACGATCCTGGTAATACTTAGATCAACATATTATAACTTCAGGACCATCCAACGGTCCAAACCTAGCGAACCCAGAAAAATACGCAATATGCGATATCCGTTCAAGGCTCTAACGGTATCCAAATTTAGATCCGTAAAATCCTACGCGCTCGTGACATCAAGGGGATCACATTGGGACAAAAGTGCCCCAACCTACCGTGCCCACGCGCCGCCACACGCGTCGGCAACGCTTGGGTGTCCAAAGCGATATCGCATCGCCGGAAAACTTCCAAATCGAGAGCCAAGACTCCTACCCTAGGTAATACACCTAATTTGGAGTCACTTTTGTTGTTGGACGTACCCCAAAAACTGACCGGAAGTGGCCGGAATCGCGATCGCAATACCAGCCGAAATCCAATTCGTAAATCGAGTTGCCTACACTACAAATTGATCAATTTCTACCCAACAGGCAGCCAGAGCTCAGAAAATAGGTGGAAATCCATACCTCAATCACCAGAAACGGTGGCCGGAGGAGGGAGATCGAGCCGGCGAAGTTTCAAGCGAAAACCGGCCAAAAACCTGCATTTTCCGGTGACTGGAGCGGCGGCCGATGTCGGGGAAGGGCCGGGTCATGACACCGGGGCTGAGCCGGTCATTTTGGCACCGGTCTCGTCCGCATCCGTGGCCGGTGGCCGGAGTTGCGAGGGAGGAGGGCGACGGCTGTCGCGCGGAGGAGAGAGAGAGCACCCCCCAAGAGAGAGAGTTTTCAAATTTTATTCAAAATCCATTTCAAAATATTTACGATTATGCCACTGAGGGTATTTTGATCGTATCTCTCTCGTCACAACTCCGATTCGAGCCCACTACGTGTCTACGGACTCATCTCACCGCGCTCTACGCAACGGTATTGTTGACATTTCCACATTCCATCCCGATCAGAAAGTCAACTTTAAACCTCACAAAATATTCTAGGGGCAAAATTGTCCTTTTATCTGAATAAATTAATATTTAGGACCGGGTCATTACATTTGACCAAGGGGATAACCAAAGAAAACACATCGACGGGCCCGGGCATCAAACTTGTGTTTGGGAAGGAGATTGGTAGCATAACACAGACAACCAAAAACTCGTAAAAAAGAATAATCAGGAGTGTTGTGGTGTAAAAGTTCATATGGAGATTGGTGTTTGAGTAATGGTGTTGGAAGGCGATTTATGAGATAACATGCAGTATGTAAGCTTTCTCCCTAAAAACGTAAGGGAATATTGGCCAGAAAACGGAGTGCCCGAGCCACATTTAAAAGGTGGCGATGTTTTCGTTCGACAATGCCATTTTGTTGGGGTGTATATGGATATGAGTGTTGGAAAGAGGTACCGGTGTCTCGAAAAAAAGGTTGGAGGGAAAGAAATTCACTCCCATTATCGGCACGCAAGGTTTTGATAGGAAGATTGAATTGGGTTTTGACCCAAGAGAAAAAGGATTTTATCACCCCTTGTGTGTCAGATTTAAAATTTAAGAGATGAATCCATGTAAAACGGGTAAAATCATCCACAATAGTGAGAAAATATCGTGCACCAGTATGAGTGTGAATTTTGTGTGGCCCCCAAATGTCACAATGAATTAAATCAAAAGGTGCATGAGATGACATTGAAGTAGATGGAGAAAAAGATAAGCGAGTTTGCTTTGCTAAAGGACAAATATCACAAACATGATTGTTATCACAGATAATTTCTGGAAATTTATTGGAAAGAAATTGAGTAGGGGCGGTGGATGGGTGTCCCAGACGTTGATGCCAAAGATGGGAGGTGTGGTGAACATGATGAGCTAGATGTGGGTTTTGGGTGGCTTTGAGGTAGTAGAGCCCATTAAATTGCTTGCCCAGGCCAATCGTCCTCCCCGTATTCACGTCCTGCACAACACAAAATTTATCAAAGAAAGTCACCATACACTGCAATCCTCGTGTCAATTTGCTCACAGATAATAAGTTCACATTAAATTGTGGTACATGAAGAACACCATCTAGAGTTAAGGTGTCAGACACTTTAATGGATCCAATATTTTAATGGCTGCTTTCCCTCCATTAGGTAAACCAAGAAAATCATGTTGAGTATTGACTGTGTTGTGTGTAGGTGCAAAACACGAAATATGATCTGATGCTCCACTGTCCATGATCCAATAGAAATTTGAAAGTGGGTCATGCTGTGAAAGGTTGCAGGTTGATGTGACAATACCTGTTGCATTTGCAAGATGAGAATTACCAGGTCGATTGTGTAAAAGAGCGATCAGTTGATTGTATTCTTCAGTAGTGAAAGTGGGGCTGTCATCGGATTTGACGTGGGGCCCTGGGTTTGGATCCTTTTCAGCAGTGTAAGCAGCCCGTTTGTTTTTGGGCTTGACATTCTTCCCATGGAGTTTGTGGCCCACAGGAAATCCATTAAGGAAAAAACAAGTGTCAATGGTGTGGGTGTCTCCATCACAATAAGAACATTTCAGAGACTTCCTGAAGTTGGAGCTGTGTTTTCTGTTCCCAGCACCAGAGGGTTTCGCCGCTGCTGCCGAGTTGCCTAGGTTGGTGCCGCCCTTGGTGTTCGCAGAACGTATGATTTGCATGGCATGGGATCCGGGCTGTCGATTTGCCACGTCCAGTTGCCTTTCGTGTTGGAGGATCAGGCCATGGACACGACGTGTGTCTGGGATCGGTGACATCATCAGAATTGACCCACGCACAGTTGAATAAGGTTCATTCAGACCCATTAAAAATTGCATGACTCTCTCATTCTCTTCTCTGGAAGCACGTGTTGTGGAACCTTCGCAAGTGCAGATGATGGGTTCATGGTATGAATCCAATTCATCCCATAAGGCCTTGAGCTTGGTGTAATACTCTGAAACCGAAAGATGGCCTTGTCGATGTTCGGCAATTTCTTGGCAGATTTGGTAAATCCGGAAGTCGTTGCCTTGTGAGAATCGATCTTTAAGATCATTCCACACCATGGATGCGCTGGTGCAGTAAAGTACACTGCTTGAGATGTCGGGTTGTAGTGAGTGCAAAATCCAGGATAACACCATATCATTGCATCTCTGCCAAATGGAGAATTTGGCATCAGTTTTTGCTGGGGCTTTGATAGTCCCGTCAATGAATCCGAGTTTTTTTTTAGCGCTCAAGGCAATTCGCATCGAGCGACTCCATTGACCATAGTCATGGCCTTCGAGAGGTTTTGAAACTAGAACTAGACCGGGTGAGTCGGAATGGTGTAGGATAAGTGGATCAGACATGTTGATTTCAGATCCGGATGATTTTTCATCACCCATGTTGATGGACTGTGTAGGTTGGTTGTTTGTGTGTTTGGTTTTGGTAGCGGAAGACGTGCTGGACAGAGTCACCTATGTTGGTGCTCTGATACCATGAAAGAATGTAGAAAACTGTATATTGTATTGATACCTTGAGATCATAATGTACAAGATTTATACAGAATGAAAGTTCTATTCTAAGTAAGCATGGAATCTATTCTAAGTATGTAAATCACAATAGGTGTAATGACCGCAATCTTAGCTAATTACTAAGATTGAGGTAATCACAATAGTTGACCAATTTCTTCCCTTTAACAGCTGATCTCCGCGTCTGTTTGCAGAGGCTCTCGACCACTGAGCGAAACGACATCAGAGGCAACTCTGAACAACATGATCGAAGCTGCAGTCTCCGGGAACTCTTCTGAGATTAAGAGCTTGGCGCCGCGATACTCGAACATGAAGAGTATAAGAGTGTACTACATCACGCTCTGCAAAATGACAATCTGAACTGGTGGCGGAGAAGTCGCAGTACATGTCTTTGAGCAGAGTGATGCCTATGACGAGGGTGTTGGGGAGGGTGGAGAGGGAGAAGATAATGATCATCCACTCAAGGTTGCCGCCCTTGGAGAAGGCTTGCCAGAGGAAGAGGGCGACCAGGATGACTACTTTTTGGAGGGAGTCGGCGATGAGGAATTTGTAGTTTATGGCGTAAGGATTGTTGGAGGAGATGAAGTGGAATGAGAGCAATGGGATGGCCAAAAGCGCTACGAAGGGTTTATGCTGGAGCATTGATTCTGGTGTGAAGATTTTCCACCACCGAATGGAGCCGTAGGCGAAGATCATAACCGCGTATAAAGGGACAATGGCTGCAAAAACTTCATATACGTCCTTGCCAGTTATCATGGTTATTAGTTTTCTGGCTGTGTTTTCTCAAAAAAAATGAGGAGACGGGTTTTTTTGTTTAAAGTGAGAATTGGGTGGAGGAAGGTTTAATTTGTGGTTATTTTCATGAGGAGGTTAGAGAGAGAATGAGAGGTTTTGTTTATGTTTTTGGGGAAAAATAAACGAAGCAAGAGATTGGATTAATTGTGGTAATTGAGAAACTGTGGGGTTGGTTGATAGACGAACAATGTCGTCACGAGACCAAGAGCAAAATTGTTTTGAGACTGTCGAGCATTTAGAGCATCTCCACCCATAAGGGCTAAGTTTAGGGCAAGGGCAAACAAGGGCAGCCACTATTCATGTGAATAGTGTCAGCCTTGCCATTTGTGGTTCCACCCATGATGGCTAAGTCTAGGGCAAGTCTAAGGCATATACTATTCATTGTACTTTATTCCTATTTTTTTACACTTTAAACCATTAATTTTGATAATGTTTTGTAATTAAATTTTCGGATAAGATTTTTGGTTGTCACGTGTCCATTATTTTTCAAAAAAGATTTTCAGATGAGAATCTTGATTGCCACGTGTCTTATTCCAGATAAAATTTTCAGATATTCATTAAAAAATATTATAATCTCATATTTCAGATAAGATTTTCACCCTCTAAAATTATGTCATGTGTCCCATGTCAGATAAGATTTTCATATATTTAAAAAAAAAATTATAATCTCATATTTCAGATAAGATTTTCACCCTCTAAAATTGTGTCACGTGTCCCATGTCAGATAAGATTTTCATATATTTTTTAAAAATTATAATCTCAAATTTCAGATAAGATTTTCACCCTCTAAATTTGTGTCACGTGTCATCTCTATCTTCTGAAGCCCTCTATAAAACTACACCCTCAACTCATACCTCTCACACCATCTCTTATCTATTCCTTCATTTCTCAGATTTTACAAAACACTTTCTACTCTCAATGTCAAACTTGATGAGGGTGTTGGAGAGGCAACAGAAAGAAAGGAAAGAAATCCGGCGTAAACGTGCTGAAGAAGATAGGGACGCCGATGAAGAAGAGGAACAAATGCTTGCAGCAACGGTGTGTATGCTTAATCAATCAAGGCAACACCGTCGCCGTACCCCGAATGTGGACAGACGTAGGGAGTCTCGGGGGTAAGAATCTCTTGGAGGATTACTTTATCCCAAATTCGTTATATCCTGAACATAAGTTTCGAGAGAGATATAGAATGCAGCCACATTTGTTCCAAAAAATCATGCATGATATTTGTAACTACGACACATACTTCATTCAAAAGCATGATGTTGTTGGAGTTTTGGGTCTTATCCCGGAGCAAAAACTTACAGCTGCTTTGCGGATACTTGCTTATAAGGCATCTGCAGAGCAGGTGGATGAGATTGTAAGGATAAGAAAATCTACTATCCTAGAGTGTTTGGTGAGATTATGTGATGCAGTGGAAAATTTATACACGAGGGAGTACCTTCGCAAACCCAGGCCGAGGGACTTGCAAAGGCTTCTACAAAAAGGCAAGGCGCGAGGTTTCCCAAGAATGATTGGAAGCATCGATTGCATGCACTGGCAGTGGAAGAATTGTCCTGCTGCTTGGTAAGGAGAGTACGGGAATCGGAAGGGCCAAAAAAGTATAATTTTGGAAGCCATAGCTTCATTCGATTATTGGGTTTGGCATGCCTTCTTTGGGGTTGCTGGATCTCAGAATGACCTCAATGTCCTTGGTCAATCCCCGGTGTTCGACGAGGTATTGTGAGGTCATTCCCCTCAGATCACGTACCAAATCAACAATACCGTATACTCTGGTGCGTACTACCTTGCCGACGGAATTTATCCTAGGTGGACAACATTCGTGAAAACAATTCCGAATCCCCAATCCGAGAAGGAAAGAAGCTTTGCTTCATTTCAAGAAGGTTACAGGAAATACGTGGAAAGGTGTTTCGGTATCTTGCAAGCTCATTGGGCAATTATTAGGGGTGCTGCTTGGATGCTAGATGAGGAGGTGATGTGGAGTATTATGATGACTTGCATCATCCTCCACAACATGATTGTGGAGGATGAGTATGACTACGATGCTCCAGAGGTGTTTGAACCCGATCCCATGAACACGACATTGACAAGAATATATGAAAGGCCGATAGGACCAAATGGACTACCAATGGAGCCCGAACTGTTAGTTCGGGATGGTCGATTCAACAACCCCATGATTGATCGTTATCAAGAAATGCAATCTTCATATGTTCACGAGAGACGTCAAGTTGACTTAATCGAGCACTTGTGGGAGATGAAAGGCAATCACACTAGATGAAGTCAAGATTAGTTCTTTGTTTGGAATTATGCTTTGTTTGGAATTATGCTTTGTTTTCAATTATGCTTTATTTTGTGTGTGGTGTTTTTTGGAATTATGCTTTTTATTATTATTAAGCTTTTATGTATGGTTTGTTTTGGGTGTTGTTTGCAATAAATTAAGGTTTGTTTTTAATTAATCTTTGTTTTGATGCTCAAATGTTTTTAATAAATAGTCATATTATTTAATGCTTTTTTTATTAAATAAAAAGGAAACAATACAACAAATTAAAGGATAATACAACAATACAACATATGTTAAAGGTGTTTCAATACAACCTAATGGTTTTCATCATTTAACCAATCCGTATTGCTAGGTCTGTCGTCCGAAAAGTTTTCTTCTCATCACATCCCTTCGTCTTAGCTTCCAATAGACCTTTGTTTCAGGAGACATATGGCTCGTATCCATGGCCATGATTTTCATCTCTCTATCATCCATGTCTTTTTCTTGTGCCTTCTGCTTTTGAATAACAAATGCTTCCTCTCATGCCACGTCTATTTCATCTCTTTTCAAGTCTCTCTCAATTCTTAGTGAGGTGTTCTTAGCTATTTGCTCCAATAATTGTACACATTCATTGTTCGAAGTGCCCCCTCTCTTGGCCTTTGCCGCCTTTCTCCAAATAGGTCTCGACGGACGTGGGAGTGGTGGCTCCGTTTCCATTGGGGAGTCCAATGGCGAATCGGTTGATGTCGAATCGTGGAGCGGCGTCTCATTCAACACAACCGGCGAACCGGTGGGAATAATTTTGAATCTCGAACAATCCTTCACAACTTCCCAACATTGGAAATGCACGAAACTTTTTTTGCCTTGCCCCATGGCACCGAACCACATTTGTGCTTGTATGATCTATTAAAAATAAATAATTGGAAGTGCAAGAAAAAAAAAATTATTATGCAAGAAAATATAAACTATTTTGAAATGCAAGAATAAAATTGATTATGCAAGAAAATATAGACAAATTGGAAATTACAAAGAAAAAAAAAGATTATGCAAGAAAAATAAATAGAATATACAATAAAAAAAAAGTTACATTAAATTGATTAAAATGGCAATTATAAATATTTTATCTCATCGGTAAAATTTTGACCGCTTCGAATGTTCTCCCTTGCTTTTGTCAAGGCATTTCTCCATTTCCCTAACTCTTTATTCAAAAGTTTTCATCTACTAGATAAGGCCATTTCGGTCCGAATGGAACCCGATCTTTGACAAAATTCTCCATGAATTTTGCTCCACATATGATGGAACTTCATCTCACTACCCGTGATAGGGTCATGACTAACGTTCACCCAAGACTGATACAACGCAATATCTTCCTGAGTTGACCACGAGCCTCCAACTTCGACAGAAGATGCCATTTGTTTTTTTTTATACAAATGGAAAGTAGTAGAAAAATGTGAGTGGAGAGTAAAAAATATTGGAAGGAGAAGAGTTTGTATGGAGAATTGGTGTGGAAAGTGAAAAATGTGAGTGGAGAGTAAAAAATATTGGATGGAGAAGAAATTGTATGAAGATTTGGTGTGGAAAGTAAATAAAATGGTTAGGTATTTATAGGGAAAAAAATACAGAATTTTTTGGTATTTTTTAAAAAAAGAATCAGAATTTTTTCGAATTTTTTTGCAATTTTTTTACCGTCAGATTTTTGGAAAAAAAACGATCGGAGAGTCCCTGTCGCAACATGTGGCAAATGCCCATTGGATTCTATCAGGGGTGACGTTAGCGTGCGGAAGTTAAATTTTTTTACCATTGGTGCATGTAATTCACACGCCAACAGTAAAAAAAAATTTGAATTACCATGCGCTGACGTCACAAAACTCGGGCTGAAGCCCAAGCGAGACTTGCCCTAGGGCCTCCCCGGGTTGGTGGGACCCAGCGATTGCCCGGGCTCAATCTTGCACGCTGGAGCTCCTTGGGCTCGTGAAGGCAGCCTTTTGCCCGGTTTTGGGTAGAGCGCTGGAGATGCTCTTCTGAGAGAGAGAGAGAGAGAGAGAGAGAGAGAGAGAGAGAGAGAGAGCGAGAGAGAGAGAGAGAGAGAGAGAAGGCTTGCTAGCTAGCTGGTATATATCTTTCTTTTTCCTTTTTCTTTTTGTTTAATACATAAAAGACATCTATAATTTGTGAAAAATAAAGTAATATTGCAAATTGGACACATTGTCTATAATTACGAGTGAGAGAGTTTATGCTAAATACGAGTGGATGGGTTGGATTATAGAGGCATTGTTCCTGTTGAGTGTTGCAGAAGTTTTCTGTATATAGCCTTGGATGCTCCGTATCAGCTTAAATTAAAGAAAATGAAACTAATAGGTAAAGAATAGAGCAAGAAAAGGAACAACAAGAAGAAGGATTTCCCATAAAAAAAAAAGGAAGAGAAAATCACTGGGAGAATCTGAGTTTCTTAATATGTATCAAGTTTCTGAGACATATATTTGACTCAAGTTGATTACTGATCATAATCTCACTCCTGTTTAAGGGCAATTAGAGTTTAGGTCCTGAACCAAATTGATTTTAGATTGTAACTTCATTTGCGTTTCTAAATCTAATTTACCAACTAACTTTTGATTTAGTAATATTTATCTTCATTTTGTTGAAGTAAATTTCAGGTTTTGATGCGATGACATATATACTTTTGTAACGAGTTAAATACCTAAGGACTCCTACTAATGAAAATTGATGCCATCCTATGAACCCAACCCTTCCGTAATGGTGGAGCTTAGGTGCTTTAGGAATGTTGTTATAATTTAGGAAGATGGGATTATTTTCTCTCATCGCATTTTAGGTTTTGTAATTAGTTTTAGAGGTTCATTGATTTTGGTTTTTGCTTAATGGTGGAGTTTTATAGGTAGTTTTTAATGGTGGAATTAATATAGTCAAAGTAGGTTTCCCCATTAGCATCATTCTCTCATGCAGGGAAAAACAAACTATGAGTGATCAATTGTTTTCATAGCAGTTTCGCTCGTTCAAAATCATTGGATTAATTTGGTGGTCAATAATGTGAGCATTCAACTGAAAATTAATTAATAATGCATTGAATGATCGATCGGTTTGAGTTTTGGTATTAGTAGGGTTGTTTAAAAAGCAAAAGTTCTGTTGTTTGTCTAAAATGCACAAGTGTTTAGATTGTGCAAAGAAAAGAAAGGGGCATGGCGGAACTACCACAAAGGCTACAGTGGGCCAGTGAGCTCTTTGGGTTAAAAAAATATTAAACCTATATATTTGTCTTCTTTCAAATATAGCCCAGTATGTATTAACCTATTAATATCTAAAAAAATTCAATTCTTTATGAATTTAGTTGCATGACAACAATAAAAATACACATTAAAATAGCTAACCCACCCATTAACAACATTTTAAGAAGTCGGTTGGGTTGGTAAGTTGTATAAGGGGTCGGGTTTGACCCGGTTGGCAAAGCGAATGTGTACGTCGTAAGTCAATTCACGTTACAACACAAATGCAAAGCAAGAAGCATGCCACGTGGCAAGAGCATGATTTTTTGTATTTTCTTCCATACTAAGCAAAGCAAGCAAATCATCTTTGTAATAAGTCAAGTCATGGTAGAGACTAGAGAGCACGTGGAAGAATGCAATGCAAGGAAGGAAGCCTTGTTTTGTTGTGTTATTTAATTTATTCATTATAAAATATGTTTTTCCCTTCTTCTCTTCTTTTTACACTTGGTCAAGATTCACAAATTTGTCTTTTCTTTTAAGTTGTTGAATTGTCTTTCTTTTCCTCATGTTCAGTCAATATGCACGCAATAAGCAAAAATTACATTTTTTTTGTGTCTATATTATTACAACGATTTTGACCCAAAAAAAAGTATTATTACAACGATATGAATCATCTATTTTTTCAATAATTTTATAGAGTGTGATTATATGTATAAATATAGGGGCTTAATAAATTTTCTTTTACAACGATCAAGGATTGAAATATCGGCCGATACACCGATATATCGGCCGATATATCGATATTTTGAACTGTCGACACCGATATTGGGGGGTAAGGCCATATCTTCCCCGATATCGACGATATATCCCCGATAAGTGCGATATCCCCGATATTTTGCCGATATTTCCCGATATTTCCTGATATTTCCCGATACCCATAACAAAACCCAAAAAAATTCAAAAATTTTGAAGCAAATTGAAACTGAAAAGATTTTTTGGAGGTATATGTGCATTGATTAGATATATGTGTGAAGGCTTTTGGCAATATTCAATTCAAAAGATGTTTTGGAGTATGCATGTTTTAGAGTATGCATAAAAAGAATCTAGACCTAGTACTAACTCAAATGAATCTTATGATGGCTATGGTTATGTCATGTCTGATTATAGTAGAACTAGATATGTAGCTCAAGATGATGAAATATATTATGGACTTACTAGTTGGGTTAATCCTAACTATCCCATATATGGGAGGACAGTAGGGAGCTCAAGAGAGACATATGTGCACCATGTTCAAACATAGCTTACAAACTACTCGGGTCACATGACTTGGTATGATTATTGTATGAATCTAGATGGTTGTTCCACATTGTTTGAACCTCATAGGAGCTCTTCATTTATGTAATTGGACACTCATCTAAATTGTAATCCAATGTTCAAATAAACTATGGATTTATGCATGGTTTATTCATTCTAATCAACTTTTTATTTTCAAACTTTTCATTAACGCGCATTACATACCACTTATATTTCATCATATATATATATATATATATCTTATTATTAGTAAATTTTGAGTTTTATTTGTTCAATACATTCATTGACAATGTACATAACATCTATGAAAGTTTTACATCAAAATTATGTGTTTCAATGCCTATATCTGTCATTTTTGTTGATTTTTTCCCGATACCCAAAACGATAACGATATATCCCTCGAAATATCCGTAAATTGGAGGCCCGATATTATCTGCACGGCCGATATTTTAATCCTTGACAACGATCTAAATCATCTATTTTTCAAGTTTTCATTTACAAATCATTTTTACAAAAAAATTAGACAAGTTGGGAACTACTAAGACGTCTAGTTGTGACTAACAAAATTAACGAACACAGTGCATCAAGAAAATATTAAAATAACAACCATTTGATTGAGTTGTCAAATGGATTCGGATTCAAGTAAAGTATACGGAGAAAATCTTTGAATGAATACCGGAAAAATATACGGTTCATGTCATTAAAATATAATGTGGGTGGGCCCTACAATGATGTCCCTTAAAAAAACTTATTTGATAGATTTCTTAACTGAAGCTCTCTGTATGTAAACTAGAAATTTTTAACAATAATAAGAGCAAAAGATGTATCGTACAAGGAAAACAGATTGATGTGGAATGTAATGGTAAATTCATATTGTATAATAAAGAAGAGTAATAGTTCATAAAGGGATAGCAACAAGAAACTCTTAGTGACCATTTTTGTCATGCCCCGTACCCAAGGGTCGTGGAAACCCCACACCTAGTATGTAAGAAAATAAAATAAAAGGAAGTCGAAATATGATTTAAAATTAACTTATGTTATAAAAATGCTTTATCACCCTCAGTTGGTTTAGTCATTGTCTTACACACTAATTCATCTGAAAAATTAAACAGGGTGAGGGATGAGCAACCACCGCTTAGTAAGGACATGAGACCTTACCACAGTAAATTGATATAACTAAATTAAGTGATGTGCAATCACATAACATATAAAATATAATAATGCATGAATGAGCTTCAATTCTACCCAACTCGTTAATCTATATAATAGGGCAAACAAATCTGCATGTCTCATACCATGCACTTTTTCATTGTGATTATGAATGCCCCAGTATATAAACTAACACCCATCTTAATCATCCCATAATTCCCCTTTTGTTAGTCATCTTATCTAAGCCATTGATCTCCAAGCCCAAATCACCAAATCGACAATTATACCATCGATATCCTATTCTATTTTGCACACAGGCTCGCCTAAACTTAGTACCTACAATGGTCAGACTCAATTACACAAAAGATCTTTCTCATTACCCTTTTTTCCATACTTTCTTTATCAACCCAAGAACTCCAGCCCTATCCGATAACATATGAACATGTCAATATTAATAAAATAATATAATGATAATTAACAACACGTAAACACCCAATAACAAAGAATACCAACCAAACTATAATATCATGCATAATTTAATGCTCACGAAATTTAATTAAATTAATCTTCATAAAGTCCCCCAAGAAATCCCCTACCTCGATTCCAAAGTATAGCTCCTAAAACACAAGCAAAGCTCTGTATCTCCTCCAATATCATCTTTCCTTGCATCTCTTTATTACCTTGCATTTGCCGCATGCAATCTCTCAAAGCAGTTGTATTGAATTAACAGTGAAGTAGCTCCTATTTATAGTACAAATAAGAGTCAGCTAAAGATGACATCAAGGAAATGTCGGCAAGTGGTGTCAATTGGCATGTAAATATGAATGTAATGCTGCCAGATATAAGAAATTATAGCAGAAGGTGACAACTCACAAGGTGATAGTGCTCTTAGGTTGACTATAATAAAGTAGACGTGTCTATCATTAATATGAACAAAGTCGATCACTACAATCCTTTAAACTTAGCCACCAAGTATTAACATACAGGAGGTGCAACGAGATATTTATTTAAAGCATATACTTATTCATGATAATATCTATGAAAGTATAACATGTAACAAGACAACCATATATAATCAGTTTAAATATGTATAAATTATAAACTAAATAGATAGCAAAACATTTAATTTCCAACACATAAATTTTTAAAATACAGGTTTTCACAATTTCATAACCATTCCATTTTTCAGTTCTGAGTTCTCAGTTTTCATTGTTAAAGGTGGTGAGTCCCATATCATAATTTCAATTTTGACTTACTTTAGTTAAATTGAAATTATGAAGTAGCATTAACTTAGAAATGATTTTTTTTTCCTTGACGTCAAATTGTGAATTTAAAGTCATAAATGAAAATGCATGTTATAAAAAGTGTGTATTCTTTTTTAGTGCATTTTTCAAAATAGAATGATTTTTCGTAAATTTTGGGTCTAGAGGATGTTCAAATTGGGTCAACAGCCGAACGTGAGCAGCCAAGTCCAGTATTGCTCAATTTCCTTAGTTGTGATTTAGACTATGAGGGAAAATGTTCACATTACAACTATGGAATAAAATCTAAAGATGAAGAGCTGAGACGCGCAAAATCATAATTTGATTGTTTTTTTCTTCTAGTTTGACCAAGTGAAAGAAATACAATATATGCATTTATGGCGAATTGAATATCTAATGTTGGTTTTTTCTTTCTTTTTTTTAAACTTTATTGTTAAAAATTGGGATTCTGTTTGGTGCCCATTTAGCATTGCTTATAAGGGAAAGCAGCTAATAAGGTGCTTTCATTTTCTGATCATGCGGGAATCATTTTTGAAGAGGTGATGGATTTAATGATTATGCGGGAATCAGTTCCAACAAGACTTTTAACAAAAAGTTTACCGAACGCCAAACTAACAAAAAGTTTACAGAATGCCAAAATAACAAAAAATTTACCAAACGCCAAACTGCTTTCTCTCACAGCAAATTTGATAGCGATTATTTTCACAACATAGCAATGGCAAACTTGCCCTTCATGTTGTTTAAGGGGCTGTCAGATTATACATTATCTTTTCATTAACAGAAAGTTTTTTTTTTTTTTTTTTTTTTTTCTTCTTCTCTCTTTGCAAAGAAAAAAATAATATAAAAATATTTAATTTTAAGAAGAGTTATTTACACTAACACTCTCTCAGCATTTTGGTGTTTTCACAAAACTACATGAACACCCTCTGAGGTTTCAGTTTGTTTTCACAAAACCTCTTTTTGTTGATTGTCCGTCCAAAAACTGATAATTTCATTGAGAAAAACTTATGCAAATACAAAATTAACCTCAATTAATATACATGCAATCTAATCTCAAAGACCAATTTTGTCTTTTGAACAAATATTTTTTTTTGTGTGTATAAATTCATCAATAGAAAATGGGTTTTGTGAAACCAAACTGAAACTAGAGGGGGTGTTCATGTAATTTCAAAAATCTTAGAGATTTTGTGAAAAAGCCAAAAATCTCAAAAGGGGTGTTAGTATAAATAATTCTTTTAGGAATAATAATTTCTTTTGGCACTCACTAGGTATAATAATTTTTCTTCATCATATATTTCACAAATGATGGATTAGATTAGAACAAGAGAAAGCCTCGAGCATTGTGATTATTAATTTTTTTTGGTCAATGGCCATTGTGATTATTTAATAATTAAGATTTGATTAAGAAACCCACGGCCCCCTTCTTACTCGACCATGCATATATTCTTTTGACGCCAAATTTCTACCTGTCTCTCAAATGGTTGAAATTCTTAAGCACGCGTCCGAAAAGAAAATCTCCACTTCATAGGCGCATTCATTAGAATAATTAATTATTTCTTTGGTCAACCACTAACAGTGCTACGCGGCCGTTGGATGAGCGAAGACTCATCGGACGGTTTAACAAAAGTCCCCCAAGTCCCAACCCAAAATAAAGCAAAGAATTTCACTCGCTAAAAAAAAAAGATGTCAAACCCGGCAAACGAAAAACGAACCGGAGACGAAACGTTAGTCACCTAGCGGGCCCCACCCGGCACCTAGGTTCCTGCTCTATCACGTTTACTTCGTCGTGGTTGTCAAAGATTTTCAAATTCGTGGGCCCCTCTCCACCAGCCACCACCAGCGCATTTCTAATTCATACATGAAACGTAGCGTTTAGTTTGGAATTTGGGTTTATGTATTGCGTGGAAGGATGACGAAAGTTCTGAAATTGGTCAAATACTCGTGATGGGTGAAAAGAATAACAATAAGCGTTTTTCATGTTCGCATTTGCTCATCAAATTGTAGAGAGCAGACCAACTAGCCTTTGACTCTAAGTTTTGCAACAGAAAAATAAAGTCAATTCACATTAAAGTCTCTTCAATTATCAACACCAAACCAAGAAAGGAAATAGTTTATTCATTGACAAGTTTACAAGTTTAACAGTGCTTTTAGAATGATTAAAAATACGTTAAAATAACCAACGGGATCTAATCCAATGAAAAATAGCATTGATTTGTAAATTAGTGATTTCAAATTCGAACCCCTATAACAATCTTGATAATATTAGTGTGTGTGTGTGAGAGAATGACGCAAGTTGTACGCATAATCGCCTAAGCTTACATAGATGATTTTCAATCATTAATCTATAGGTTCTATGATAGATCCTACACACATCAACATTTTATAGCCAATTATAAAAATGTACAACTAGGTAAAGGCTAAATACATAAGATGGTGGAGTTACTTTTCTTTGCTTTGTTTATTTGCAACTTGCAAACACATGCATGATGGTTATTGTTTTGTTCTTAATGATTATTGTTTATTGGGTTGAAGACTGCTGGATTCAAATGTGCTTTGGTTAAATATTTAAACATCTACTTGATTTGAGTAGATGAACAAGTCAACATAAGCAACTGAGAACGCCTTTGGCCTTTGCCCACCTACAAAAATATACTGCCAGAATAATCTTTTATTCACTGTGAGCAAGAATCTTCACTGATTACTTTTGCACAAAAACCAATTTGGCTTGGACTTTTTCAACCCTAATATTCCACAAACAAAACCACCCATTTGACATTACGAATAAATCCTTTAACCCCATAATAAGTCACATTTATTTTAAGCAATATTCTACTTTAAATTAATCTAAATTACCAATAATAAAAAAATGAATTCGAATTCGAATGCGGAATTAAGAGCACATCCGCTCTATCAAACTTGACTTAAGCAAATAATAAATCACATATTTAACTCTAAATGATTCTGAAACAATCTGCAATTAAAATAAGAGATATGGTAATCTTCAAGAAATTGAGGATTTGACCATTTGATATTCCCAAAAATTGAAAAAGCCAGTCAGTGCGTTTACAAGCAGAACCCCCTTTGCCCGACTGTGGAGCCCATCACCAGCTCCTTTAGACCTCAATAGCTCCTATTTTATCTTCATGTCATCATGTGCCATGCAAAATTAAATTTAGAAGAAAAAAAATCCAAACCAATCTCCACCGTTAGATCAAACCTTTGACTTTCACACCTACTTTCCATTTCTTTTATAACCCCCCACTTCCCCTTCTCTGTCTCCCCCAATTCCAAACCCATCCTCCTCTCTTTAAGTCTCCCTTGAGTCTCTCTCTCTTCAAAGCCAAGCCAGCATCAATGGCTATTGATGTCGTCGGGTTCTCAAGGATGGACGATCGGACGGCCATGGAGGAAGCAGCCTCCGCCGGCTTGCAGAGCATGGACCACCTGATCCGCGTCCTATCGAATCAAAACCCATCCCAAACCCAAACCCAAACCCCCCTCGACTGCCGAGAAATCACCGACTTAACCGTCTCCAACTTTAAGCAGCTCATCTCCGTCTTGAACCGGACCGGTCACGCTCGGTTCCGCCGCGGACCGGCCAATCAATCCTCCACCCCGGTCCAACCGGTCCAACCCAAGCCTCAGATAACTTCGAGTGCTTTTTCTGTCCCTAAGTCCAACAACGACGACTCTCTCACTCTATCCCCGCCAATCTCCACAACGTCGTCGTTTTTGTCCTCCATTACAATCGGAGACGGCAGCGTTTCGAACGGTAAAGCCATCTCGTCAATTCTCGCGCCACCGGCGCCTTCTTTCTCAGCCGGGAAACCTCCTCTCTCCCAATCTCACCGGAAACGGTGCCACGATAACGACGTCGCAGCTAAAACGTCGTCGTCCGGCCGCTGCCATTGCTCTAAAAGAAGGTACTGATTTTGTGCATTTTCAGCTAAAGATTTTTCTTCTTCTTTGAATTTTTTTAATATTAAATTAAATTAAATTTATTTCAATTATTTGCAGGAAGTCTAAGGTTAGGAGGACGATTAGAGTGCCGGCGATTAGTTCAAAAATCGCCGATATACCTTCGGATGAATTCTCCTGGAGAAAGTATGGTCAAAAGCCGATCAAGGGCTCGCCTTACCCGAGGTATTATTCTACTCTTTTAATCTGAGCCGCACATCGGGTTGAAGTTTTCAAAGTCAAAGTCAAACACAGATCTCAATGTTCTTTTTTCCTTTTATTAATTATATTTTATTTGCTTTTTTGTTTGCAGAGGGTATTATAAGTGTAGCAGTGTGAGGGGGTGTCCAGCGAGGAAACACGTGGAGAGAGCACAAGACGACCCCACTATGCTCGTCGTTACTTACGAAGGCGAGCACCGTCACCCTCACCCTTCCATCACAGCCGGTTCTGTGGGCCTTGTTTTCCAGTGAACCTGAATTCCGGTCCACATGTTGCGTCCATCATGACCGTAGAAAGCGCCCCGTGTCAAAGTGGCTGTGGCACTGCAAGGGATGTTACTTCGCCGGAGCGGAAAGTCAAAAGGGGAAAAATATCCAATGTCAAAATCAAATATACGGTGTAATGGGAATGGGAGGGGTTCGATGTAAATTATGAAAGAAAGAAGGGTGAAAGTGAAAGTGAAAGAAGGAAATGGAATATAATTTTGTTGGTACTTTTGAATATTAGATATATTGAATTTATTTATTCAATTTAATCAAATCTTTTGATACGAAATTTAATGTTGGTGGATGGAGAATTAGATTCTTCTGGTTCAAATCTTGGTTGCACGCGCAAAAAGTCAAAAAGAGTGGGGGGTGAGGTGCGAGTTAGAATAATAGTCTTCTGTTTTTGTTTAATTTTGATGTCGTTTTATGTGCAGAAAGTCAATGGAGTTATTCGTGGGTGGGCCCACGCCAGCTAACGCATGTTTGGGTGTGTTCGTTGACTGTGAGATGTGGGTTTTGCTGTTTGTGTGTTGTGGTATCCAAAAGTCAATGGGTTGTATGATATTATGAAATGATGGGGTTTTGAGCAGTGAGCAAAGTTCGGTTTATGACTTATGACTTAGGACCAACGTTAAGGTAGGTAATGTGATGTTTGCGAATGCGTGGCAGGTCGATACGGTTTGTTGTTTCAATTATAAATGAAGTTGATTATGCATACATGGCTTTACCAAGTTAGCTAAAGGAGATGTGTTCCTTATTCTACATTCGAATTCGAATCCTCCTATTCATAATTTAGATTAAATTAAAGGAGAGATCTCGAGTCTATATTTAGCATTGGTGCACTTATACGCATTTAAAATCATCTTAATCATTTAATTAATCTTATGGTTAAAATTCTACCACGTCAGCATAATTATATTAAAACCTTACAATCATCTTAATCATTTAATTAATCTTATGGTTAAAATTCTACCACGTCAGCATAATTATATTAAAACCTTACGCACTGGATCAATTGCCTGCATATGTATCCTCCATTGTCTTCATCACCTGGAAAACTCTAATTTCCGCTGCCTTTGCTTCCGCCGCCCCACTCATCACCCACCTGCCCTCGTCATCTTCCATTATCTCCAAACCCCACCCCACAAGACCTGAACAAAGCAAAAATAACCAAACTATATGAACAATTAAATTCTTGAGTGGATTAAATGACATTAGTTTGTGGGATAGACAAATACATACTTTGAGTTGAATAGCGATTTACCAAGTATCTCCGAAGCCTTTTACCTTTGGTAATCTACACATAAATTGAAAGACCCATTCAAATCAATAGAAATTTAAAAATAAAAAATAAATAAAATAACTTGATAATATAATTAGAATTTGAGAAGAAAAAAAGCTCACAAGCAACTGGTTGGTCTGGTCGTGTTTCTGACCTAAGAAAAGAAAAAAAAGGCTTAGGTTTATTGATTTACTCAAGAAGGCAATATATAATTATAATAATAATTCTAATCCTTTTGAGAATGGGTAGTGTATGATTTTAGGATATTTGGATGATCAATAGGGCCCACGCTGAAATACTACTGGACTTTGCCACTTCATATGGTCAAGGACTTGGGCTTTCTTGTGGATTTCTTGTTTGGCCCATATGTCAACTCTTGCATACTAAATTTTTTTTAAAATAAAATTTCAGTGGAGGCCAGTGACTGAACTGGTCCCCATGTGCCTCCGCCTCCGGTGGCACACCTACGCAAACAACATGAAAACAATCCCACAGCCAACCCCGAGCCGCTGTGGATGAATTTTCCGAGGTAGAACAAACAACTAGCATGTCCTTTAGTTGGATAACATCTATTTTTTAGGAGTACAAGAAAAATAGGTACTTTAGAATATATCTTTTTGCTGGATAAAAAATACTTGAACTCACTGAGGAAAAGATGAAAGAGTAGGAAATATAAGTCAAGCAGGTAACGTACGTAATTACAAACTTCACATTTAGAAATCCATAGAACTACAAAAACCCTCTTAACCAAAACTTACATTGAAAATGCAGAACCATAACAAAGTAAAAGTAAAAGAGACACATCATTTTGGAAGATGAGGCCGGTAGTACATGAAAAATGTTAGTGTATCATTATATTGGGATATAATTGATGGATAATTAACATCTGAAGATGGACTGGAGCAACTACTATTGACTTTTGATGAAGTTATTTTCCGGAGTTCATCTTGGTTATAACTCAAAGAACATAACAAATTAACATAATCTTGTATTGTCGCATCATAAATCAAGAGTGGTGATTTCCCCACTCCATTTTATAACTAAAAAAGGAGTGTAAATGGATAAAATTAGAGTGGGGAAATCGTTACCCTAAATCAAACCAGAATCAAATGCTTTATTTGGATTGATGTGACCAGCTCCCATGTCAAAAGGTGACGCATTTACATGATCATCCCCATGCCTATATGCTCGGATTGGATTACGAGTGCTATCCAATGTGTCTACAGTGGTCATAATAGCCGATTTAATACCAGTAACGCTCCAATGTGTCTGCAGTGGTCATAATAGATTAGAAACTTACAAATATATACATGAGATGAGAACAATGATTTACTTATATGAGAAAATAAGGATGAGTATCTAGAAGAAAGAAAAAATTGAAAATATAAAGCAAACGTTTTGGTAGGGCGAAAAGGCTAGACCAATTTACGTCTCTCTCATCACAAGGAGGGTCAAATCACTTGAGTTTATGAATGAAGTATTGATTCTCACAACAACAACAAAAGGGTCAAATTTGTAGTTAGACAACCTTTAGCTTCTATGAAATAAATAATGCCAAACCGTTTGATAAATTTGATAACTTGCTTTATTTTATTATTTTAACCTTCAATATATATTTTGTATAACTTTTAATATAATTGTCAAATGTTTTCACCAACAATGATGAAGTTGTGGTTTTATATATTTGTGTAGATGCAATAGAGTAATTTTTTAATTTATACATATTGACTCTATATCTTATTTGTTGGAATTAAAATAAATTTAAGTTTAAAAACCTATCGACCTTAGACCATCTCCAATGCATATGGGGCTAAACTCAAATTTTTCTCCTAAAAAATACAAATATTCATGTATTACTTGGACAAAAATAATTTTTTCGCCAACTCTGAAGACTCGAAATTTGAATTCGTAACTTTATTGGATTTTTTTATAATAAAAAAAAATACAAGCAATAGTCTAAACTAGGGCTGGGCATTTGTGAACTGTGAACCGGCCAAACTAGACCGATCAATCCGGTTAATTTTTTTTTATCTCTTTAATATAAATTTCAATGGTGAATCGGATCAAATCTGCCTAACTGGTCCAATTCACGATTCCAGAATCTAATGACTGCCAATTCACCTAAACCAAATAAGTCGCATAAAATACCTGAAAATTTAAGGGTTGGAGGGCCAGAGGAATCTAAACTTTGACCTCCACCACCCTTCAAAACTTCCCATCACAACACGAGACCAACTTGAGTTCTTGTGTAATAATTACAAAACTAGTATATTAAAGGCTTCTTAAAACAACAAACAAAACAAAAAAAAAAAAAAAAAAAAAAAACTTAAAGAATTTTTGAATTATATTTTATATATTATATATAAAAAAGTAATGCTACACTTACCACATTTATATCACACATTTTCATATCACTTTATGTTGCAAATGAAGTGGACAATCACATCAATTAAAAAGTGTCAATAAATCATAAAAGATAAGAAAACGTTAAATTAATTTTAATTGATGTGTTGTCTACCTCATCTGCCACATAAAGTGGTATGAGAATGTGGTATACAAATGTAGTAAGAGTAGCATTATTCATGTTAAAATAGTTAGGGTTAAAACTTATAATCCTAACCTAACCTACTCATCTTCATCATTCATCAATGGTCACTCTCTCACTCACTCTCTCCACAGCCTTTGTAACTCTATATGTCATTCTCCCTCCGTCTCTTCTTAGCGTTTCTCCTTCTCCTCTCCTCTCCTCTCTCTCTCTCTCTCTCTCTCTCTCTCTCTCTCTCTCTCTCTCTCTCTCTCTCCCTCCCCTAATCTTTTCTTCTCCACTCTCCTCCTCCCTCCGTCGCCGTTGTTGCCTTATGGCCAGATATGTGAATACCCGTATTTTAAACGGATAAAATAATATATTTATCTTTTGGATAAACTTGGACGATATTATCTTTTTAAGATATTTATCTTTTGGATAAACTTAGATGATCTTATCTTGTTAAGATACTTATCTTTTGGATAAACTTGGATGTTCTTATCCTTTTAATATTGAAGTTTATCCTATCCCTATAAACACTATAAATAAGAGCATAACCTTATAGTTCAAAACATGAGAAATTAGAAAGAAGGAGAGAGAGCGGTAATGAAACTCTTGGAGCTTGGTTTGGGTGATAGTACATGAAGATAGGTAGATGGGTTGTCTTGCTAATTCATTTTAAGGGCTCTCATTATCGAGGTGAGTGGTTTATGTAACGTGTTCTTGAAGTTCTTATTTTGTGATAAAATATGAAAACCATGAATTATCGTGGATTTGTTGTATTTACGAAGATATCTCTATTTCAAGTCAAGCATATCTAATTTTGGAGCAATCTTTCACACTATATATTGATTGGAATATTTGTGAAGTATGTATTATTCATGGAACATGAGAACTTCAATTGAAAATATTGGAGAATGAGTATCTAGAAGAAAGAAAAAAATTGAAAATATAAAGCAAACGTTATGGTAGGGCGAAAAGTCTAGACCAATTTACGTCTCTCTCATCACAAGGAGGGTTAAATCTCTTGAGTTTATGAATGAAGTATTGATTCTCACAACAACAACAAAAGGGTCAAATTTGTAGTTAGACAACCTTTAGCTTCTATGAAATAAATAATGCCAAACCGTTTGATAAATTTGAGAAGTTAATTTGCTTTATTTTATTATTTTAACCTTCAATATATATTTTGTATAACTTTTAATATAATTGTCAAATGTTTTCACCAACAATGATGAAGTTGTGGTTTTATATATTTCTGTAGATGCAATAGAGTAATTTTTTAATTTATACATATTGACTCTATATCTTATTTGTTGGAATTAAAATAAATTTAAGTTTAAAAACCTATCGACCTTAGACCATCTCCAATGTATATGGGGCTAAACTCAAATTTTTCTCCTAAAAAATAAAAATATTCATGTATTACTTGGACAAAAATAATTTTTTCGCCAACTCTGAACACTCAAAATTTGAATTCATAACTTTGTTGGATTTTTTTATAATAAAAAAAATTTACAAGCAATAGTCTAAATTAGGGCTGGGCATTTGTGAACAATGAACCGACCAAACCAGATCGATCAATCCGGTTAATTTTTTTATCTCTTTAATATAAATTTCAGTGGTGAACCGAATCAAATCTGCCTAACTGGTCCAGTTCACGATTCCAGAATCTAATGACTGCCAATTCACCTAAACCAAATAAGTCGCATAAAATACCTGAAAATTTAAAGGTTGGAGAGCCAAGAGGAATCTAAACTCTGACCTCCACCACCCTTCAAAACTTCCCATCACAACACGAGACCAACTTGAGTTCTTGTGTAATAATTACAAAACTAGTATATTAAAGGCTTCTTAAAACAATCACACACACACACACACAAAGGCTTCTTAAAGAATTTTTTTATAAATATATTAAAAGAGTAATGCTACACTTGCCACATTTTCGTATCACCTTATGTTGCAGATGAAGTGGACAATCACATCAATTAAAAAGTGTCAATAAATCATAAAAGATAAGAAAACGTTTAAATTTTCTTATCCCTCACCCCGTTTAAATTTTCAGATAAATTAGTAGGCAAGACAAGGACTAAATCAGTTGAGGCTGAATTAGATAAGAGTGATAGCGCTTTATTTATTTATCGTAAAATTATAAGATTTTGGATATATTTTTATAAGAGAAGTTTATTTTAAATTCATGTTTCGGCTTCTTTTTATTTTATTTTACTTTCTCACGCACCGGGCGCGGGGTTTCCACCGACCCCCAGGTTCGGGGCGTGACAAGATCTAGCCAAAGCTAGTTCATTCCAAGCCCCCTCTCTCTCTCTCTCTCTCTCTCTCTCTCTCTCTCTCTCTCTCTCTCTCTCTCCACTAGTTTCCCCATCAACGCCGCCACCAATTTTCTCGGTGAAACCGAACCAACCTACACCGATTTCTCAGTGATTTGAAGGCGTTGGTTTAATGCTTGTTGGCTCGGCTTCGGTTTTGATTTGTGTGAGACGTATTGTCTTAGTTTACTCCTAGGGTGAACAGTTCAAGATTACATATTCACTACATCATCTTGTAAACCCAATAAGTCTTCACCAGGGTAGGTTCAAGTCCAAAAGACACCTCTCCCGATGCAATTCTCATATGATTTTCTCTCTCAGGTCTTTACACTTATTTTCTATTCAAATGTGGGGTATTATTGGAGTTTGAATAGAAAACTAGTGCTTGTCTTAGTCACCCGTTGGTTGAGCACAAGAACTTAACACACTTTATAAGCTTTAGTCCATTTCTATTATTAAAATGGATTGGACTTGGGTTGGCTGCAATTAGGCTTATAGCTTGGGCCTTGAGCATTGACTTTTGGCCCAAATTGAATAAAAGCATTTTTCTGTAGTTTTGGTCTCAAGACAAAATAGGCAGAACCTCGAGCCCTCACATTTCTGCAGATTTTGTCTCATGACGAAACGGGCAGACATTTGAGCCCTTATATTTTTGCATATTTGGTCACACGACAAAATTGGCAGAAATTTGAGTCACATTTCTACAGGGCTTTTGGACTTTGATGATTACATTCAAAAATCAGATTAAACATATCTTTTTACAGCAGTTGCAACTGCTCATGAAAGGTTATCTAGAGGTCATAGCCAACCATATTACAGAAGTAGGACTGAATCATCGCGCACGAAATCACTCACTAATTGAGAGAGAAAGAACAAATATAGTTCGCCATAGTTCAAAATTCAAGGGCCCGAATTTCAAATTGTTGATAGTTGTATTTTGGGGATAGACACCTGCAGAACTACAAGGCACGAGTGTAGGGCCGAAATTCTGTCTGTGCATTTACAAGCCTCTATCAGTTTGTGGATATTGCATTTGCAAGCCTCTATCAGTTTTTGGATATTGCATTTGCAAGCCTCTATCAGTCATTCCCTTGCCCCATGTACCCGTTTGATTTTACAACTTTAAAGAAATATGTTATATTTGTAGTTTGTTATGAATTTTGATGTGTAATCACTAGAGGCGAGACTTGTTGAGAGTAATCTTCTTGGAAAACCTCAATGAGGTAGGGTTTAGGCCTAGTTTGGGACTGCTGTCACTTTTAAAAGAAGTTGCTTCTGTTGTGCTTTGAAAATAATTAGCTGTAAAGTAAAGCAGCTCCATGTTTGGTAAACAATATTTTTAAAGTGCTGTTAGTACAAAAAGCAGTGTCAAAACCGTTTGGTAAATTTTAATATAAAATTGTTGTAACTATGAATAATGACTAAAATAGACATGATGTTAAAAGTGTTATGTACTAATCATGTGGTGGTAGTGGTAGTGATGGAGTGGAGGTAGTGGTGGTGATGAAGGTGGAGTTGGTGGTTGTGGTAGTGGTGGTGGTGGTGGTAGTGGCAGCATGGTGGTGGTTGTGGTGTTGGTTGTGGAGGTGGTAGTGGATGTGGAGGTTTTGGAGGAGGAGGTGGTTGTGGTGGTAGTGGTGGTGGTGGTGGTGGTGGAGGTGGAGGAGGTGGTGGAGGTGGTGGTTGTGGTGGTGGTGGCGGAGGATGAGGAGGAGAAGGATGTGGTGGTGGTGGTGGTGAAGGTAGTGAATGTGGTGGTGCAAGTGGTGGAGTTGGATGTGGAAGTGGAGGTGGTGTCATTTTTTAAAATGAATGATGGTATTTTGGGAATGAAAAAAATTCATTAAAAGTTCATCTCTGCTTTTTTTGAAAGCAACTTTGAAAAGCAACCCAGAGTCTACTTTTAAAAGCTGCTGTCAAAAGGCCACTACTTTTAAAATAATCGGGATATTTTATTTTTACCAAACACCTTAAACTGCTTAACTTTAAAGTGAAGCAGGTTTTTGGCCAAAAAAAGCAATCCCAAACGGGGCCTTAGATGGGTCAAAAGCATCTATAAGCCTATGATTTTCTTTGGTGGAAAAAATATAAGCCTATGATAGTTGTGCATTGTTTGCCAACTCTTTGGAATGGCTAAAAGCAGTGCAGTGGTGCCTCTAAAATATACGTCCAACACAAAGGCCCAAACAAAGGCCCGGTGCTGTGGTTCAATTTCTTCAAATTTGTTGGCCAGTGACTTCAAGATTCCATTTCAATTCTGCTTTCAATTCGTTGAAGCAACGTTGTTGGTGGTATGAAATATATAGTTGATCTGCAGCAATCGCAGAAAGCAGCATACACATGTGATGCTGGGTTTGGCTTTGCCCTATATAAAATCCAATAAATAGTAGCTTTAATGAGATGGATCATGTGATTTCACCAGCTTTTGCCCTGTCACTGCAGTCTCTCTCTGCACTGCACCTATCTATATTATTTGTTTTGGATCTTAAGCAAGCAAACTGTACCTCATGATCATGACACAAGATAATCAATCTAGCCAGCTACTAAATTTTTCATTCAAATCTACCCAGTTTTTATTATTTATTTATTTATAATAAAAAAAAACCAATTATGAATTACTACCGTGGCTGTTTTTTTAATCACATTAATGGCTTACTAATACGCTTTTTCTACATTATATATCAAACAATACGAAACTGGGTGTGGCAGGCAGGCAGGCAGCTTCTATAAAAGAAAAGGCATAATTCGTATAAAATGTAATAATTTACACGGAAAAAAAGTGTAAAACAAGAAGAGCCACTTATGACGTATAGCAGGGACAACAAACAACATGAAAGGGTGAAAAAGAAAACTTGGCCAACATGGTTTAGACAGAAGAAGAACAAAAAAAAAAAAAAAAAAAGAAACAGTGGCATGGATAGGCATGAGTGATGAGTGGAAAAAGGGAGGCACACACACACCCAAGATTATTATTGGTCTCTCTTAATTTCCTCACTTTTTTCCTTCTCTCTTCTGTTTATTTTTTGGTGGGTAATAAGAGTTCTAATCTTTTTCAGTATTTTTATTATACGAGCGATATTGACAAAGAGAAAATTCGAACACAGAACCTCAGATATCTACACTTTAACTACTTGAGCTTTAAGCTGCTTGCTAATTTCCTCGCTTAAAAGGCTGCGTTGTTGCCACTTTAAACATCTCTCTCCTACACTCACTGCCCATTTCTTAATTAATTAATATTTGTTTGTCTTGTTTCCCACCCTTCCAACACCTTTCGGTTCCTGCCCTATCTCTTCATCATTCCCATCTGCAGTGTTGTTTACATGTTAGTGTAAGTCTGGCTGCCCTCCCATCACATCTCTCTCTCTCTCTCTCTCTCTCCTCTCTCTCTCTCTCTCACTTTGATGCTTTGATGGTCATATGTATCTGCCTCTCCTTCAGCACCCTTCATCATATCACCCTCTCGATTTCCTCAGCACGCCTTCTTTTACCTTTTTGTCCAAAGCAACAACTAACCCACAATTTATTAATCAAAATAACCTAGCTCTTCCCTCACTACACAGCCAAGAAGATGAGATTTCTTTCCCAACCCAAAATGGGTTTTGCAACATCACCAGAAGAAGAAGATCAGTTCCGGCCAATCACGCCAATAAGAGTCGTGGTTCCAAAACTACGACCTTTAAACAACGCAAAGGAGGATGAGGACGAGGACGAGGAGCTTTTGCTTTTGGAAGGTGACGTCCAAGAACATGAAGAGTGCCACACACCCAAGTCACCTGCAGCTCACGTGACCTTGAAGCAACCGCCGGTGTGTCCGCCAGCACCGAAGAAACCAACCCAAGCTAGAAGAAAACTGAGGCCACGGCCTTCACAAGGGTTTTTTAAGGTTCCAGACGATCTTACTTCGGTGTTTATGGCAATCTCTAGCTCTTCTAATCCTGCCAAGAAGAAGAGGAGAGCCAGTTAAGATCAATCAATCAATCATTCATGATATATATGCTTGTAGTTATATATATTGAGATTAACATTTTACACCTCTTCTTCATCCCTTTTGTTAATTTTCAACCCAATTGTTATTAGCAACAACAATTAATATAACCGCTGTAAATGGAAAATGTTTTTAATGATGCATTTGTTTTCAGTTAACTATTTAAGCCCGACATCCATTATTATTTCTTTTAACTTTACATTTCTCATGGATCCATTCCAATGCGGCATAGAATGGCCGTGGTTAAATCTTATAAGTCACGAATGCACAGTAATCGTGGCCATTATACACCATTAGACATTGTGCTTCACTCTCTCTCCTTCGCGAGACACTTGATGACTTGTTGCGAGAAAATATCAAAGTTTCTTTTTTTGTCTTGGCTAATACTAAAGACTGACTTTACTTTGAAAATTCAAAAGGAAACCTCAAAGTGGCCTTTCTCTCTCCCTGATTGTCTCTCTCCTCTCCCTCGCGCAGTAGCAAGGATCGAGTGGCTAAGCAAACCGTGACTTTTGCCTTCTTTTTTCAGTAGTGCACATACACAAATTTGTGGCCTGCTATGCATCTGTGACACTATGAAACAAAATTGTGAAGCATTTCCTCAAATTAGGTTTTTTTGAACAATCCACATCGGAAACCATTTTAACCATTTAAAAGCCGGACTGTCTCCTTCAAAAAATAAAGATAAAAATTAAAATTAAAATGGCTGAACGGAAGTCATGACCGTCTGTGCTAGTTCACTGAAAAAGCCAATTGCGCCTAAATAAAATTTACGTTCTTACAAATTATACATAAATTTTGGAAATACAAATTAGACATAAAGGGAGGCCCGACAAAAAAGTCTAACAGTACAACGAGTCGAAAAACAGAAAAAAGAAAGGGAGGCCTTACGCTACATATCAAGGCCAGCCCAATAGAAAATATAAGATCCCAAAACAACAGAAAATGAAAGGGGGTTTAGAAAAACACAACAGAGCCCAAACTATTTATTTGCACCGAGAATATTTTGAAACACCTATTCCATTATTATTTTATCCCAAACTTCCCATTTTACCCCTAATCCCTCCCCGAAAACAACCTGTCACGTAGTATTCTAGTATCATACAATAATTTCTCCCCAAATGGCTCAGTAATAGCTTGGGTTCCTATCATTACTCCCCCAAATTTTGATAAGTCGAATTGAATTTAATTGTAATTTTTTTGGTAAGTGAGTTGAAGCAGGAAACATAAGAAACCACAAAAGTTGAAGCATCTTCTGCAATTCTATCTTAAATGTAGCACTGCTGGTGCATTTCTAAACGTCTATGTTTTTCACAGGAGTGTCATAATCTATATATACCCTGCGCCAAAAGATCATCAGCCAGACAAAAAACAAAGAATTGGAATACCTAAACAAGAAAGCTGAGTTGGTGATATGTGTTGTAAACAAGTGTGCAAACTAACAAACAAACTAATACTAGTGTTACCATACAAATATAATGATTAATTAAAATGATCAATAAGGCCAGTGTAAAGGAAGGAGCATAAGTTCACTTTGCTTTTGATTATTACACCAGAATTTGATTTATATATATTGAAAATATAACAAGGAAAAATTATGATGCATTCTCAAAAGAAAATATAAACATCATGCAACAGTATGCTGATAAGAGGGATTAAACCATCAATGTTTACTTCTTGAACCCTCATTGGTGTGGAAGGTTCCACCTTACAACAGATAACCAAAGATATTTCTCATGGCAAGTTGAAACAACACCAAACACCAAAAATTCCATTCACTCAGTCAGCTTCTTAGAGGTAGAGGGGACTTGGAAATAAGAGGATCAAGAAGACAAAGGCTCCCGACACCACTAACTGCCACTTTAGATACATGGGGATGACCACGAAATTGAACTTGTTTGAAACTCTTTTTCTTTAAATCATACCAAAAGAAGACAGAATTGTGGTACTTGTACGTCAAAAGGACCATTTCTCCATTCTTTGACAACACCAGCGGTTTGAAAGACTGAACATTCACCCAAGGCACAGCTTCTGGCTCAATAGAGAAAAGCAGGGTCCAAGATTCTGTCATTCCATACTCCTTCATAACCCAAACATCATGTGCGGCCCCGGAACGATCAACACAGAGACATAAACAGCCCCCCAAGACCTCCAAAGACAGCGTAGGCGTATGCATGTTATACACGTCATCCAGATCGACCGGGGTGGAAAACTGGCAATATTCCTCACTGGCAAGAGTAAGAGTTTGAATTATGTGCGGGGTTTCATCTAACACCGGGTGCATCAGCCAATTTAGAGCACCGTTGAAGAACACGATATAATCCGAATGAAAATCAAAATTATTGCAAGGCATGTTTTGGATCCTTTTCCATGTGTTAGATTTCAGGCTACAAATATGAACTTGACGACTCTCAGTATAGCAATCCACTATTCCCACAACTTTATAGTCATCATGAACAGAGTCGTACCCGAATCCATAGTAAGCAAGTCTTTCAAATCGCTGCCTCTCAAAGGTTGGGAAGGGAATCTTCTTCAACTTTTGAATTGACGGGTTCCACAAAGCAATTTGCCAATCGACATAGTTGCGTATTCAAACCAGACCATGAACAGAGTTGCCCAATATGTGTGTGTAAATGTCAGCGTATTTGAACGGCTGCTCAGTTCTCAAGGCGGCCCCGATCGTCTCGTTGTCGCTAAAGGTCAATGAAAAGAAACCTGAGGGAGCATCTTTGGGGCTATCTGACCAAATTAAAATGGATAGAGGAGCAGAGTTGGTTTCAATGGAGCGTTGGAGATGGGCTTTGATGAAGCGTCGGTCGTGGATGAAAGCATACCAAGCTTTCGAAACGCACAGGGATCGTATCAAATCCTTGTGCGGAAGCCGTAAAAGGATGTCCAAGATTAGCTCCGTTGGGAGGATCGACATGGTTGGTTGAATCTTGAAATATTGGGTTCTTATTGGGGTTTTAAGGGAGGGTTTTTAATTAGGGTTTAGAGGCTGGCTCAACTCTGAACGAGGCTTGAAATCTCTTTTTTCAGCTTTTAAAACAAACGAAAAAAAATATCTCATAAAAAAAACTACAAACCAAACTTAGAAGGGATTCTTTTTTTAATAAAAACTTGGAACTAATGGAACGTTTTTTGGTTTTCCAAATAAGAATTCATTAGATTAATTTAATGGTTAGTATTTGCTTAAAAAGGTGTTGTGTGATAGTGTATTAGGGTGTATCAAGGGTATTTTTGGTAGTTAAATATAGTGTACTTAGTTAATTTTATATTTGAATTAAAATATTTGGGTGTACTTAGATCAATGGGTGTACTCAGTTAATTTTAGAGTTCATTTAGCAGTACTCAATTGTTAAATACAACATATTTAACCACAAAAAATCCTTTCATCACTAAATTTGGGTTAATCTAATAATCTATTGTTAAATACGACTCACATTTTACATTATTGAAAAGGCTGTAAACATATAGATATATATATATATATATATTATTTTTTATAACTTCATTTTTTTTAAGTGACTTATCCCCAATAACTCGTATCGTATGATATCACTGGTGAAATGATGTAGACTAACATCTTACGTTAAATAGAGACATACGCGTGCTTGTAATAATTTTTTACCTCATCCGTTGCATTGTTGTCCTAATCTAAAGCTAAACTGCACTGGGAGAATGGCCTTCTAGTCTCATGCACAGCCAGATGTTGGCACCGAGGACTGAATTTGTTTGGTAAAAGCCAAACCAATCGAAGAGGCTTAGGATCCACGCAAGCCGGCATCACTGCCCCCGACTTCCCAAGAAATTTGTGGTCCGTCTGAGTTGGGAACCTTCGTCTTTTGTGGTCACGAACTTCATGAATGGATCCATGGATTTCTTCTACATCACGGGAATGAGGAAAGGGAATGTTTTCTTAATCAGTTCTGAGAAAATATGTCCATGATAAGTTGTAAACTATGTCACTGTTCGACATAGCAATTACGGGAGGAAAGATAAATTTTCCTAACTCAACATACACTCAAGTGACACGAATTAAAAGTACAATCATGACGAATACACATGTCATTACAAACATTACAAGCCAGGTGAAACACGTAGTTTTGGACGTCTTCGAGTATATATCCGCCGCCCGTGTAGTGGCATGACCAGTGCTTGCCAAGCTACTTTCAACAGCCTTCTCTGTAGAATCAAGTATCTGCACACAAGCCATAACTAAGTTATGAGACCAAAAGATATGTTATTCCATCAGCTATGAATTGACATCTAAGGCACACCAGAGAGTTGGCATTTATCACAACAATCAGTTTTTGAAGTAACACAAGATGCTGCATTATCGCTTGGAACCTTTTTCCTTGATTTTGATACGTCTGACAATAAAGGTTTTCTCTCGGGGCACTGCATAGTCAATTTAGGTTTATTTGAGTCCTAGCGTATGTTTTATGCAGCTTCAATTTTTTCTGCTTCATGTAAGATATCTTATGTTTTATTACCATCATGAATAGCATAGATCAGCATCTTATATAAGAATACGTAACGTGTTCTAACTTTTTCAGAGATTGTATGAAAGATACTCAGCAGCATATCCTTCTTTTCCTAGGTCTGATTGCTAAGCCAATCATCTTATTCTTCGACTTCTTCCTTTCTATTAATTCTCTGAACATGGAAACCAGATCAGATACCATCTTGCAGACCTCCCCAATCCCCTTTACTTTAAACTCTTTCTAAACAAAAAGTTAAATCAACTCTCCTATTACCACCTAAACTCTTCAAATCTATTGGTTTTGGCCTAGGACTCTTTACAGTCCCAACCTTGGTTTCTTTGTTTAACATTTCTCTTTTCAAGCATTTCTCCTGATTTTCGCACCTAAAATCAAAATATTTTTTCACCTTAGCTTCCCTTCATAAAGACTTCACCCTGGTCAGTATCACCCCTAAACACAAATCAAACCACAGCCTAAATACAAATAGTGCCGAGGTTACAAGATCTTGCATTAGATAAACTACAGTATCTTACCTTTTCAGTGTCTTTCAGAGAGTGACTCATCATGAGACTACTTTCTTTAAGTTGCCTTGCCAATCCCACCATTTCATCGGTCAAATCCTCTTGAAGCTTTCTGTCACAAGAGAAGAAAATTTATAAGAATCCTAAACAGAATGTAGAAAGTATATAAAATTAACATCTGAAATTTTAACAGAAAGATAGACTCTGCTTCGGTGAGTTATCTGGTTCAAGGTCATGTTGATTCAAGCCACCCTCTGTTGGCAGTGTTGTATCAGATATACATAGAGATCAACTCCGATGCAGATGGACTTGAAAAACATGCGTTGGACATGGACCTAGTTCCTTAATAAGCACTCTTAATAATGGCCAGGCTGGCATTTGTAGGCCAAGGTCTATTTTTAGGTAGACAAATGTAAAGAAATAAATTATAAAAATAAAAGCAATTAATCCCAAAGTACTCACCTGACTCTGTTGTTCCAGTTTTATCAGATGTTCCCAAAGGGGTATTGGTGTCATTTCCATTTGTACAAGAATCACGTTTTATTTATTCATAAACAAGACCAAACTTATTTTTTTGGTTTATAAGGAAAAAGTAGCTTCATATGTAATTACATCACTGAGTCAGTTTATGGACCAACATTCTAGCACTCCCGTTTTCAATTTCATCCACAGTCTAGTTACTCCAGTTTAAAAGGAGAAATCGAGAAAGTATGAAAATACAAAAATAAGTAGAAAAAAAAATACCTATGCTTTTCAATGTGTGCTTGGGCTGCAGCATCCAGTTTGACAGGCGCTGAAGAATCAACACTACGAGTCTCACGAGTTCCATCTTCGTTTGAGGTAGGCCTATTTAACAAACAACACCAGTTAAAATAAAACATGTGATTATTCGAAAGAACACTAGCAAGCAGCTAGATGTAATCATAATGATCCTAACTATTGTTCACTTACACGAATCTCCTTCTCAGGCCTGGAGAAAGGGGAAACTGATTGTCTCCTGTATCAGAAGAGTTTGCTTTGACAGAAATTCTTGCAAGAGACTCCTGGGGTGCTTGAATATCAGGCTGGGAGTTTGCCGAAAAAAAGAAAAAGAAAACACAGTTAGGAGCAATGAACTCCATATATTGCAAACATATACATATGTTATACGGAAATATTCTTTTGCCAGACTGTTAATCTGGACCCTTGATCAGGTGGATTCCTGCTTCCATATATGGTGCCAGATTGAAATCTGCCATATAACATGGTAGAAATCTAGCAAGAGACATTATCCATATATTAAAGGTTTTCTCTCGAGATGATGACATAAACTGACACAACAAATTACATGTACTGATGCACTAAAGGAGAAATTTTCAGTATTTTATTGAGCATGAAATAGGTTGGGCCCTAAAACTTAAAACAATCTCTAGAAATTGTTCCCTGCATAAAAACTAAAAATGTCCAACCATCCATTCACAGAAGAAAAAAATAAAAATAAAAAAAACACAGTAATATTTAGGTGTTGTGCCAACAGTCTCCTCCCCAATTTGTAGCAGCCTAACAATATTTTTCTTTCTCATACCTTGTCATATATAATTTCCAGATCTTCATACTAACCCATTATTAGTAAATTGATTTTAAATTGTACATAACACTGAAGTTACTCAGAAAGCCCTAAATCTAAAGAACATTTTCCGATTTAACTGGTTTAAAGTACAAAAAATCAACAATTCATCAAAAAGCGACAATATGATTTCTAGATCATATGTACTCACTGGTGGAGCAGCTAATTTGGAAGCAATGGCTTCAATCTTCTCTGAATAATCACTCAAGACAGCCTTTGAAACTCTGTATATAGAAGCATAAATAAAAATTTCAATTAGTAAATTAAGAAACGTACAAGCTCTAAGGGCAGAGTATCAGAAAATACAAATAAATAGAAAGGATGAAAAAATTAAGACATAGCCACCATTAGGGCCCACCTTTAAAAATATAAAATATAAAAAATCACGCTCTACATTTACCAAAACATTAGTGATACAGATACTTCAGAATTTATTGTGGTAATGCCCGCACAAAGAAAAACTGTTCACACCTATAGTAAAACACCTCATCACAAAAAACTGTGCCCAGTGTCACTTGCTCCCTAAGATCACGTACTACATGGGTACACCACAAAACACACTGGTTACTCACTCTCACAGGTACACTTATGCAGCCCCAAACACTTATGTTTGTAGTTGCTCCTAGCAGGTTGTTTTTGCCGACTTTGAAGTTGTGTTTCAATAGAAAAAATGGTGCACGAGCTTTTCATTAAATAGGATAAGCATGGAGCATTGAGACTTCTAGAAAGAATTAGAAAAAATGAAAGACAAAACCAGAGGCAGCAATAATCCATATACATCTGCCACTTCCCAATGAAAAATCATACATCCAATCTATGAGTTGATAAGAAAAATTCATCTTATATATTTTAAATTGTTTCAAAATAAAAAATAAAAGGCAAGAAATTGTTTGTTCTGCATTGCAAATTAAAGAACATACAGTTCATAACTCAAAACATCACAAATGGCTAAAGAGAGAGAATAACTTATGACAATACAATATTCATTTGTACAAACTCGATCCACCCAAAATCCCTAAAACAATGAAAATACGCAAGTGATATGAGAAAATGTATCTAAAACTTAATATGAGTATAAAAGAATATTCACTCTAAACAGTGTTTGGAATGTTATATATTTCCAATCATGCCTACCAAAACCTTCTGATTGATTTGTAAAGTAGAACAAAGGAAGCATATTGGTACATGCATCAAATTGTTGAATAAATAAAAGTTAAAGTAAACCAAGGGGGGAACATAGAACACATACCAACCTTGGTAAGCCTTCTGGAGTTCTCTCTTCAGCTAGTTGTTCTACCTGTTCTCGTAAAGTAGCAATATACTGCAAAGTAGCAGCACTTATGTCATCCATAAAGGGTATACATCCCAGAAACACAAAAAACAAAAACTAGACTTCGTATAGAGACGAAAAACCAGAAATTTTTTGGGGCAAATCAATTGTCTGAAAATGAATAAAAGCATGTGACCTGTAATTTTATTAACAACATCCATATCAGAGGTGAGAGGACAGGGATAATACATGTACAAGTTTTGCCTGGTTTTGTTGCTGAGGAGCAGCTGCAAGCAGCCTCCTCAAGTTCACCTCTGTTTTACTGATTATCATCCCAAAATCCTACACCACCGAACAAACATAAAACAACTTAAGGTTCAATAATCAACCAATACCCAAAACTCTTAAGCTTTTGTTTCCAAAACAAAAAACAAAAATCTTCTTAAATATCATGTTCTTTTGATGACCAAGAAGCAAATAAGAAGGCCCATGACAGTGGCAAAATATTAGAACTCATTAATTTTGTAAGAGAAAAAAAATCATACTGGGAACACATATAGAACAGAACTTGAGAATTTCTTTAAGCCTCTCAACTTGAGCACCCTCATAACCAAAACGTGAACACACATTTCCCAGGTACTTCTCACCAAGCAAAATGTGCACCAAGTAAAGATTCTAAGGAAAAAAACAAAACAAAACAAAACCAATTGCTTCCTTTGCATTCAAGCTAACCCCACAAACCGAATGAATCTAAACCCGACCTTGCAGAAACCCAAATTCAATTTAAGTTCAAACCATCAAACTGCTGATCTAAATCTTACAAGGCCGACCAAATATGTAAATCATACATTTTTGGGGGAATTAACCCCAAGATATTTGGAAATCAAAGATGGAAATTCGATGAAAACTCTAAAGTAAAACACAATTAGATCGAAAGGCGTCCAATTGGGTACCACTTCAATGCAAGCAATATTGGGTTACCAGCTCTTCTGTTAAACTCTTTTTCTAAATTCTACAAATTGGGAAAATAATGAAGTAATTTGGAAAGAAAAAACCTATTCAAAAGAAAATTATAATACCTGCCGATCAAGTATAGAAACAGGCTTTCAACTTACAGCACAACAAAAATCGAGCGACACTCGCAAGAGCTATATCTCAACGTAGCCTCCTCCGTTTACGATTCTCAAACGGCAAAAAACCAGAAGAGAATTGATCATGAAAGCTTTTGGTAGAGTTAGAAAATGAACACTCAGGATAGCTCTGGCAGCTGTTTTCTTATTTGGCGAAAAGTCACTTTTGTTCTTGTTTTTTAGTTTTAATTTTGTCAATTTTTTTTCGTTGTAATTTTATAATTATAGCAATTCAAAGACACATCGTGAAAGAACTTGACGAAAATTTTGACATGTCCTTGCATTGCTACATTTTCATGACGAAAATGATGATATGTCCTTGAATTGCTACAATTATAAAATCACAATGACAAAATTGAAAAACACATGGACGAAAGTGAAAATATTGATAAATTACAGGGATCAAAATTAAATTTTGGCCTTTGAGGTTAAAGGGCACGAAAGGACAAAAATACCCCTCACATGTGGGGCACATAATTAGTCCGTGAAAAAAATTGACGGAAATTGTGATTTGTCCTTGAATTACTATAATTATGATACTACACTGATAAAATTGGAAAAATTGAAATAAGAACGAAGATTATGGGGGTTTTAAAGCTTGTAAATAGCTTTCAAATCATATAAAAAATTTGAGGAATGATGAACTGTAGTTTGAGAAATCAAAGGTCATAAGTGACTATTTGAAGATATGATGTTTGAAATGCTTGTATGAATATTTCTTTAAATCTTTAAGTCGATTCACAGGACTTGTTTATATTCATTTGTTTTAGTCATAAGACACCAAAAAAGACATGCACGATGACTCTATAACCTTTGTCATTGTTGTTTGCTTCCATTCCTTAGCAGATGAAGGTTCAGAGGTAGTTCTTGTGTTGGAGTTGTTTTAGGTTGAAGAATATTGGTTCATGTGATCCCATTGTCCCTTATGATATGTGATTTTAATGAGGTTTGGTGAATGCTCGTGTTCTTTCGCCAGTTTCTTAGTAGTTAGTACTAATAGCAGCTGCATACCGGAGCTGGCCAAGGTTTGGCTCTGTGAATTTCTGAGCAATTTGTGCAAAATTTTGAGTCTGATGTGGATTCACCTGCGTAGGTTGTTTAATTTCTAGTACAACCAGTTCCAGATTGATCCAATCGCTTGAATTTCCAACATTCTTGCTTCTCTTTATAGGTCTGTCTCATGAACATTGTTAGTTACTGATGTTAAAGTAGGAACTTAGACATAATTGGAGGCAGTAAGAAGGAAAGTGAATTTAGATGATCCTGCCAAGAAAATTCTGCTTCTTCAAGAGAAGCAGGCTGTGTTGTCAGGCTGAAAGCTGATTTCACTTGTTTAGATATGGCTGTTCTTCAAACCAAAAAGTATTTGCCCCACTCTGCAGATGGATGCAAGCAAGTATAGCAGGATTGGAGAAAACAAACAGTGAACAAGCAGCAAATTATATGAGGAATTTGGATAGCAAGGAAGGAGAAGGGCATCAATAGCAAAGCTTAGAGGTAACCAAAGGTAAACCTTCTGAATGGCCTTCCCTAAGTTCTAAGCTTTTGCAAGTCACTGTGGTATTGAGTCTTATCCAAAATAGAAGGTTTGCAATCATATCCAAACTGGAAACTCATACTACTGCTCAAGCAACAGATTCAAAGGCATGTCGAAGAAAACATCTTCAGTTTTCCACTCACCCACAGAGTCGGTCTGAAAAAAGGAGCAAGTGGTTAGCTCTAAGGAAATATGGTTAGCATTAACGCAAGTCGCCATCTGTTTTGTCATGGTAAATTACCATGATAGCTCTTACCTTGAGTTTCAAGTAGTAGTCTAATCAATCATGAGACAGTGAGAAGGTTTGGGTTACCCCACCTCCGATCTTCGAATGCTACTCTTCCATAATTTCTCCATTTTACCAACTTTTGCCATGAAGTTTGAAAAAAAGGAACATGAGTCTTGTTTAGAAAATATCTTACAGTTCACCTCCCATATGTCGACATCAATTCTGACATTAGAGATTGCCATGATAGTCTGGACCCCAGGTGTCATGAATCGAATATCCTATAACCAGTTTTCAAATGATCTCCAATGCCTAATCTTACAAGACCAAACTGAAGTTCCAGTAGAAGGATCCAAAATTGAATGCAAGAGAGATCAAGCTGCTGTGATTTAAAACAGGGACTGAAATGTCTCTTATATAAAAAGCGAGACATTCCCTTTTCATGAAACATCCCACAAATTACAACATTATGACAGAATTAAGGAACTATAAATGAAAGTTGTATGTGTTTCACAACAACGGCATCTTTGAGTTGAACAGGAAGTATAGAAATATAACACTACTGAGTGGTACTTTCAATTAATGCAATATTGAGAACAATCAAAAACACATTCAAAAGGACAGTGAGTAATCTTGATTACTGCACCTCGATCTCATAGTCGAGCATTTAGGCTAGTATCATTTAATGGGTCTGGAGTCCTCACAGAAGTGCTGTTTGCTTCACTTCCCACTTTTCTGGAGGCTGCACTCCCACTTGTTTCTTGAAAACAAAGGTAAGACAATGATTGCAGCCAAGAAACTAAAGTGGGTTTGCGTGTAACATCATCAGATTCTGCAACCTGTGAATATAACTCGTTTAGAATCATGTTCTGGCCATCTTTTGGTAGTTGGGCGATTAGCTGTGCCAACAACTTCATCAAGTCTGGCAGTACCTGAACACATAAATGCTAATGTTCAAAGTTTAAAAACCAAAGTTGAGAGAAACTCATAACACCTTTTGAGACAACTTTATTCCATCAACACTGCCAATATATGCAACGCTCATGGTAAATTGCAAAGTCTCTCTCTCTCGAACATTGAAGATGTCACAAAATTACTTCTATACCAAGTGTTATGCAAACAAACTAGGGTATTGAAGCTAGATATTCAGATGCAGAACAAAAATGAAGAGGAAAACAGCAGTAAACTTTCTAGAGGGAAACCAAACATATGTAAGTAAAAGAAACAAAATATGAGTTCACCTGTATATCAACCAGGGAAATCAGCCGTAAAAGTAAGTCTAGGATTTTCTTGCCAGGCTCCGACTCTCCTTGCCAGTTCTTCCACATATCATCCTGGTGAGCTAAGTCTTCAATGCAGAGCCTATTAGCTTTCTCCACAAGACAATGGATACAATAAAATATGGCTGGGCTTCCAGCAGGAAGATGTCGAACCAAGGCTGCAACTCCAGAAGCCATTCCCTCAAAAGGAGTAATCTCAGGATATTCCTGCAGTCACATCAAGGAAAAGATTTAGCATTTGGTACCTTTAATTGATGAAGCTCAAGTTTAACCATTATAGTCATCATCTGCCTTAGATACCACTAGTGATCTCTGTATGTAGTAGAAAACAAGCTGCTCCTTTAATGACTCTCTTTCATCCTGATCAGAATCCTTCCCGGAAGATATGAATGCGGAAACCATAGAATGTGAGGCTCGAGCTACTTTTCCATTAGGATGTCCCATATATCTGATTAAATTTGTAAGAAGGAATCAAATTGCTCACCATGTTCTATAAAAAAAAAAAAAAAAAAAAAAAAAAAAAAAAAAAAAAAGTTCCCAAAAATATCAAGTATCAAGTTTAGGATAGATAGGAACATAGTTGGAGCAACCACCTTCCCAAAAACAGGGCTAGGCAAGTGTGCAATGCAAGTTGGAATGACTCGTAGGTAAAACAGAATGCGAGCCGTTTGAACCTCATCATTGTACCATAAATATTCCATTTTCCGCAGGAAAGAAAAGTCTGGTAGACATTACAACTCTTATCAAATGAAAATATCACAAAAAAATGAGAGGAAGACAAAACTAAATTTAAGGACCTCACTGCTGAAAATTCAAATGTTAGAGCTAAACTGGAAACTAAACCATACCTGGGCCATTCGTCAAGTCAACATAAGTGGGTATGGATCTTACAAAAGACACACAAGCAG